TTGGCAGCCAGATTGAATTAGATCGAAATGAATATATATTCAAATGGCGACTCTCCTACGCTACATCCGGACTTCTCTATATATAATACAGACCGGCCCAATCAACCTAACCCAATCACATCATACCCGTAGCCGCCAGCACAGCGATACTGGCTTACAATTGGACATCAGACACAGCTGAGATGGCACGCGCAATACATGCATATATGCACTCACCATGTCGATATTTGAGTTCTGCTTAGAAAGGATTAGCAGTACACTGTAGCGTTGAAACTGGGTACTCACAGTCTTAATCAAGGACAATCGATAAACGCGGGACAACCTACTAGATGCGGCAGCCATCAGACTTTGGGACTTCACACGCAACACTAGAGACGTATTATTGCCCTGATCAGCAGATGTATTTATGAGAGAACACCTGCATGTTAACACATCAGCTGCCATCCGAGAGTCAATGGTCAGGACGTACCAAGGGGAAGATAGGCATACGGAGGGAATGCAAGAAGTACGAAGTCAAGATGTGGACGCGATGGCAGGTTGATATGGGACCATACGACGACGTCATCGCGGACGGATAAGTAAATTTGGGCAGGCAAGTCCCCCTTATAATAGAAATCTGCACAAGCGGTTGGGGATGTTGAGGGAATCTGGAGAGAATGTGCATGTTCCCACCAGATTCCCATCAAAGGGGGATTTACTGGGGAATCCGTGGGTGATATGCGCGGATTACGCAAATTCCCAGCATGTTCCCCGCCACCGTAATATGGCGCTTCACGCAGTGAATGTACTCCGCCGTGTCTGAGCCTGATGCCAGCTATCAGTATTAGTACAGCTCGTGAATTATCTGACCGTAGCCGTATTGCAAGCATGGCTTCCAGATCCGGCTTGAATAGATCCATAGAGCCTGATAGAGAGCATTTATGGAAGATATAGACGGATATTTGCGCTAAAAGACCAGGCTTCAACGGCTCAAGGGCCGCCAAAACTACTAAGTAATGAAGTCACGAGTCGCCGCACCTGGCAGCAGTGCGAGTTGAACGTTGCGGCAACGGGACATCATAGGCGCTGGCCGCAGCATCCCAGATCCAGATCGCTACAGTGTCAAGTATATGCATCCGCCGAGATGCGCTTGAGTCTCTTCACCCCGAACCACCGTGTCTTGAGACGCGTCTATACATCTTTTCGCTCGTTATGCCGTCGCGCAGAAAGCCATTGGATACACCCCCATCTCTTCAGTTGCGGACCTGCTTTCAATGTCGCCAGCCGCCCGGAACAGATGTCCAGCTGAAGAGATGTGCCGGGTGTGCCGACGTCGTGTACTGTAGCAAGGAGTGCCAGAAGGCAGCCTGGCCGAAGCATAAGTGGGTCTTCGATTAGATACTGCTTATTCCAAGTTGCTTTGCATACTCCCAGGGAGATTTGCAGACCCATCGTGAAGGACAGAAAGGGTTCCACCTCAGATCGAACTGAGCTTGTGGTGCGCCGCTACGGGTACAGGAACGCCATCGAGTTCCATCAAGCGCTCAAAGACTTCATTGAGGCCAACCATTGGGCGTTCCAGACGTTCGCGAAGGCGCTGGCCCTCATGCAAGGGGACTCTGCCAGCGACAGCGACGAAGCTTTCTCGAAAATGCTCCAGGTCAATCTTCTGTGCTCCAAGAACTCTCGTCAGCTCAACCCGGCATGCAGCTTCGTCATGTCAAGCTATCGCTGGATTGCCCCCGACGATTTCAGGAGCGAGGCAAGGAATGCCGAGGAATGGGCGCGGGCAGGTTCATTGCGAGAGCTTGCGACCGAGCGATACAAGAAAAATCTCGAGTTCAAGGCGTTGCGTACAATCGTCTTCCGCGTTGCCGCCGTTGGCATGTGCGATCTCTACTTCTATGCGCAGTACCGCTGCACACTCCCCATACTTGATCTCGCCCCGCAAGACATAGCCAGTCTGCCTGCCATGGTCGAGGACGTCTTCGCCATCACAAAAGCGAGTATCAATGCTGACATGGCGTTCAAATGCGGTTGCGACGATACCTCGGATTACATGCCGCTACCGGGGCACTTCGTACAGAAGCATAAGAGCTGGGTTTGGGAAGCTTCCTTCTCAAGCTGGGACACGCTCATGGAGAATGGGCGCAGGTGTTGGGAACTTGACTTGGTCATTGACGTCCTCTCACGATTGAAGTCGGGATATGCGATTCCGGATATCCTTGGTATCGTACAGTTGCTATGACAGGCTCGCTTATCGTCGTTATGCGGCGTGAGGGAGTACAGCTACAGTCAAACAAAGATCTACTATACTGTGCTACAGCTAATGCTTGTGTGGGAACCGTCTGTAGGAATACATTGCGCACTAGAAAAGGTAAGTAACCAGCGACGCTCAGATCCTCAACACAGCCAATGGCGACGGTCAGCAATGAGAAAGTATCGTCTAAATCTCCCATGGAACAAAATACAGAACCATGCTCATGGCCTCGGATACATGTCTGTGGAATACTCCCTCAGCTACGCTCCGTCTATGCTACTGGTCTCTCAAAGCCCCAGAGCGCTCACAGCTGAAGTTCTGTGCTGGTGCAATAGCGTGATGTATCGTAACAAAGAATGCCAGAGGGCAGCATGACCCAAACACAAGTACGTCATATGTAAGGCTCTACGCTATTCTAAGCATGCGTTCAGTAGTGTATATTTCTTCTTCTTGCGACTGACTGCACGCCTACATCCTTCTAGGAGTGTTTGCAGCTACAACACATGGAACCACGCATTGCCCGGGTCGAAGGAACGAGTAGATGCAGCGCGCCGCTTCGGATCAAAAAACACCGTCAGCTCTAGTCAGGCACTCACAGACTTTGCTGAAGCCAATCGATGGGCGATTGAAACGTTCTCAAAGGTGCAAGCCCTAGTAGAGCTCCAAGGTTCTGGCACAAGCGCTCTGATGGTCCTGTTCACTAGGTACCCTTCGGGGTGTCTAAGATTATCCTCAGACTCTGCTTAGTCTATCATGCACCTTGCGTTGTCCCATCACCGCTGGATGGCCGTTGACGAGCTGAAGAACATTGACTTTGACTGCTACGAGCAATGGGAGGCCACCAGTCCGTTACGAGAGCAAGTCTTCGAGCTTGATGGCTCTCATCCTCTGTTCAAGGGGATGGGCGCGACGGTCGTCAGTGTACAGGATATCAACATTTTCGTGACCCATTTCTACCCCGCATTCCATGGCGAGATACGCTCACCATCGCTACTGCTGGGGCAGGGATCTGCTATGCGCGTTATCCTCAAAGACATCGCCACGTTCACGAAGGACAGACAATCCCGCTTCCCGGATGCATGGTCACGCCAGATGGAAATCAGGTATAGGAGGCTTCATCCACTTATTGGGCGGAATCCTTCCAAAGTGAGCGAGTATGGAAGGAGTTGGATGTGCTGGTGGACGTTGTATCGCACCTGCGATCCGGGTATCAGGTTCTAGACTTGCTGGGCATCGCGCAGATGCTACGATCCCGCTGTAGACAGGTCTCCATCGCGATCAGTGTCCCCTCTGAGTATAGATTCTGAAGTCCCTATGCTGCACCTAGCCTCCCCACCATCGTAATTTGCCGCAAAGGGCGAAACTCGGTGATCTCTTGAGCATGAACAACTGCGCATCATAAGTTTGAACCGCTTTGTCCACGTCGATGGTGTTTTGCTCATACTGTTTGGGACGCATGATGCCACACACTGAACGGATGAACAGCCACAGAGCTGAGGGTTGACTTATGACTTGGGAGGCGGGCAAAGCAACGCATGCAAGCAGTTCAGGCAAGAACATTCCTGAATATCAACAACATATCACCAAGCACGTATGGATGAAGACAGCCTTACGCAGAGACAGCTTCGCGTTCAAGTTGATTCATGGCGTCGACTGCAGCCTATACGGGAGTGAATGTCAAGCGATAGCAGATGCGAGTAGAACGCTGCTCACCTGGGCAGCCTCGATTACATTCGTCCTCCATTCGCCCTTCGCCACCTCCTGCAGTATCCCCTTCCAGTACCGCCACCGATCCGGGTGGTATCCATCCACTCCATCCCACGTCCCACCGCTCCGGCCTGGACATCCTCGCCTCGCATCCCAGTCGGGATCCCCCTTTGGCCCCAAAATTTCTCTGCACGCATACATCCGCGCACCCGCGATCCTCAGCCACACCGATGCGACCTCGATCAGCAGCTCCTGGGGCCCGTCGAAGACACCCGCCTGCTCCCTCGTAGGCCTCCTCGTGGAGGCCAGCGTGAGCGGTTCGAGGCCTGCAATCATGGCGCTGATGCCGAAGAATGCCTCGTCCACGACGCCGAGCGCCCATAGCTGGGCGAGGAACGCATTCATGTTCAGCCATTTCTGGCGTGCTTTGACGACCTCGCGAGTCTCGGGGTCATCGTGCGTAGGGGCGTCCCCTGCCAGGAGTGCTTGTGCCTTTGGAGTAGATACATCAAGGGAGTCGGGGCCTCTGAGCTTGAACCACTGCTGGGGACCTGGAACGAAGTCAACTCGCCTGATCAGGATAAAGGCGACGAGCAAAGGAGCGCGAAAGCTAACATACCGTTCATCTCCTCACGCGACACGGGACCCAACAGAGGCAGCTCCGCCCAGCTCGTCTGCGACCACCACACCCTCCAGCCCTCACAGCCCTCCGAGCCCTTGGCCTTCAGCGCGGCGAGAACATGCGCGGTGCGGTCGTGGACCGATGAGTCTTCTTGAGCCAGCTCGACCAGTTTACTCCAGAAAAACCAGAGGAAGTTCTCTAGCCATGGAGTGTCGCCTTGCTGCGTGACCCGGTCGTTGGTTGGCGCGGACTTGAGGGCTTGCCTGCATTGCTCGGCGATCACGTTGGCCGCCTGCTCCGGAGAGAGCGTTTGATCCCGGATGGCGGCGATGCTTGCGTCGATGTGCTTCTCTGAGTGCTCAGCCATTGTAATTGGGGATGGAATGGCGAGTTGGCCTGCAGATGAAACGACGAGAAGTGGAGAATTATAATCGTGCGGGGCGCTGCTTCACCGTGCATCGGGGGTTTAAGTTTAAGAGTCTAAATCGGCTCCAGACATGATTGTGAGCGCTGTAGACCAGGTAGAAATCCTCGAGTTCTGTAAAAATTAGCCATAACAAGTAGCACAGAGGATGGCATAGAGAGGGTCAGCCGGAAGTTTTAGCCAGTGTGCGTCGTTGTGAAGGACGAACACCTGAGTGTAGGACCGGGCGTTACACAGCGAAATTCTCACTTAGCCGACATGTTGCTCCTGGTCTTCAGCATTCTGTCCTGGCATACATGTGCCCTATCTCACCGAGTGTCGACAGGCAGGTCAAACTGTATGCAGCATGCGACGGCGAGCATCATTTGGATATGTGACGGGAGGCCTGTCTGGCGACGCGGTGGTGGTGCGTAAGTATCTCCCAGAGGGATGTGAATGCAAAAATGAGTGAGCCTGAAATGTAGTATCGTATTCGACGCGCGAGCACAACGTTGAACTGCTATCGCTTGCAACTAGAGGGAAACATGCACTAAAACACACCTCAGCTTCAGTGCCTCGAATGCCACGCTCCAACCCCCGTGCCAACCCCTACTTAAAGTTCGATTCCCGACGCCCTTTCCGTGCAACGACGATTGGAGACGCCAACGGAAGTGCGCAGTGCCTCGCCCCAACCCCGTGTAATCCCGTCGTGACAACAGTCTCCAATTTAGGTCTCAGGGATCGTTAGTGAAATGAGTGCTATGAAGCACTTACCTGATGTTTTGACTCAAAGACAGCATCGCCCCGCAAGACATATATAAATCACTTGAGAGTAATGGGTGGTTGGTCTAAGACTACATACCGCAGCTGTCAATCTGTGACGGGTGTTATCGATACAACATATCCCTCCTAAGCGTACAACAAGCTCCCTCTCCGATGTGCCAAACCTGTTCGATCGCAACGGATCAGCGTCGCCTCCTTCCGATGGACGAGACGTCCTACCCTATAACCAATGCCTCCAAGGCGATCACAGCATCGCGAACCGTTCGAAAAGGTCCTTCGGGAGCAGGCCCGACTGCACGACGTAGAGCGGCAGCAGATGCTTCGCCAGCTTGTTCCACGTCTCCGGTGTCTTCATGAGCGGCACCCAGTCCCACGTCTTCTTCGCGCGCACCAGCAGCCCCGGGGTCGGGACGTGCACGTAATCGTTCGGCGTGCGGAGCGAACACCCGGCGTTGACGCTGCCCTTGCACAACCCCATGAGATCCAGCACCATCGTCTTCGTCGCCTCGTCGAGGGGGCCCCGCCGCGCACGGTAGACCGGGTGCTGGTTGTGCACGGCCATGCCCGTGTCCTTGAGGATGTACACGACGGAGATGACGCCAGCGAAGGCGGGATTGCGATCTTTGCGGTAGCTCGCATCCATCGCCATCCGACCGGCCTCTGCGTCCTCCCATGCGCGCAATAGGAACCCGTTGTCGTTCTTGTAGTCATCGGGGGTGATGATGGCAACAGAGTCGACGCGGAAGGTGGTGGCTGGAGAGCCGTCGCTATGCTGGTTCTGGATGATGGTGTACGACATGAAGCAGGGCGTGGAGGTATCGAGCATGAGGGTTTCGGGCCCGCCATGGAGGAGGACGGTGGCCTTCGTCATCGTCGTGAAGGACCATCTGTGCGTCTCTGCCCAGTCCTTGAGGGCATGTGCGAACGAGACGCTAGTAGGGAAGCCCATGGACTCGAGGGTCTTCAAGCGGCGTTCTTCAGTCGGATTCTGTATCCTCCCTTGCTGACGACAGCCAACTCTTCCGATACCATGGGCGATCAATGCGTGAGATACCGTAAAGACAAGATGCACTCACTTGTGTGCTTGCCATGCTTGCCTCTGACACTCCTTGCTGCAGTACATAACCGTATTGCAACCACCACATCGTTTCAGCTTGTCCTTCTTGCTTTTTGCTCCACAATGATGGCAGCATGAGAGGTCATCGGGTAGCCAGAAGGAGACTTCGCGAGTGGCTTCAGTCATATTGGTGGTTAGAGAGAAAGTGCGGCGGGGCAATGGGCGTGCGAGGACTAATCATAACGGGCCAGGTACAGTAATAAGGTCAGGCGCAGGATTGTGGCATAATGCAAGCTGCTTGACTCGGTTACTTACTGAACACTTGAGCCGCTAAGTGGCACGATTCCCACGATTACGTCTCCTTATGACTCGCTCAATTGTGTGTAAGCTGACCAGGACAATCGAGCGTTGGCTAGCCACAACGCTTTCACCTCGCTTGGCTAGTGCCGACGATGGGCATTTATCGAGCTCTGTATACCATTGAAGGTCGTTCCGAGACGTATATTACAGAGAGGAAACTCAAGAAGAAGAAAAATGAGGGTGTACAGTGGTCATAACAGCCACAAGCAGATGTGAGATCGAACGACACCGCGATGCCATCTAAAACAGCTCTTCGCGAGGTCCTTCGGAACCATGCATCATCTCCGAGAACTGTGAGCTGAAGCCAAATCGGACGTCCGTAACAGACGGTGCGCGTGATAGATCGTACCAATCCGAGCCCGCCGACTCAACATCCGAATCCCCATCAAACCCGGAACCACCTGGAGAGCTCGTTCCGTCGTCCATCTCAGTCCACGCATTGTGGAACTCGAAGTCAGACATGGGTGTCGAAAGGCCAGAAGGCGAGCGGGGGGGCGGGGCCGACCAAGCAGGAACCGGGAAAGACGCAGAGAAGTCGAGCGTGGGCAGAACGAACGAGCGGGAGGGGTCGATGCCGTGGTCTGACGCACCCCAGCTGCCATTCAACTCTGACAGGCCAGAGAGCGAAAGGTCGCGGCTGAGACTATCGGCCTCGCTGACGCTGAGTGCCTCGAGCGTCGCGTCCATTTCCTCAGCTTCAGTGTGCTCCTGGTCACGCCATACCTCCTCCAGAACGCACCATCCCGTGCCCGCTTCTCCAAGAATCCCGCGAACTCTGTTGACGGTCCAGCCCTCGAAACGCACTTCGAGCACCGTGCACAATCCGCTCGGATCTCCTCGGGCCTCGCAGTGAACGCCAGGTTCTTCGAAAACCTTAGCTGTATCGAGGCGCCCAAACACCGTGGAGACCCGTAGCGCATGTGTACCATGACTAGCGTGCATGGATGCTATGACATCGAACGGTAGCAGGGGGTGTGCAGACGTGGACGGCGGGTTAAGTGGGAGGGGCAGACGAGACGTCGGAGTGGGCGCGAGGGGAATCAGGAGGTATGTGGTGACTTCGGGGGCCGCAGGGGCAGGGAAGTAGTGGTCGAGCTCATCCTTCTCGGACTCGACAGTGCTCGGGGCTGGAGTAGGGACGACGTTAAGCTGAATGGGGCGGAAGGGGACCTTAGCCTTCTTCGCCGCCTTGGCCTCACGCTTCGCCTTCTGCTTCTCCAACCGCAACCGCTCTCTCTCCTCCTTGATGCGTAGATCCCAGTCAACTTCGCTAAAGGACCGCGCGTACACCGGAACGTTCTCGACAAGGTGCTGGAAGATAGGACGCCCAGTCGAGAAGTTCCGCGCCGTACCCAAGCCGACCTGAGTGATGTGCCGCGGGATGGTTGGTGGGCGAGGAAGGAAGGGTACGGCTAAGGGCCTGGAGAGTATTTGCCGTGCAGGGAAGGAGAGGCGATCCTGAATGGTCGGCATGCGGGTAGCGGGGCCATGGTACGCACGAGCTCCAATCCCCGAAGGGACATGGACGGATGAGTGCAACGTGCCCGGGGTAGTGAGGTGCGCAACAAAGCGCGAGATGGCCGTCTTAGCATTCCTGAAGACGGTCTGAGCAGTCGTTGTCGGTTTGTTAGGGGGCGGCCGAGCAAATACGGGGATGTGTATCGAGCGCGACAGTCTTCCACCTCCGGCTGGAAAATGGGGCTGCCCACCGCCCTTGAGGGCGCGGAAGCCAGATGTCGCTAGCTGCATCGCTGAACGTGAAGTACGCTCGCGAGGCGGAGATTGAGGAAGTGGTGGTCGAGGTGTGAGAGGTGCGTCGGTGCCACTGCGGTGTATAACAAGGTTCCGCGGCCGGCGGGACACGCATTCCGTTCGGCGCTCAGCTAACTCCGTCTCCTAGAAAGGCAGTAATACGCAGCTTCCGGCTCGACTCGCTGACCTCTGAGGCCGAAGGCCGAGTTTTGGTCTGTCCTGAGTATTCCTTCCATGTGAACCATTTACTGTCGAAATTTGACTATGATCCCTACGGTCCATATCGCTCACTATGTCATCAAACGTCGCGAAGACATTGATTACGGAAGAATTATACACGAATCCCGATTCACTGACGATGCTGACTCCCATGAGATCGATTAGCGATGCTGTTTGCTGGTGAGCATGGCTTGCATCGCCTGAAAGTGTCAAAAGAGTGTAATATGTCCCTATCCTCCACTCCGCCGTACATGCTAGCCGGTACCACACCGTGCCCTCAGCGGGCGCCGTTGGCCTTCCTGTAAGGAAAAACGTCATTCACGTGGTCAGAAAAGCAGGTAACGAAGACACTCGAAGACACTCGCAACACGCACTACACAAGATGCGGCTGCGTCATTACTTCTACAGAACATTCCGCGCAAGCGACGAGTAAGGGACAAGGCGCGACTTGGGTAGTAGAGTTCGTTACGCACTCAAACAAATTCATCATTCTGTCCAGGCATCCAGCTCTCCCATTGTCCGTGCCCAGGCCCAGGAGACTTTCCTTTCGTCATCTTCCCCTGCACAGTCTCGCCCTCCGCACGAGAGTTGTGTAACACGAGCAGCAAGTTTGAGAGAGAGGAGACCCGATCCGTCAGAAGAGCCACGAGGCCATCTACATTCACACTGCTGAGAGAGCACTCCGCCGGACTGAGAGGTGCGACAATCGGTCTCGGATCTCCCTGACGATCAAAGTCTCTGAGGTCTTCCGCGGTCGGAACGAGGCCGGACGTGTAGAAAGCGAGTTCTAGGCACTTCAGTGGTAGACGGGCCAGCGCCGACGTCAGATCTTCCTACCGGCACAACAGGTCGTCAGCATGCACAACAACAGACAAGCGGAGAGCATGCTTACTAGGACAATTTTCAAATCCTTCTCCCTGTCACCTTCGCCAAAATGAACTTGCATGTCGAAGGTGATCAAGTTGGAGACACCTCTGTCCCGCAGCATGGCGACCACTCCTCTGTCGGGGTCTCCGAGCAGGGTACCAGTCACTCTGTGGAGCTTGAGATGCAGAGGCCGCGCGCAGCGCAGTGCCTCGGCGAGCATGTCCAACTTGGGCCATTTATCGAGAGGATCCACGATCGTTACGCGGCGAATGTGAGATATAAGGCCAATGGAGTAGAGGTCGGTCAGACGGCCGCTGAAGTGTTCCAGCCGTTCCCATGCGCACCCGGCGCGGGATTGCCGAGCGACGTTGACTCTGTGACTAGCCCGCATGCGCTCCATGTGATGAGGAGCGTCTACATCACCATCGTCTTCTGTAAGAACGTGCAGGTCGGTTAGGTTAGGGAATGCGCGGATGAAAGGAGCCATCAAGAGGGGGACGTCGTGGAGTACAATTGAGAGTTTGCGCATGCTTGGATATATCGCCTCAGGTATGACGTCCTCGTCTGAGGGCGTGTACCAACACTTGCACTGCAGTTCCTCGAGAGTGTCCGCATGCCCCGCAAAGACTGTGACAGGGTGGTAGGAGGCCCAGTATCTGGCATCCACGAGGGCCCACAATGTGTCGTCACGGTCGCCCAGGAAGCTAACGTCAGCGGAGACCAGAGGTGATTGGATGGCGGACAGGAGCTGACAGGTCTCCCCATCGGCTCCCGTCACACGAATGTGGTGCAAAGAGGTGAGGGCAGCGAAAGCAAGGGGAAGAGCAGGATCACATTGGAGGAGCTCTTCTGCTTCGCCCAGCTCCAGATATGCGAGCCCGGTCAAAAGGGGCAGGGTCTCAGCAAGCCGATGAGCAAGATCATCGTCATCGTCTGGGTGGCATGCCCAGAGACTGAGTCGCCGGAGGTATGGACAGCGAGTCAGGTTGTCTGCACGGAGGAAGTCGACGAACAAAGCGAGTTCTTCTTCGCCGCATATGTTGACAGGCTTCCTGAGAGCTATCTTGGGTCCTTCGCGGTATAGGAGACGACACGTGCCGATGAGGGAGACTGCATCCTTCGCCTGGTCAATCCCCACTGAAACCACGTTCAGGAGGACGTCGTAGTTCAGCTTCAAAGCTGTTGAAGAACGTGAAGAGGACGTCGATAGGTCCGTAAGACCTGGCGAATAATTAACACTGGGAGAAATCAGCTTCAATACAGACTAACTGGTGTGCACGTTCTGCCTTACCTCTTCATGCTGTGCCGTTGGAGGTACCATACGGGAGATGGCAGACATAAGCATACCGTTGCTATTCGACGCCCCCAGGTAGACTCACTCTCACTTTCCCACACCAGTAGATCGCAGTCTGCACCCTGCCAGCGTCCGACGTCCCTCCTCCAATCCGCGTGCTTTTGTATTGTGCCCTGCTGTAGTAATGACGCATCCCTCCCTAGGTGACTATTTTCGTTCACTGCGCATGACACACGTGGAGGAACTCGCTGGACCTTCTCGCAATGATGGATCCCGGGTCCGGCGCGTTCCCTTGGCTATCCGCTGTCTGAGGGCGTACTGTACAGCGATGGAGACCCGTCACCCGTGGAAATGCAACTGGCGCATACTACGAGGGAATGACATGCAGCATCGAGCCGACTCCCTCTTTCGCATGTGGGCGACCGGGAGGACAGAAAACGGTACAATTCGAGTCAAGGAGATGCTGGATTGTGGTGATACCGATAGGCCGCCGAGCCTGGTCCGTAACTCTCCTAGCTATATGAAACAAGATCGATAAGCCGGTTGAGGAGGAAGAGGATGGCCGGAGTAGTTGCGTACTCACGCCAGCCGCCCAAAGCCGTCAGGCGTCCTTGACCACGAACCAGAGAAGGTCAACTGAGCACAAACATATGTATCCTCGTATCCATCAGGTTCTCCACTGACGTGAAAAGAGAGGAATCTCGAGCGTACCCAATCAGCAAAAGCCCTCCAAGCGTCCAGTATGCAGCCTCCGGCTTTAAGCGGGTCGAGCGTAGGTTTCGATGGATGACGCTGTTCTGATCCTGATAGCGCTCGGGTCACGTAGGCAGCCACTCACCTTCAGGTACGGGCCGATAGGTACTGCTATCCCCAAATCGATGTCCTGTGGAGGCCTGGGCGGCCCAATCACACAGAGCGACGTGTACTGGTCTGAGAGTGCTTTCTGGGATGCTCGCACGGAGGCCGAATTCTGCCCTGCTCCGCTCGAGGCTCCTCTTCCGGTGAATCCACTGCGCGCGGCGCACGCCCCGCCGGCCATTGATTGGGCACGAACAGTCCTAGCTGTGATTACTCAAGGACAGGGCAAAGTCTTGCAGCCACATGTGCAGCGGGAGTGGACAGAGACTGCACGTATGACAAGACAGGCAGGCAGAGGCGGTGGACGATGGGTAAGGCTTGATGAGCTCTACTACCGGGAAAGCGAGCACACGTGATCGCGGTGTGACGCGTGAAGAGACGCCGGGGTTGCGCCATGCTTTGGAGGGGAGCGAGCTTAGAGAGCTGCTTATCCATCCGTTACTCTACCTCAAGCCTGCGGTCCTGCCTCTCGCGCGGATATAACACTCCCACCCTGGCTTCTCTATCGATCGTCTTTCGTTTCCCCATCTCAGCTCCACCTGCCTCCCGCTCCGCCATTGCGTCCCAACGCCTCCTTCAGGTATGCTGCTTCCCCTTGCGCTCGCCTTACCTGCAGCTGACCGGGCATGACAGATTACACGCGCGTTCTCCACAGGTACCACAGCAGCAACCATGCCTCCCGTAACCAAGCCCGGCCATGAAAAGTACGACATCGTCTTCATTGGAGGAGGCTCCGGTGGTGTCGCCGGCTCGGTGAGTTTGTGATCCCGTATACATCTGCGTCGCGTTCCGGTGCCGGGGGGCTACAGAGCGCAGTGGTGTACCGATGGCGCCCATATATGCACGAGACGCCTGACCGCGAACATCTGCTCAACGCTGCCTGTTTGTAGCGCAGGGCCGCTTCCTATGGTGCGAAGGTCGCCCTCATCGAGGCCAGTGAGAGGCTTGGTGGTACTTGCGTGAACGTTGGTGAGCGCTCATGTCCCTACAGCCCGACTTCCTCTAACAATCCACCTCGCAGGATGCGTACCAAAGAAGGTGCGCTACCACCCGCTCAGATGAGCCCGCCTACTCGAGCTCACGCTTCCCGTTAGATCATGTGGCATGCCGCCGACATCGCCGACAAGATCCGCCATGCCGAGGGCTACCAGTTCAAGGGCCCCGGCATCGGCCAGCCCCAGTTCAACTGGGAGACGTTCAAGCCCCAGCGGGACGCCTACATCCGCCGCCTGAACGGCATCTACGACAGCAACGTCGCCAAGGAGGGCGTCGAGCTGCACCACGGCACCGCGCGCCTCACCTCGCGCACCACCGTCCAGGTCACGCGCCCCGACGGGACGACGTACGAGCTCAAGACGGACCGCATCTGCGTCACGACGGGCGGCCGCCCGACGATCCCGAGCGACGACGACATCCCCGGCGCGAGCCTCGGCATCAACTCGGACGGGTTCTTCGACCTCGAGGCGCAGCCGAAGCGCGTCGCCGTCGTCGGCGCGGGATACATCGCCGTCGAGCTCGCGGGCGTGCTGCACACGCTGGGCAGCGAGGTGACGATGCTCATCCGCGGGGAGACGGTGCTCCGCAACTTCGATCCCACCATCGGGGAGACGCTCACGAACTGGATGAAGCACACCGGCATCAACTTCCGCCACGGGTCGAAGGTGAAGAAGGTCGAGGGCGCGAAGGGCCAGACGCTCACCATCCACCTCGAGGGCGGGGAGAAGCTCGAGGTCGACACGCTGCTCTGGGCGATCGGCCGGCACGCGAATACGGAGGGCCTCGGGCTCGAGGAGCTCGGGGTGAAGCTCGACGAGAGGGGCAACGTCGTCGTGGACGAGTACCAGGAGAGCGGGGTGCCTGGAATTACGGCGATCGGGGACGTGGCGGGCAAGGCGCTGCTGACGCCCGTCGCGATCGCTGCTGGGCGTCGTCTGTCGAACCGCCTGTTTGGCCCGGCCAAGTTCAAGGACCAGAAGCTGAGCTATGAGGACATCCCTACCGCCGTCTTCTCGTGCGTGGACCTCTATCACCCTCTCGTCTGCATTTCTGATACGCTGACGTCATGCACCCCATTTTCTCATCTTTAACCTTCGTCCCTCCATACTCACCTTCGGACTTGACTTGTCCCTTCTGTCTCTTCACCCCGCGCGCCACGCAGGCACCCGACGATCGGGACGGTGGGCCTGACGGAGCCCGAGGCGCGCAAGAAGTACGGCGACGCGAACGTCAAGGTCTACAAGTCCTCCTTCCGCGCGCTCTACTTCTCGATGGTCGACGAGCACCACAAGGAGCCGACGGTGTACAAGCTGATCGTCACCGGGCCCGAGGAGCGCGTCGTCGGCATCCACATCATCGGGCTGGGCTCGGACGAGGTCATCCAGGGCTTCGCCGTCGCGCTCAAGATGGGCGCGACGAAGGAGGATCTGGACAACACGGTCGCGATCCACCCGACGAGCGCTGAGGGTGAGTTGTGTCCTTCTGGGTGTTGTGTTCTTGCGCTCTGGGCCTCGCCTTCCTATTTGGATTGTGTATTGTGGCTCGGGGGAGACGTGGTGGTGTTGGGGTACAGATGCTGATCTTATAATCCTTGTCTGCAGAACTCGTTACGCTGCGGTGATGCGCATCGGTGCAGCTCGCTCTGTGGGGGAGGAACGGCTTAGGCTTCTGGATCTGCACACGTCATTCTAACCGTTGTGGAGCACTGGCACTCACGGCGAGGAAACGGAAAGAGAAGCAAAGATGCGCCGGAAGCTCGCATCGGTATGGTCTGGTGTAGTACCCTAGACACTGTAGCAATAGAGTTGACTGTTCTTTCGACTGTGAGATGTCGTGTGTGCGGACCCTCGTCAGCTATGTAGCTATCTCGCCCGTCGAGGTTTCATCCGATCAAGTAACTTATCTCGTTGGCGACGGGATTAATCCTGTCCTCTCCACGCCTGCACCATCACAGACATCTGCGCACTTGACGAACTTGTATAGCAGCCCGCACCCCCGCTCTACATGCGCACCAACGGCGGAAACATCTCAGGCGATACCAGTACATTCGAGGGTGATTAGTGCGGCTTGCCGGTGCATGATCCACTGACTGCGAGGCCAATTCGCACCTTCTCGCATTGATGAGTATCCCAAACTGCAGGATGTCGACATGTCGGCCCACATGACGTCCGCCAAGGTGGAACGTGGAAGAGTGGGCGCGCTGCGTATCACGCGCCAGGTACCGTACTGTGACGAAGTACGTACTCGGCCTGCACCCCCAGTGAGAACGTGCCGGATTCAGGTCGATATGCGTCAATTTTGATCGTATATAGTCGGGCAACCCGAAATCACACGAACACTTGCCATATTTACGACCGTTTTCGTAATGAGTTGTATAGCGCCGTGCAAACCCCCCATATAATACTAATCCTGTCGAATTGGGTCGATGGGGATTGTCAGCAATTGATTGTGCTCGAGAAATTTCGGGCTGAATAGTTTCAGGTCGTCTTGATGCAGAGCACGCCATTGGTTGATATTTGGGGAATATCTGTATTCATTCGTATAGACTTGTATGACTATGTGATACAATATAGCTACAATTAGGCAGGCGGTCAGGTCTCGCTATACGTAGCGAGCATAAGTGCACTATTTCGCTGATGCGGTGGTAGAGGGGTAGAGACAATGGGACAATTTCTAAGCATCAGGGGAGGAGTCGAGAGCTAGAGAAGGACAGTATGAGAATGTTGCACAGCGCATGTATGCAATCGTAAATCAATTACTGTTTCTCCCCTCAAGCGACTGTGTGTGCCAGGTTGAACTTGAGAGGATGCGCTGGGAAGGTGAGTGCCGCCTCCATACCAGTAGCAACTTGGGTAACTACATACCTCCAAGAATGTTTGACATACATAACATGACATTACTCACCTAGGGTGGTGTTGCGACGGCAACATCATGCACGACAACTCACCTTGTGCTCATACTCTAGACCACAAGACACACCTTTATAACACTCTCCAACCCCAACGTACCTTCGTGACACCATTGCACAGTGTCTGTGCTGCATTTTCACCAAGGGAGAATTGGCTGTTGGTCGAGCAGAAAGAAGAGAGATTAGAAAATAGGCGGAGGACGGCGGTAGTTAGTGCAACTCCACCACAATGACGTCACCATGTTTAGGGCAGGTTCCTACTGCCAGAGAACAGAGACTTCGTGTCTCCGGACCTTGCAGTACTTAAAACAATCACAGTAGAAATGTTTGGGAGGAGGTGGCATCCATGAGATGGTCCCATAGTGGGTGAAACCGTGGGAGAAGGCTGCGGATGCCTGGCTCGATTGTCTGATGAGAGCAGGCACTGAGAGGAGGCAGAAGCCTTACACGGCAGAGAGAGGTCGGACTCGCACGCAATAGTAGAGACAGACACAAGCTAGGCTAAGGCCTTACGGGGCCACAAGCCAAGGCATTACGTAGCTACAGCTAGAGAGATACTAGCGTGCATAGACATCATGCCCTTAGAGACATGTACGTCCGATCTCGCGACCATATGACTAACACAGACGTCAAATGGGCGCTAAACACCGCCCATCCGACCTGAATCGACATAGCACGAGTATGTACAGCCAAATACGATCTCACACGCCCCAAATCGACCTGAATCCGGCACGTTCTCACTGGGCTGCACCTCTCGCAGGTCTGACAGCGACAAGCGGGGGACGACTGAGCTGGGTTGCATCATATGCTCGTTGCTTGCTGCGACTGTACATACCCACCCCTCTCACAACATTGGGGCACAAAAGGCTGGCATAACGCCCGCAAGAGCGGAGCATACTGATTAAATGCAACACATGCGGGCGTGCACACGCATATACGCGCTGCACGCGGTGGGTAGGGTACTTGTAACGGGTGATTGCATCTATGTATGCGACAGGAGAGCAGCAAGTGCATCGATAACGACGGCGGATGCGCTGAGAAAAGAACGGAGAGCGAGCGAGGCTGGGGAGGATAACGGCGCTGCGACGGGACCGGTACTGGAAGGGGAAGGTTGACCAGAGAGCCCAGGAGAGAAAAGTGAAGGAGGGAGGTGATGATTGAGTGAATGAAATAAATATCACAAAGCACGTGCGTGGGGTGGGTACGGGGGAGGGGATGAGTCGAACGATGAGCAGTAAGAGAGCATCGAGCGTGAATGTGGGATGATCACGGAAGGTGGAACGTACGCGAGGAAGACCGCGGATAGATGCTCCCTGAGCACGGGAAGACGGTGAGAGAAGAAGGGTGGTGAAAAACGATACATCCAATATCCACAGAGAAAAGGAAACTATGATACACAATGATACAATCCGATGGGATATCCGATGCAGCCAGAGCAATGGTGCTAGAGCGGAGGAAGCGCACGATGTCGAGAAGGAGGCAAAGAAGGCAAAGTGCGGACGGACGAGTGGAGGCTGGAATGACGCAGCAAGCGCAAGCGGAGCAGAACTATGGGGTAGTGGATGGGGGTATCCGTGAAGGCGAGGGATACGGTTTGCACGGCAGCAGTGCAACGACGAAGTATGGAGTGCGGGGGCGGGGGCATTATACTGGTACAAGCGATAGGCGCCGCGACCCATGACCCATGATGTATGCGGGTGGAGGAGCCAGGACGAGTAAAGCCTGAGAGAGGGCCATATAGTATGTGGGTTGATACGAGCGAGGACGCCGAGCGAGTATGATATGACGGGCCACGAGGGCTTGCGAGGGATGATACAGTGTGAGACAGCGACGACTAATAAGTAAGAGGGGATGGGTACGCGGCAGCGTGCTTGCCTGTGCGGCTTTTTACAGCGGGGAGCTGATGATGGACGGTCGGTGCATGCGATAGGGAAGGGGATTGGAGCGTAGGCACGGATGAGGAGCATGAAGAGCGGAACGAGGAGAATGAGCACGAATCCAATATGCACAGGCGAAGGCGAAGATTAGACCCGGCGGGATCGACGAATGTCGACGTCGGCGATGTGGTAGCATAGGACGAGAACGGCAGGGAAGTAAGGAAGGGACGGACACGAGGAGAGCTTTGGCCGACTGCGCGTCCAGCGGCGATACAGCGGACACTGGATGGAGTATATAAGCTGATGGTAAGGAGTGCGGAGAGCCGGTATGTCACAGCGAGGACGATAAGAAGACCCAAGGACGAAGTTGAGTATACATATAATGCGGGGAATATGAGAGAACAACTTGCGACATCTTCCAGATGCCGCGCGCACGAATTTGAGCGGAGCGACGAATACCTCGCCAACGGTTGGCCGACCAGGCGCGCCGCTTACCCCTACTCGTGCTCGAAGCCGGAGCCTGGAGTGGGGTGCGCCGTGACGCCCGCGGATCGTCCACAGTGGGGGAGCCATGAATCGCGTTGCGACGGATGTCACGTCTATGCCGTACAAAGACACGCGATCTGCGCATGTCTCCAGCGGGCAGACGTGCGGGTGCGAGAGTATATGAGGGTGTGGAGTTGGGGAGTGGACCGGCGAAATTCTGAGACGGGACTTTGAACGCATACGGCGACGATCGAGCTTAACTCGACGACTCCATGGGCGTCCCGACCGCGCTCACACTCGCACTCTGGCCCTGGTCGTCCTTGTGGTGTCGCGCGATCTTTTCCACACCTGCGCCGAGGGCGGTAAGACGACGCCCCTCCTAGATAGCCACGCGAGGTGAGTGCCTGCCGTAAGCACATACCCGGTCCGGAACAACAGCTTACCTCCTCGTCCTCGTCTTCGGACTCCTCGTCGTTGGCGAAGCCGCCGTCGGTGTCCTTCGGGCTGTCCTCGTCCTCGGGGTCGTCGCTCGTCGTGCTCATCGCGCTCGCGCCGCTGCTGCTCACGCTTCCCCGCTCGACGATCTCGTTCTCCAGCAGCGCGACGCTCGGGTCCGCCGCGGCGTCCGGATGGACAAATGGACGAGCCGTCTCGCCGCTTTCGCGCGAGTCGATGTACGACAGGGAGTGGGAATGGCTGTGGTAGTGGTGCGCATGGCTGTGCGAATGCGGGTGGGAGTGGGAGAGCGAGTGAGTATGGTGCAGGCGGTGGTGGGGAGCGGGGATGTTGACGGCCTGCGTGATGTGTTCGAGGTGCAGATGGGGCCGCTGAGCGTCGGACGCGAAGGGCGTAGAGGAACCGGGCGTAGAAGGAAGGGTGGCAATCGCGGTCGCCGGTACGTTCTCCTTGTCGTCCTCCACAAGCTCGACCTCCGCCACCTTCTCGCGCACCTTCTCCGCCGGCTCGTCTTCGTCCTCGTCCTCTTTCGCATCCGTCGCCGCCTCCTCGGACTCCGTGTTCATCTCGATGTCCGCACTCTCCCCGTTCGCCTCGGCCATCGCCTTCTGGCGCTCCTGCTGCTCCTTCCTTTCGCGCTCCTCACGCTCCCTCTTCTGCCGCTCACGCTCCTCTTTACGACGCTTCACCCACGACATGCCCGTACCGTCGTCCTCATCATCATTGCGCTTGGACGCGAGACCGGCAGCGTTGTTGTCGGCTTGTACACGTGACCAGACTGTAGACTGGCCAGCGGTGTTCTTCACAGAACCCATCCCGCCGTATCCCCATTCGACGAACTCAGGCTCATCGGTTCTGCAGAGCAATCAAAGTTAGCGTTCCACCCACGAGCGCGAGACGCGGGGGCGGTGAGAAAGGACATCGAGTTGCGCGCAGGGTAAACGCACAGCCGCAACCTGGGAAGGGATGATGGGGCAGATGGCAAGTGCCACGTACCTGACGTTCGCGAACGGGTTCGCGTTCGGGTTCCGCCTCGCGCCGTACACACGCCCGTTCAGCATCCTCGTCGGCTTCCGCCCGCCCGCCGCGGCAGCCGGCGCCTGTTTCACCTTCGCCGCCTTCTTCTCCTCCTTGCTCGAGAGCGACGTCAGACTCTGCGTCCGTCCCAGAGGCACCCCTCCCCCACTCCCTCCTCCCCCACCCCCGAACAGCAGCCCTCGCTTCCTCTTGCTGACAGGCAGCCCCACCCCGGGGCCGCCCTCGGACGTCCATCTGTGGAGGGGCGCGCCGAAGTCGCCCCCGACGGCCCGCTCGCGACTCACGCTGCTATCGCGGCTCGAGACGGCGGCGCGAAGCAGGCTGCTGCTGCGACCACGCTGCTGCTGCTGCTGAGCCTCGCCGTTGATCGTCGCGAGCTCCTCGGACGAGAACGTGCGGCCGAGGGGCGACTTCGTGTTCGCGGCGTTGTTGTTGCGCCCCAGGAGCGGCTTGAGCATCTTCGACCACTTGCCGCCCTTGCGTGGGGACTGCGGCGGGGTCAGCGCGAGGACGGGGAGGGTGGGCGACGAGAGCACGTCCCAGTCGTTGCCGCACTCGGAGGGGACGGCCGTAGGCGCCGCCTCGCCCTGCGCGGGGTCGGACGAGCCAGAGGACTCGGGGGAGACTTGCGGACAGGCGAGGAGGAGGGAGTCAGTGGGGAGGGAGCCGCGGCGTGCGGCGGGGCTCGCGGTGGGGTTCGAGGAGGACACGCTGTGCGCCCGTTTGGACAGGTCCGAGTCTGCGGGCGCGGCCAAGGGGACGCCGGCGCTTGTGAGCGCCGAGTGCATCGTCAGCTGCTCCGGATTTGGGTCGGCGTCGTCGTCAAGGAAGACGGGGGGCAGCACGTCCTCGTCGCGTCTGGGCTCGGGTAGCGGTGCGAAGCGGATGCGGCGGACGGTCGAGGGGGCGGAGCCTTTGCGGGGCTTGCTGTGGGGGTGCAGGTGAACATTTCCGGGCGAGCGAGACGGGCCGGGGGAGGGGGACTTGGAGAAGTAGTCTGATGAGTCCCCTGGTGCTGATGAGGACGCTGAGGATGAGAGGGAGGAGTTGGAGGGGATGAGGGCGGGGAGGGAGGCAGGATGGTAGGAGGGCGAGGCAGCGGGGGAATGGTTGAGGAGGATGCCCTTGAATGGCCCTGGAGAGTATGTTTGCATGAGAAGGGTGGCCATGTCGTGTTCTGTCTCAGTCGAGCTGGTGTATGAGGTGGACGAGCAGGCAGGGGAGTCGGGCTCAGGGTCGAGAAAGGGGACTGAGAGGGAAAGAAGGAGGATAAGTAGGTAAAGGAACGAGTGAAGGAGACGGAGGAGATAAAAAGAAGATAGAGTGGCACTCGCTCCCGCTCATGCAGTCACTGCCAAGCTCTCCACTCGCACCCCGCTGTCTGGGGTCCTCCTCCTGCACCGATGCCCATAACACGTGCGTTCCAAATATTACGTTCCCACTCGACACGCTTCCTTCCCCTTCTGCCCATTCCTCGCCTCGCCCTCCGACGTGTCTTCCGACCGCCCCTGCCCCGTCTCCAGCCTCCAGAGGCCGGTCTGCAGACACACGAAGACGTCCTCTCCGCCAAGAGCACCCTCGTTATCGCTGAACATCACCTAACAACGACGCTCGCAATTTGCCGTTTCACCTCCATCTCCCCTCTGCGCGCTTATGCCATCTCAGATTCCCAGCATCACCCATCTTCACCGCCAGATCTCATATGTCTGACGCGTCTTCGCTGCCGCACTCGTCTGTCCTCTCTCCGACTTTCTCCCGTCCACCGCCGCAGCTCTCCGCCACCGAAATATACCCTCACGGACGCGACATGGCTTCGGCACATCCGCCATTCAGTAGCAGTAACAACCTCCCTCCATCGCCGCCTAATTGCTCATCCAGGGCCGATCATGCTGTGCGCGAGTAAGTAGGCGTCTTGGCAAGCGTACCCCGCAAACGCGGTGCTGTCGATCGATCGAGCAGCGCCCGCCCCTGCCCGCCTTTTCCTTCGAGTCACCATCCCCCGCCTCCCCGAGCCCGACACCTTGATCTAGACCTTGCGCCCCCCCGTCTCTCCATCTCCGATCCTCAACTGACCGACGCTGCTGTGATGGGCTACACAATGTACAAGTACTGTGACCGCCGGTGACTTGCTGTCTTGTCTCCGGTCTTGTGACGCCCCCCTTCCTCAGAACCCATAGAACAAGCTCATTTCACAAGCTTCTTGTCTTCTGTAGTCGAGGCTCTCCTTCCGCCGCGATTGCCTCGCCCCTAGCACCTCGCCTCCTTCGCCCAGCTGTATGGAAGGACAATCAACCCATCTGTCCGATTCTATCTATTCCATCCGCTCTCAGTGCCTCCCACCCTCCTGTCATGAACGTTCAATTCCGCACCGTCGTTGTGTCTTCCTCGTGTGAACTGACCGCGAGACACCGCGTCGAGTTCCCTTTCCACAGCCTCCTTCATGTACGTAGCGCAGGCCCTCGAACCTTACACTCTGACTCCCGCGACCGCGCGTTTTGTGCCATTGACCGTAAGCATACGAAGACACGCCCAACACACCGAATGACCCCGATCTCCTCAGATAGCCCTGCGTCGCCTTGCCCTCCCGAGCCCGCATCCCGGCCCTGTATCGCGATCGATCCTCGTGTGCGCTCCCGTTTGTATACGCAAAGTCCGCCAATCTCATCGCTCCGCTCTCACCGGTGTTTGTGTTCGAACCAGCTGACTGCCGCGGCCGTGCACCGCGGGCGCGTACACGGTCCAGATATCTGAACCTCCGGGTCGCGGGTGGGGAACGTTGGTTTCGCAGCATGGCCGGCTACGGCTACGGCTATAGCCAGGCTATAGCCCGGCCACGACTGATGCATAGCCGGCCACGGCTCCGACCACGACAGCGACCATGCGCGGGAGAGAAAAAAGTATTTCAAGCGCGCGTGGTCGTAGTCGGCCACGGCTATGGCCGTACTGCCACCTCGGCTCTCGTCTTCCCTGCCTTGTCATATATACCCCCGCCTGTCATCTCCAGCTCCCCACCGCTCCTACTGGATACACACCGACACGTCTGCGACGCTGGTCAGGCTGGGGGGGACGTAAGTATGTCTCCTGTCTAATGCTGTTCTATGATTGATCTCTTCTGTCGATTTTCGTTAGGTGCAGACTCGGACGCTCGGACTCGGAGGTCCCTTGTTTTCGGAGACAGGTATTACCTGGCTTTAGCTCGGCATTACGGTGCGTGTGCTGGTCCATTCATTATACGACAATCATCTCAACATTGTGATGTGCAGTTGATCTCCGGCTTGCTGGCCACCTGTTCTGTCCGTGATCGGCAGCCTAGCGACGTTGCAGATGACGCGCTCAACATCTACTTGTGCAACCGATGCATGTTCAAAGAAGTCTGGCGTGAACTGCTCATTCCGGTACTGTAGGGCCTGCTGCGCAGCCCGCCCACTCGACGCGCCTGCCTGCGGAGAGCGCTATCACAAGCGGATTCCGACATCTACACAGCGCGCATCATCTGGCAGCATATCCCAACCACCCCGCTTTCATTCCCCTGCACTATCAACATCAGCTAGCCTCTCAACATCATCTACTTCGTCCCCTACAGACTCGACTCCTGAGGTCTCGTCACCATTGCCTTCCACTTCATCTCTGGTAGCGCCTCCGCAACCCTCTGCCAAGTTGCATGCCAAGCCGCTGCATAGCATTTGGGCGCCGGCTGCAGCTGAGGTCGGGATTGCGGACCGCCTCAAGCACAAGTCTCGTAGAGAGGAGTTGGCTGTGGCACAAACCAGGCTGGTGGATGGTAGCTCGGAGCTTGGAGGGGATAGGGTAACGACAAAGACGGTTACCTTTTTGATCTGGAACCAGGTTTGTTGCCTAGCCCTGATTGTGTCGCAACACTGACCACTTGCTTATGCAGCCAGAATGTTATCCCGAAGAGGTGCTGGTCCATCTCGAGGATCATCCACTCTACACCCCACACAACCTTCTCGACATCATTTCTGAGCTTTCTTCAAATGGGCAGGTCTGTCCGGCGCAAATTTTCAACCGCGATACTCGATCATGGCCCACTATGGGTGCTGGGGTAACACTTCGCTTGGGTCAGGGTGAGGATGTTGTCTGCATCCGGACAAAGGGACTTTCGGAGTCGCAGTGCCTTGGTCTTCCAGCATGGGCCTCTAGTCGCACTTTTGGGAAGCGACCACTTGGTTTTTTCGATGCTGCTGATATAGCTAGTACCTCCCCTTCGAAGCGCATCCGATCGGCTTCGATTGTTCATGTGTCTCCGTCACTTTCCTCTCCGAAGTTGCCACACACCTCCGATGGTGATATATCCTTTTTCGGCCCATACGCACCTGTAACTAATGTTTCCACTACATTACCATCTCACGATTCTACTTCAGATAATCAACTTAACCTTAGTTCAGACCCGACTTGGGCTGACTTCCCCTCCACGTATTCCTTCTTTGAAGTACTGCTCATCACTGTGAACCTTCTAATCTTTGTGAATGACGCTCAGAAAATCAGTGATGTCGCAAAGTTCTTTTGTACGAAATTTGGTGTTCGAAGCTGTTCCAAAGCAAATTACAATAAGATTCGTACTTACCTACGCCGTTATACCCTTTTAGAGTATAAACAGTTTATCGATGCTAATGCTACTTACCGTGACTTCACAGAGCAGCGCAAACAAGATAATCGATCCGATAATACCGCGCAGCACACCCTCTGGGCCGCAAAATCGGTATCAAACTGGACGTTGCGCAACAATGGTAGTGAGTCACACAATCTGCAATCTCTGCCCGTTTGCACATCCACTAATGCATACAATATACAGTGACACCGCAATTGTTACGGGACATCCTTCAGGCTGTAGCTATGGTGACCCCAGCAGTTAGTAGCTGGGATTCAGCAATGCAGCACTATCACACCTTATATCCCTACCGCCAAGTGTCAAACCTCTTTCGATGCTATGGGAACGACCTCTTCAAGACTGGCTTCCATCTCACAGCATTCACGGATCCGAGCACTTATGCCGGAATTTCGACATCATTTGCCGAAGACTTGCTTCCAATGACTTGGATGTCTCCGAACACTCATTTTTCGTTTGGCATCCCCTCAGACACAACCAGTGAGGAGGTATCCGAAGGTATGTCTCCCCATTGGTGTTTACGAGCAGTCCTGATACGTCTACAGTGGATTCTGTCAACATGCTGGCTCTTTTTGGTGCCCTTTGCGACGCTGACATGCCCGCGCAGGAACAATATTCCGATAACACAATTGGTGACTTTTCTGATCTGCTTTTCCTTATTAGAGCACACTTTCTGATATGATGTTGTTGTAGCCACGATAGACAACGATACGGGTCCGGAACTGACCCACGGAGATCTCACGGCCTTTGGTCCTCCCATACATACCGAGTTTTTGTCCGAATCACTGGATGCTTTGTCCCCAGCACAGCTCCCCTTGCTACTCATGCACACCGCAAGTGATGGTCCCTCCGATCACAGCAGTCAAGTCCCTTCCGTTTCAGAATCATCAATGGTTATCACCCCATCATCTCTTCTCTCTGTGCTCGACTTACAATATATCACGTCTCATATTCCCGACTCTACGGCATAGCTGTCGACATCCTTCTTCTGCTTACCAACTTAGGTTTCCCCCGCATAATTGCATAATCCCTGATGCAGAGTACATGCTGTAGCGCTAGCTTACATACCAGGTCTCGTCTGATTCGTACATACATGTAGCATTACAACAATGGCGTCCACAACCTCTGACTCATCGATAGCGTCAGACTCGGCGAATGGCTCATCCGCCCGGTAGCACTCCGGAAGTTCTTCGAGTTGCATGAGGGGCGGTGGGGGCTTGCCGCGGTTACCAGCGCACTGCCATTTCTCCAGAGCCTCGCGTTCGCGTTGAACATCGATCTCGTGGAAGATCACAGCCTCCTCGTCCGAACGGGCGATGATCTTGTTGATCTCGTCGTTGTTCATGTCGCTGGCCTCCTTGTTCTCCTCCTCTTGATCGGCTTCAAGAATAGAACGCTAGAGCAACGCATGTAAGGAATAGTCTTGTAGGGATTTGTCAGTTACATACCAAGAACTCCTCCTGGGTCGACTTATTGTTGAAATGACCAGCCTGGATGACCTTGTCATCGATGTCGAGCTTGTACCGAGCGCGTGCAAACATCGACTCCTCGACACTCTTCTCCGTGATGAACCGCAGGATACGGACAACCTTAGTCTGACCGATACGGTGAGCACGGTCCTGCGCCTGTAGATCCGCATGGGGGTTCCAATCACTGTCAAAGCGATATACGGCATGTAGGCATAAGCATGCTATCGGCTACGAGAAGTACATAGGAACATACATTATGACAGTGTCGGCGGTCTGCAAGTTGAGGGCAAGACCACCAGCACGAGTCGAGAGGATGAAGACCTTATACTCGGAGTTGGGAGCGTTGAAGAGCTGGACATGACCTGCACGGTCTTCGGTCTTCGTACCACCGTCGAGACGGAGGTACTTCCAGCCCATCATCTTGAGGAAGTCCTCCATGATATCCATGACCTTCGTCATCTGGAAGAAGATGAGGACCTAACGTAGCGACATTAGTCTGATAATCACTAGACGTTTCGAACTTCGTGCAACTTACTCTGTGGCCCGTAGCGAAGAACTTCGGCAGGATTCGCGAGAGCAGCTCGATCTTGCCCGAGCTCCGAATGAGCTTGTCGTCGATCATCGAGCTCGGGTTGACCCTGTCCTCGACGCTTTCGAACAAGAACGGGTGCTGGCAAATCTTCCGCAGTTGCATCAGCTCGTTGCTCAGACCCTTGACGCCACCCGGTTTGCTATCGCGCAACTCGTCAACATATTCGCTCCCGTTACAGTGAAATACCACGACGCACCCTTTGGCGTCCTTGCCGTCCGCGATCATCTTGTACTTCTTCATCTGTTTGTACAGTTGCGACTGCAACGCCGACATGCGGACCTTGATCACCTTCTCGACCTTGTCCGGCAGCTCCGACTCTACGTCCTTCTTCAGACGACGAAGCAAGAACGGACGCAGCACCTTGTGCAGACGACGAATGATGAGTAGTGCCTCTTCTTCGTTCAGCTCGATCTTGTCGCCCGTGCCCGAGTTCGCGAACGGGGTGTTGAACCATTCGTCGAATGACTTGACGGAGTTGAAGACCTTCGGCAGCGCGAAGTTGAGCAGCGCCCACAGCTCAGGGAGGGAGGTTGTTCTGAAGCGGCGTCCCGGTGAGGATGAGGCGGTAGCGGGAGTGGTAGTACTGTGTGAGTGTCTGTGCCAGTTTACTCTGCGTGTTCTTTATGCGATGACCCTCATCTGTAGACGATGTGTAAGCATGACGACGCATATGTCGCGTTTGGAATGAAGCCCGTACCAATGATCATGTAGATCCACTTCATCCTGCTGAGGTGGATCCGATCCTTGATGATGTACTCGTACGTGGTCAGGACGACCTGGAAGTTGCCCGTCCGGAGGTCCGTCTGGAGGACCTTCCGCTGCGCCGGGTTGCCCTTGTACGAGATCATCTTCACACCCGGCGCCCACTTCGCGAACTCGCTCGACCAGTTGGTCATGGTCGACGGGGGCACGATGACGAGGTACGGCCCGCGCTGTTTCTTCGACTCGATGAGGAAGGTGATGAGCGAGATCGTCTGGATAGTCTTCCCGAGACCCTTTCATAAAATCCTGTCAGCCATAGTATATATAGCGACATCGCTGTAACGCACCATTTCGTCTGCAAGGATACCGTTGAGCTTGTTGTTGTACAAGCTGACCATCCACTGCAGACCCTTCAGCTGGTAGTCCTTGAGTGTACCGCCCACGAGGATGCTCGGCTGCGCCGAGATCTTCTCCTTGAGCCTATGCGCCACCGCATAGTAGTCCAGCTTCCCTTTGTCCTCCTCCTGACTGAACGCCTTCGCGCCGAACGTCGCCTCGCTCACCGGGCCCTCCTCCATGTCGTAGTCCACCGCCTCGTGCCCCTCCGACCGTTGCTGCTCCACGACCGCCTGCGCGAGCGAGTCCAAGTACGCGTCCGTCTGCTTCAACAAGTGCGTGATGCGCGTGTCCTTCGCCGTGTCGATGAGCTTCATGTACGCCTCCTCCTCGTCGTTCTTCAGCGCCTTCAGACGCTCCTTCGCCAGCCGTTCGATCCGCTTCTGCTCCTCCTTCTCCGTGTGCGCGTGGAAGCTGAGCACCGCCTTGCCCAGACGCGTGACTCGCTCCTGCGCCGCCTGCCCGACGGCGAGCACCTCGCGCCCGTGCATGCAGATGATGCCCAGCTGCTCGATGTGCTTCTGCTTCGCGCGACGCTCGCGGTCCATGCGCTGTTTGCGCTCTGCGACCTCCGTATTGTGGATGTCGCGCAGCTGAACCTTCCTCGTCCTCCGGAAGTCCGCCCGGTTCAGCGGGAGCAGTGTCCCATGCATGAGCCGCTCCGCCACCGACGCACGTAGCTGCCGCTGCTTGTCGACAACACGCAGTGCCTTCAGCTCAATGAGCGCGCGAAGCTTGCCATGGGTGTTCGGCGGGGGGTGGACGTGGGCAAGCTGCTCGAGTGACTGCGGCTCCGCGTTCTCAGCGTCGTCAAGCGGGTTCTCCAGACCGTCGTCCCCCATCATGGCTGGCATCGCCTCTAGCTCTCGCATCCGTTGCTCGATACGTGCGTCGATGTACGCATTGCGCTCCTCGATAGCTTGGTGTGGGTCCAGGCCGACGGGCATGACCGAAGGGACGAGCAATCGCTGCATCTTCGTCGCCCACAGCGCGGAACTCACGTCCGGGTCGCACTTCAGGAAGGTGAGTGGGTGCGTGTACGCGTTATACGGATAGATCCCCGAGTTGACGTCCTCCTCGAGCAAAGGCCCTTTCGGCAACTTCTCGGGGTCGACCGCCTCGATCTCCTCTTCTTTGATCGTCTCCGGGGGTGCCGGCGTGACTTCTGCAACGGGGGGATGCTCGACGACGCCGTTGACAGGCGTACCGTTCGTGCTCTTATGGATCTTGACTGCGCTGTCAATGACGCGCGCATTCACATCGGCACCGTGGAGGAGGGTTTGCAAATCAGGGATGGCCTGGTTTGGCACACGGATCGCTTGCTGGATCTGTTCCGGTACAGGCATGCCGCGGGAGATGAGCTTGAAGGCGTGAATTTGGGCACGGAGTGCGTTGATTTGGTCGGGAGTGAAGGACACGGGGGTTTGCGGTGCTTGTAGATAGGGTTGGTTGGTGACAGGCCCCGACGTCAGAGCGTTGCCGTTGGTGGCGGGTACGCCATTCGCTATGGGTCCCATGGAGCCTCGACCGTTTACTCCTGCATGCAAGTTTATTCTTGCTCTGAGATGACATTTTGGGTTAGCGATCGCTCGGCGACGTCTCAGGCAGCGAGGGATATCGAAGAACAAGCGATGGTGTAGGAAGGACGGGAAAGAGAGAAGAGAGGATATCAGAAGAGGCGAGGACTCACTCTGTCGCTGCTGCAGATTCTGGATGATGCTCCATCTGCCTCGCACTTCCGTCCTCCGAACGAAATCCTTCTCCACCACGTCAGCACATCACCTCCCAAGCCCCCATCTGTGCTTGAGTAAGCAACAGTCGACATGTAGGACCGAACATCGCGACGTACGCATCTCCACCGTTGTCTGTGTCCTCAGAGACCTCCAAGTCGACAATCCCTGGAGCAGGACGTCCATATCTTCGCGAGCTCCTCGCTGTTCTGTCCGGTAGCGTCGCCAGCCCAGGGCTGGTTTGCGCGCTGCGGAGAGAGAGAGAGAGAGGGAGAGAAGTGAGTGACGCTGGGCGCATATAGGCGTCGTCTGGCAGGGAGTGAATACACACCTGAATGAGATGCAGCATGCGCTCGCGGAAGACAGCGTTGTCGGGGTTGAGCTGCTGTTGAGTGGGGATGTTGGGAAAATGAGGTTGCGGGGCCTGGTGACTGCCGGCCATGGTTGTGTAACTCGTCCAGGAAAGAGTCGACGTCCTCTGATCAAGACATCCTGTGTATCGAGTGAGAATGTGATGCAGGTGGACTGGCCACGTAACGAGGGGTCATCACAGGACGATGTAGAGTGTAGAAGAGAACTGTTGATGAATTCGCAGTGGGGAGCAATGTTCAAGGCGGCCACGCCGGCGACGACAGCGAGCGACGCGATAGAGTCCCTGGCAGTAGTCGGAGATGACGAAGGAGAGAACAACTGTGGCGGGCAGGACTGGGACGGTGGGAACGGGCGCTTGATACACCATATACGGTGGTACGCATTGGCGTTGTCTGCCGTATTTCGATCTGTCTACGCCATAGTGGACCAGCACAGTACTGGCACTTGTCTACGTACTTATAGACGACATCAGGATGCCCTTGTCTCGCATATCGTCCACGGCAGGACCTCGACCCAGCTCCATCTCAAACCTAACCACCGCTATGAATCAGATCCGAAGATAGCGCGATACCCATTTCAAAGAGATCTGCGTTCATCCACGAATACAAGCTCACTTCCTACTCCCGCCGAAAGGTACTTCAGACGTAGTCAACGAGATGAGCTCATGTATACATCAGTACATACTAGTCAATTTAGCAGTTTCGGGTCTGCACCGACTCTCGAAAGCTCCTCAATAGTGAGACGATTCCTCCACTTGATCACTTCGTCCAGAAAAAAATCGTAACGAGCAGCTCGCATCTCTCGAACCATAGCCTGAAATCCACCCAACCATGCATTTGTCATCTCCGCCGCAGACGAATTGAAAATCCATTTGTCGCCATTAAAGAGCTCGGGCCACTGCGCCGCATTACAATGCTGGTTGCAGAAGTTGTCCGACTCCTTGTGTTTTGTTTTTGCATGGAAGGCATCAACGGGCATGATGCAATTATCGAAGTGCTTCTCTTTCAATGCAATTACATGCTTCTTGAGACTGCATGCATTGTCGAAAAAGATGACCTGAGGGAGTAATAGCGGAAACATGTTCTTCAAGAATTGCTAGCACAAATGATCATCATTGATGATTCATACCCATTAGGATACATATTTTGTGTACACACCATGACACCATCAATGCCCTCAGAACCAAACATAGTTGCCCGTCCCAGAATGACACCGCACGTTGCAACAACCAGCTGTTCATTGTGAGTCCGTCGCCGGCCAAACCGTGCGCGTGGCTTTGCGTTTCCCTCCTCAGACTTGGAGGGACATTCTCCATTTTCATCGTACTCTGTGAGCTCCTCGGACACTCCTGTACCTTCATCCTCCAGTGAAGATGTTTGAAGTCTTTCCAAACGTCGCCTAAGTATGAACAGGGCAGAACGCCCATTGGGGTCCTCGAGAGCGCGGTGTGAGGGCTCAGGGCAGGTCTGCTTGTTAGGAGATGCATGCTGGTTACAACCCACTACAGCACATATCATCTTGAGGTCCCGATGAGTCTCGCAGAAACGCGAGCGCTGTGTAGGAAGAGGATTTTGACAGTCATGTACATTGCAACAGGGTCGTCCGATTGTGATGCCATCGACAACAACCGCCCGTATTGCATCTGATTACGGCTAGATAAATGTACACTCAGAGTAACATATAACCAGGTAACATACAGCGACTGCCGGAAACATCTTTCTGCAAGCGACACTTGTTGCAGACATGATCCCAATTTTCCCTCCCTGGCCCTGCCCACCGTAGAGTGCGGTCTTGTAGTAGAGCATCAAGACGATCAGACTGTTCACCATGTGAGCTGTGCACTAGACACAGGCCCTCTTCATCGCGGTCACGGAGTAGTGCGAAGAGAAAGAAGAGATCGGAAAGGAGAGATGGCGAAAGGTCTGGCTGTATGGACCGAAAGGCTTCTGGGAACCGCTCTCGGGCGTCAGAGTGCTCTAGATTATAAATGCGAGCATTATTTGTGAACGAAACCCTACAGAAAACACTCAATTTATGCTACATGGTGCAGAGAAGTTGACATACCAGGCACAAACAGTTGACCAGGTGAAGCGATAGCAAAGTGAAGTCTCGATGATGACATGAGGTGTGAGCAGGATGGCGGCCGGAATACCGCGATAGTAAGTACGGGTTTGTGTTACAGCATCTGTAAAGTAGTTGCTGTAATAACGGGAGTTGCAGTCTTGTGAATAGATAAGCTATGTGAATACGAAGAACTCAATACAATGATACATACGATCACACTTCAAGGAGTGGGACATTGCAGGGATAGGGCCATGTTCACGTGTAAAGTACACCGCTGAGACTGACCTAGGAAGACCGAGAATGCGGGGAGTGCCGGCAAGACTCCCTGTAACGTAGTTGCATGCCGGATGGATGCACGTACGATGCGGTGGGTATAGGTTGAATGCGGCTAATCAATGCGTGAACAACTATATCAAAAAGTGGGTACAAGGAAATACAATCAGACCTTCGCCGCTGCCCAACCTGCCACCTGCCTTGTCAGGCCGTCAGGTGCTCGTCATGACGCTCACCGTGCACCAGAGACAGTGGCGCGCAAGAGCGTCTCCTTCCCTAATCAGGCAGCTAGCAGATCGGACAGCGGTGGCGGGCTCGACCATATTTACCTGTACACAGGAGGACAAGGGAGAACATACCTATTTTACGATGTGCCCCATGCAAGCGGAAAGCCTCCAAAACCTCGCCCGACAACTCCGGACATGGTGGACAACTGTACCACAGCCATTCGCCAAGAGCGCTCCACAAGCGCGGGAAGTGATCGCGGGGGATACCAAGGGCGGCGGCAAAAAACTCTTGAAGGTTGTTCGACAGCATGGTGGGCGGGCCCATAGTTGGTAATGGTGGTGCATGGCGGTCTAGACTTTGATACCACAGTAGGGAGGGTTTGATGGCCGCGAAGAGGTTCACAAACAGACTAAGAGCTCGATAATCAAGCAGCGCCGAGAGATGGGTTGGGAGCGAGGAAAGCTGTGCAAACAGAGCCGTGAGGTTGCCGGACATAGTGAGACCAGAGACAGGAGACAAGTTGACAGGGCACGATGGAGAGAGCAGAGGGGGACACTGGCATATATATGACCTGAGGGGTCTGCTGCGAGCGCACTTGGAGGGCGTGGACTTGGCGTCGCGAACAGACCTGCGAACAGGAGGCGACAGGGGAAAACTTGATTTCTCTCGATTTCGCACGAATTCTCGCACACGAGACAAAAAGGGAATTCGCAGGGAGAAAAGATTCTCGGCGTCTGAGGCTCGGGTAAAACTCGTTCGGCGCTTGCACCGTAGTCGTAGCCGGCCACGCTGCGAAACCGATATTCTGCGCGGGTGGGCGCCACGGGAAGTCTGAGAATGCTGCCTTCCAGCTAGTCCCTCCTGCGTGGACTGGACGGGGTCCTGGTCCTGGGCCCTCTTTCTCTGCCCTTTGTTGCTGCTCCCTTCTTAATCTCTCACAACGTCGCCACTATCGACTCATCAGCGACGCGATCGCGCCGAAGCCCGCAGAGCTCGCTATCGTGGGACTGGATATGGATGATGTCATTCCTATATGCGTCGACGCACCCGTCGAACGTTCCTCCTCCTTCTCCGCTCGAGTCTCGCGTGCCTAGCTCGTCCGTCGACTGGCTGTAGCAGGCCGCGGCTGTGGTCGAATCCCGCGCAGAGCTGCCCCCTTCCATCCGTACGTCCGTCTAAGTATAGTCTCTCGAGGTGACTTTGGCGTTCAGTTCGATGCCATGGGCCGAGCACGTCCGCTTCCTGGGTTCGCACACGGCCCTCGATGTCCGCCGAGGTCCGATGAGCTTATGAGGCGTGCTGTAGCGTCGTCGCTATGACGGAGATGGACCGCCATCGGTCGCACTGGACTTCTAGTGCGCGAACATGGCGAGCCCGGCAACTCATGTCGCGTGATGGACCTACATACGCCCATACGCTAACGGTGACATTCCGGGTGTTAGACACAACGTCTGTCCTCTTCGCTCGAACAACCGTGCGCTCCTCGGTTCACGGCTAGTGCGTCGGTCAAAGTCCCAGCCGACGCCGTTTCTGCGCTGGGTTCTCTGCCGGCGATGCGGACGATCGCGAGGCCCTCTCATCCCCATGGCTCATCCGGATGGTCGCCTGCCCCGAATCCTCGTCCGCTCCGAAAGAGCCTGGCGCGCCCCCCTCTTCTATTTCCACTCGTGCCAAATACGTACCCCCTCGCCACGAACGTCGAGCTGAACGCTGGCAATCAGGCAGCTTCCTATAGCGCTGGGGTCCTCCGGATGTCCGAGCGTCCCCCCTACGTTCTCGCCGCTTCTCGTCCTAGCATCCTGTACCCTCAGCCACCCCTACGTCCCGCAGAGAAGCTTACATCGGGCAAAGCCTCGTAATTGCCGCGGAAGCCTACGCCTATGGGGACAAGGCTATGCCTTCGTACAGCGCCATCGCGAACCTTCGACAGCAGTTTCTCGCTGTCGACCCGGAGCGCGGGTGCCGTCGTTGCGTATGCGCTGTTTACGCCTCAGGCCTGCGTCGGTGTCTTGTGTTTTCATCGGCTCGCGAGCCCGGGCTGCGCACAAGCTTCAGGCTCTCATTAATCGCGAGGTCCCTGTACGTGCTTCCCGCACCGCCCGCCGAGGCTGCGCAATGGCAAAGTCCCGACCCTACTCACCGAGGTGGCGTTACGACTGCCTCTTCTGGGCGGGACGCGTATGCGCCCACTCAGGACGGATATCCCGCCCGGAGATTAGAATGAATGGCTTCCGCGACCCGTTCTGTCATCTCATCACGGCGACGCTTTACGAATGTCCGGTGCGCTGTTCATGCCGGTCGTTCACGGTCTGCGTTATCCCACGTTCACCGATCGCTCACGCACGTAATCGCAGCGGCGCGCCCATCTCTCGCCCCAGGCAGACCGAGTACTCTACCACCCAAAATCCACCTCACCTAAATATACGTCGGTCTTAACCATCCTCGCGAAACGCGACGGAGGGCCTCGGTCCGGCTTTCAGGCGTCCTGGGACTGATCACGCCCAATCCCTTCACGTCCGTTACCCGACGTTTCGGACGGGACACGCCGGAGCGCCCAGCGCGCCTCGTGCCCGCATTTAACGCAGGCGCGGACGCGTCGGAGCGCCTCCCGCCTCGTGTCGATTGGGTGCCGCCGCGCGTCCGGGGTCCCTTGGAGCGTTCGTCTCGTCATCAGTGATTAACCACGCTGGGGAGGAGTCCAAGACGGGCGTATCCCGTCAATAGGGCCGCTCAATTCTTGAGGACGCAGGACGCAGGACGCACTCAGAGCACAACTGATGGATGTGATGGGCTAGCCGAACCTGCCGCATATGGCAAGGTACCAACCTCATCTCTTGTGCCCGTTGTTTTCCAAGGGGTCTGTCGTGTCCCAAACCTAACAGAAAAATATGAATCGCGAGTATGTTGAAGACGAAGGCTTTCCGCGTCGATTGACATTATCCTTGAGGCACTTTGTGAGGGGGGATGAGTGTTATCGTCGCTCGAGGGGTTTCGAAGGCGAGCTCGTCGGCTAGTCTCGCTTAGCCCATCACCTCCATCAATGGCCTCTGAACGCGTCCTGCGTCCTGCGTCCTCAAGAATTGAGCGGCCCTAATGGCCGATGTCCGTCGCGTCTGTCGCATCGCACGACGGGGCTCCCGCTACGGCGTCGCGGAAGGTCCGTTGGGCCACACGACGCGGGGTCGCGATGGGTGGACGACTGTGGACGAGGAGCCGGCTTGGCACGTTCCTGGATCTGCGCGAGGCGGGATAAGCGACGAGGGCGGGCGATCTCCCTGATGGTCGGTTTCCGCCCCGGGAGAGCGTCGTCAGGTCGACGGGGCTTGCCATGACGCTCGCGAACAACGCTCTCCAAGTCGTGTTGGTGGAGAGAATGTGGTTGGGTCACAGCTTGCGCACGTTCCTCTTGAGACAACCATGCCGCCGGGAGTCGGTTCGGGAGGCGGCGCCGCATATATGTGGAAGTCAAACACCCGGAAGTTGTAGTGACAGAGGTGCGTGCCGTTGTACTTCGCTGCATGCGGCCGTGGAACAACGTCCTCGCTGGAGAATGTTACAGCAGCCGTGCGCGCATGCGCTGTCGTGGCAGCTCGCTATTGCTTCTGTCCTCGGCGTCGCTCTTATCGCATTTGTAGAATTGCGTCGCAATGAGGCCGCTCTCTATCACCGTCTCGTAAAGCTGTCTCCGCGTTGTTCGGAGGTGTCCACTGCTTTCCCCGCAAGACGTCAGCGCAATCGCAAGTGACACACGGCGGGCCGTCCACACGACGCCAACGTCCACGCTAAACCTGTATTTCTCTCCCGGCATGCTGGTCAGTAATGCCCACATTATCTTTGCCTTTACGCCACACAGTTGACAAGTTAGCCCCGTGCTGGGAATGTAGGACAGTACCAAGCATACCGACCGGCAGGAGCTCACTAATGCGCTGCCAATGTCAGCGACTTGCGTAGTCGCGTCCCCGCCGCATCCCAAATGTCAGACACGCATCCTGACCAAGCGCGTCGTTACGAGAGCGGGCCCCCGCGCACTGCGAGGCGGTCCCACGGCAGCACCGACGTTCTCGCAGTCCGCACGTCCGCCCGCGTGGGATCGCCTCCCGACCGGCCGCGGTGCCGGCTCTGCTCGAATCGTTCGCTCGCTCCCGCGCCCGAGCACCGTTTCGAGCGGAGGGACGATCGCTGCTGCCGCGGTACCAGTAAGCGGCGGGTGGCCCTGACTAGCCATCGTCAGAACTCTCATGGAGGTGCTTCTCGCTGTTGACGCACCTCGCGTCTCGCACGCAGAAAATCTCAGTGTATGTAGCCTCGTCTAGCCTCCCTAGCGTGCATCGCGCGGCTTTGGCCTCGCTTGAGAGTTGCGAAGGTACGGTGGATGAGATCATTGATGGCTCCATGACTCTCGGGGATTGCCTTCGCTTGGAATCCCCCCGCGAGAGAGGCCTGGACACATGCGCACTTGCTCTTGTGTTTAGCGCTGCGCTTATGCTAGGCGAATCGTCATACTTAGCTGGTGCGTATCCCCTCAGGTTCTCTCGCAGCGGTCTCCTCACCTCAGGAAAATAGATTCTGCAATTAGCGTGTCTCGTTCCAGTCCGTCGTTCTGTTCTCAATTCTCGTCGTTCCATGGCGCAGGTTGCCGACGTCCGCTACGCAGTCTAAAGGCTAAATTTGGCTGGGAGGAACCGGCACCGCGGAGACTTTGCTTATCTGCGTCGCGGACGCAAATGGCCACACCGTGGCGGCGAGTGCGGCGGGCGATGCCTGCTGAGCTCTTGCATTTTCATGGCGCCGTGTTCACCTCTCACCTAACTTCTGTGCCTTGATTACGAGCGAACGTGCTTGACGGGACTTGTGCGGGCGCGCTGCGGGAGCATCGTTACCACCCCTTCTAGGTCGGGCTTGGCAGGACGGGGGTTTGCACCGGTGGAGACCCATTGGTCGCTGATTGGGCATCATCATGGGAAGGTGAGAACGACAACGCCTTTAGACCTGATTCAAAAGCTTGCGCTGATGAAGAAGTACGACTGCCGCGAGAGCGGTAGCACCGTGTCAGAGCCGCTGCGATCATGTTCGGAGCTGAACATACCTGAGGAGGGAGATGTCACCCTGAAAAGTCGGGACATCCTCGGAGCCGTCTTCGTGCAATGCTCCCTTAGCGACTTGGCGAGGGATAGACGGCACGAAAGTGGAGAGGAGGCCACAACGCTCGCTCCTTGTCAGGCCCGGTTCTGCCGTTCTTCGCTGATCTGCCTTTCTCAACAGAGCTAGACACTATCCGGGCGCTTTATAACAGGTCCCCACCGTCCCCCAACCCAGCCCGGGGAAATGTCCATCTCATTGTGCACGATGCACAAGCCCGAGAAAGCCGTCAGATAGCGATTGACATCTGTTTGACATTTCATCGGCCACATCTGTACTCCCCGCCCCAGCCAAGCTTCGCGGAAGCAATTCAAATCACTTAGTCTGTCTTGCGCCCTGCGTCAGTGCAATCCTACAGACCTTCTCCGATATCAGATATACACTCGTCGGGGCATGTAGCATGCACAGCCTGCGGCGGGTTCTATGCAGAGACGTTTCATTTCGGACACTCAATGCAGCTTCGGATTCTGGGCGACACGGTGAGCGCCCGACGTGCTGTCTCGAAGCGTCTGAGGACTGACGCACTTGTACTTGGAAAGCACAGTGGACCGGGAAGAACGTAACTCCGATACTCATGGCGAGCTTACGAAGTTCGGAGTGCGTGCCGATCCCGGATTCTGCGTCAGCCTTTGTCCCAAGCACCCTGGCGAGATCATGCTGATATCCCACCGGCTCTCATGCCCTCTCAGGTCCAGACGGCGGATGTCAGCAGTGACGAAGTACCTGACGCTTTGTATCGCGCAATTAGTCGGGCACTTGAGGCATGTTGCTACGTTATGTGGTTTTGAAGTCGGCGCAGCTTGCTCCGGTGCTTATCTATCATTTGTCCTTATCGACAGCCTCCGGACATCTGCGGCATGCTCGAGTCTGCGCAAAGTACTGGTCCACGATAATAATGGAACATAAGAGAATCTGAAAGGGCAGATGCAAGGTAGGTTCTCGACGTACGGTCCGATGCCCCGTCGCCGACACGCATGCACAAGCTCTACTCATGTCTCGACTCAGCAGTCAAGCTAGGTCAGAAGCATGCAGCTTTCCGGCGTTTCCCCGGTCTCCCACGCATCCTACCGGAGGGGAAGTCTTTTGCATTGTTCATAGGGAGAGATTTGCGGTAAAATGATTGTCTATCTCGCAGGGAACCGAGCGCGACCTTGTGCAGGTGAGCTATTCTTGTCTTCCACCTCTCTACGTCGTTCTCATGCTGGATGACAGATTGAGACACTCGTTCTCAGACGGCCAATCTGCGGGAGAAAGGGTATAGCTGGCCACACCGCTCGTGGCTACATGCGCAAGTCGTTGACTATGCGTAGGTTCGAACGTGCGACAACTCACCTTATAAAGGAGGCCTTACCATTCTTCTGTGCGGTGCGGCAATTCGTCCATCACATGACTACGCACGGGTGTCTCTCTTCCTTGTCAGGACACCGCCGTGTTCTCAAATCGAGAGATCCGTCTATCCGGAACCGGATCTGGTGACGAGAATTACTGTCCATCCAAGCCCTGGCAAGATACGATGAGATACGTCAATTGACGTCGCCTGACACATTTTTACTCAACCTTAGTACGGGACTTTTTCCTGCTCTACCGATGGGAAGTGGTCTTGGCGCGATGACCTCTTAAGCTTACCAGCAGCCAACCGCCTGCCAAGAACACTGGGCGCGATCTAAGAACAGACTCCACTCGTTCTTTATGACATTTACAACAGCCTTCCTCGATTTAGGAGCGGCGTCGAAACGTCTTATCCCAGCCAGGGAGAGCATCCGCAGACATGATCTGTCAACGAAGGCTTCTTTAGCGGGTAAAGGAATGTTGACACGGGGCCAGGCCACCGCTGTACTTGCGGTGTCTGTCTTTTTCAGGTGTGCAACGGTTGCCTCCGCTCTGTAAAACTTACGCAAAGACATGGGTGGGACTCAGCCTATCAAGGGCAGCAGCTTCAAAAACGACGGCAACACTCAAGATTTTACTATGCAGCGTTTAGAAGCTCGCGGAACACTGACTTTTTGTGTCCAATACCACATTCATTTCCGTTCGAGGATAGGCCCGCGGGAAGGGGGTCTTCCCATGAAGTCGTGTAGGTAATCCGTACGTCTCCCTTCCATATTGGCAATGTGGCCCTTCTGACCCTACTTCTCGACTCTTCGAGCCAGCGAAGGAGGTTATCAAGACCTTCTGCGCTGTGTGTAAGGGTTCTCCGGTCGTGTGATGACACCGAGATGGCGTGCGCGGGACGTTGGGCTTTACACGGCCACAGTCCATTCTTTTCTGACCAGCTGTCCTGCTGCGGGTCAGCTGTAGGCGTCAGTTCGCTGTCGGCTTTACTTGGCGGGCGTCATGAAGTTGCTCAATGAGCCGTTCCCAGCACAGCCGACGTCACTGGGGTCGGCATCAGTTTACCCACGTCTCTCACTTCTTGGGAGCGGAGGTGCAGGTCGAAAGTACTGGAAGCCGAGTACCTACCTCGACAGAGGATTGATCGGTCGAGCTTGTTGGCACCGCCGCGAGGCATTTAATCGAGGCATATCGCATAGGCAAGAGAACCTACATGTCCCACCCGATGATCGATTACCGCCTGGTCGTCCGCGCTCTTGCATGTTCAGGTTCGTTCACTTCACAAGGATTCTATTTGCTCACTGTGACCCCGGACATCCCTTCCTCTAGATTTTCGGGCTTCTCGGTTGGCACGAGGATACGATCGTGCTGAGCTTCGCGCCGACTCGTGTACGAAAGCATCGCCGCAGGCTCTCCCGAGGCCGCTGTGCAGACTGCGGTCAATATTCTTCATTTCTTTTTCATCTTCATTTTCATTATAGCCCGCGCTCACATGCGTACTAGACACCCTCGCAACGGCTTGTTTGCACTGCTCGTTTGTCATGTGCAAGACATGTTCATGGTACGTCTCGCTGTGCCTTGCTGCTCTCTGAAGACGATCGCGTCAGCCCATTGTTATAGCCCTACAATGCTAGCTCCTCGCGCTATGCACGCATATGCAGAGCTTCACATGTCGAATGCCCCTTCCTTGACAGCGTCGAACCACGCTTGTATGCATCGGTGGTGAACGCCGCACACGTGGCCTTCGCATTCACGATGCAGAAGATCCTTTCTGCCAGCCCTGCAAGTGACAAGCATGCTAGTACATCATGAAGCCGCATACACTGACTACCGATATGCTGATCAGTCCGATCGGGTGGAAGGATCATGGACCAAGGTAGGGCGCGTTTTGTCAACTGCCTTGATGCTGAATTGTGAAACATTCTCCGATACGCTCACTAGCTGAGGGAGAAGACCTCATCAGCTTGTCAGGGGATTATGTAGTCCTTCAACTTCTCCAGCGCAGACAGCGAGGGCAGTCCACGCGACCTTCCCAGTCGTCTCAGTGCCCAGCCCGTGGAAAGCGGCTCCCACGTCCATTGCTTCCGCGATCGGACGTAGCATCTCGGATACGCTTCGAGGGCCCCAAGACGAGGGAAGGGCGGTTCGGTCTTTACGCTCTGGTGACACAGCGTAATGAGGTCATCCGGTGCAGCCTTGACATCCCCGGTGAGCGGCAGCGCAACGTTGGGAGTCTGCAATAGCGAGTGGGTATTGCACGAGAATCGGTGCATCGCTAAATTCTGCCTGGTGAGAATCGGTGCATCGCTGGAATCTGCCTGGTGAGAATGGTCGGCTGTAATCTGCAAATGAACCTCCGTGACTGCTGCGTTCCTGCGCTGACATTTTAAGATGCACCCCAGAATTGGAATTAATGCCAACATGGCTAGTGATTAAAGGGCCCGGGTGGTCAATGTATATATTACAAGTGTGACTTCATCCTCAATTGACTCACCCATCGTGTCGTACCAACTCCTCAGATGTTATAATACAACAACATCAAGTCTTGTGGAGGTGGCTTCATCGTCAATCCTTCCAGTACAACCAAGGGACTGCACTGCGTGCGCCCTTCGATGTAGTCGACCCAGTCTGTGAACAGCGGCTCCCAAACCCATTGCTTGCGGATGCGCTTGTAGCGTCCAGGGACCGGGAGTTGTAACTGACCGACGCCTTCGGATGGGGCGCGGAATGGTAGCTCCGTGTTGAGGCTGCGAAGACAGATTTTCGTAAGCTCTTCGAGGGGAAGGTCGAGATGACTGCCTAGCGAAGCGATCCCTCCCGGATCGGGACGGTACCACGGGAATGACTGGAGCGAGTTGTGAACGCTCCCGTCCAGCGTGAACAGAGCGAGGACGGCACCATCGGGGGAACGGACGATGGGGGGGCAAGACCGCCTGAACTGCGCGAGGCCGTTCGCGCGGGAGGCGGTGAGGATGTCAATCTTTCGCGGATCGGTTTCGTCGAGCCATTCGGTGCGGAGGAACGTGAATGTGCATGCGGGGTTGCCATTAGGGTTGCCCGCAGGGGAGGAACGGGAGAATCTGAAGCGGAGGACGGCGTTGTCGGGCTGCTCACGGCGACCGAATTTGAATCGAAGGAGAGTAGAGATCTTGGTCACAGTCTCGAGCGCCCATTCGTGTGCGGAGAGGTAGTCGCTGAAAGCCTGCGTCAGGTCCTGGAGGGTGGCGAAGCCGTGTAACTCATCAGGTAGAGAACAAGGTCTGTTCGCAAGCATCCGCTTGTTGCTGATGTATTGGCAGGAGGCTCTGAGCGACCACTGTTAGACTGTCGATGGAATCGATAGTGTAACGTACCACTACTCACTTGTGCGTCGGCCAATGGGCTTTCTGGCACTCCTTACTGCAGTATGTTGGAGGGTCGACGCACCCGTTGCACTTCATGAGTTTGATCCCATCGCTAGGAGACAGCCCGCAGATTACACAAAGCCGAAGCGTACTGGGACTGCTAAGGGTGTATCGGAAGGACATGAAGGTCACGGGAAGCTAGCGATCGAATGAGGTCGCTGCTAGCTGAGCAGTTGAACTTGAGGCTAGCCGCAATGAACGAAATCGCTGCCCATCGTACTCGGAATGCGGATAACATCGCGCTCAGCATCGAACAAACAGCTACAAACCAGACTGCATTGACCCGCCGCGGCCAGCGCCGATATCGAATTTTGCTGTCATCATGTGAAGCCAGTGCCCCTTCCACCGGGGCCAGAGCCAGAGCCAGAGCCAGACGCAGAAAGCATGCGCCGCGCCAGACACCGAGCTCTGCCAGGAGTGCGAGATGGAGGACTCGGTTGGATGGCGACGGTTAATTGCAGTTCCTCCTGATTATGTCAGCAGATCTCAATTGCACCATTCGCCTGCACTGGCTGGCCTTCCCTTTCGCTGAAGCAGATTCGGAAGGGTCGATCTTCTTCCTCAGACTAAGTATTACTGCGAGGAAGCGAAAGATCTCGAGGTTGCAACAAAGTGCTCGAAGGTGGGGTTTTTGGTATGCAGGCAGATTTATGGAGGTATATGACGGTGCATCTGTACAAAAAATAGGTGGGCAAGGTCGCGCGCCATGCGTTCAAGTCAATGATCGTGTTTGGTGCTGTTGTTCAGGTCCCAGCGTCTAGATTAACCGGTTCTGTACTTCGAGCTTCGAGGATATTCAGTGTTACTGTACGCTTATCTCGTTTTTTGTTATATTGAGGTCCTACTTAGTACTTACTTCAAACTCGATTGCTGGTTTCTCGGTAAGCATGAGCAGAAGCACGACGTAAGATCTAGGTGTTGTACTCGATTGCACTGAGGTTTGATGGCGGCAAATGAACTGATATACTCGGCTATTCTCGGCCAGCGCTTGGCATTCATCTCGAAGTCAGACAACCTCACCTGTCCATGACATCGGCGGAGATATATATATCAATAGTGATAAAGGCATCTTATAACACACAGAAATCATGCATAAGGCATGCTAGGGGAGACAACACCCGATAAAGGTACACGGTGAGGAGGATGCCCCGGGGGCTGAATTGCTTAGATCAGCTGCTATGCATCCGGATCAATCCAGTCCGATCTGCCCGACACCGGAGTCAAACTGCAGTCGTGCTTCCAGTGTCAACTCCCAGGTCCTACGACAAGGTATTCTAGCCTACTTCCTAGACAAATATGCTTGCTAAGGTGAAATCCACAAACAACAGTAGAAACACACAGCAAAACCTGAGAGTACAAATGTACAATTATACCTCCATAGATATCCCTTCATAATCATAACTCCATACTTATGACTATCATGATGCTCGCTTTTGTTCTGCTACTGCCAAGTATTGGCTTGAAACGGCGTCTCCTGCTTCGGCTATGAATGTTGGAACAGCATCGAACAAACCACATGCGTCCTGCCATCCAGACGTGACAAGCGAGGTAGTAAGGCGTCAGAGTACACACGTGGTATTCACCCCACGGCTGTCCTCGCTAATCCGAAATAAACAGCCAGCATTACACCTCACGCTCATGGACACCTTTTCGTTCTCGGAGAGCGTAGCAGTCCGCTTTCCTTTCTCTGGGTTTTGCGACTGGTGCAAGGAGAGCGCACATGAATCCAGAGGTGGAAAGCTGAAGAAGTGCACGGGATGCTCTGTCGTGCGGTACTGCGGTAAAGAATGCCAGGTCGCCGCATGGCCAACGCACAAGTGAGTTCTGCTTTAGTCCTGAGTCAGCTCATACTTGATGATATCTATGAGCTACGTGATACTGATCTCGGTTGATTGGACAGGTACATGTGTCGGTCAAAGTCGAAGGACGACGCCGCCCAGCTGGGCTACCCCTCCGCCGCCTGCATCGCCAGTGCCCTCAGATACTGGGCGACTATCCATATGTGGTCCTTGCGAACAATCACGGAGACGAACGCACAAGGGAGAGCAGGTGTCGACTAGTATCTAGACAATCAGCACGCGATGGTCTTCGTGCTTTCCCCTCGCAACCCCGACGCCGCCGACCCCAACAATCCAGCCAAGGCTTTCCAGGTCGAAGAAGGCGGCATGGTCTTCAAGGACGATCGCGAATTCCTGCGATCGCAGTGGGAACTCATCGAGAAGACATGCAAGACTTTGACCGACTCCATGCGGACGAAGCTGGCCACTGAGGCTGAGCGGCAGGCATTCGCGGACTTCCTTCCTGCCGCATTCCATTTCAAGACGACGGGGCTGGTTTCGTTTCACCAGTACCCCATTTATCGGCTGCGGGAGCATGGAGCGGGTCCGTCGTATGAGCATGCGCACAGTGAGGAGAACTGCCACTGTACACTTCTCCATGACGTCGCCGTGATGTGTGTCGACTCGATCAATAGCGGTATGGTCCTTCGGGCTCCGGGAGGCGACGACAACCAACCTCTCCCGGACGTCTGCTTTTACCGCCGGACGAAGAAGTCTTGGGAGTGCGTGCGTCTGAATTGGGAGTGGGACAAGGTCGGCGTCGACGTACCATCACCATCCAGGTCTGGGTTGTACCCTGCAGAGATCTACAGGCGATACCACCAGCTCCTCCCGCACCGGATGTACCAGTAGGATTTCTTTCTCCACGTCTACAAGACCATCCTGAAGGAAGTCTTTCAGTCTCGACGTCGACGGCGATACGAACTTGCCCGGGTGACAGACTACATCTCGCATGTCACTTTGATTATCTCGACTGCATGGTTGTTTGAAATAGATTCTACCATGAGGTGCCAACGTGTTGAACTCGTAGTACTATCCCATTCTCAACATCCGACCAATCTGTTCTACAGCGGCCACAGCACGCGAGCGCGTAGAAGGCATCGATTGCCTACTGAGTGGGATCGTCTTTATCGGGCATGGATCAGGTTGACCTCAGAGGGAGATCAGGTCCTAGACGGTTTAGAGAGCAACGATAGGGCGGCGGAAGAAAGTGAGATGCACATCTAAACAACCGTCAACAAGACCAGGTGGCTGACGCACAAGCTGTCGAAAACCTTGAATACCCCCAAACCTTTACCTCGGGGCGACCACCATGCAGCTTGCATGGGAATTGAGGCTCCTAAGTAGACTATAAATATCGCCTGGATCATTACTACAACGGCAGGCAATGAGATGTCGAGATGGAGGTGCCTGGACTGGTACTGCAAAGGGTATTAAAATCGTCGAATAGACTCGAAGTAGTCCATGCGTTACAGTGACCTGAACACAATCATGGTTTCCGAGGGCGTGATACCAGCTTTCAGTTTGTCTAGTGTTTCGTCCAACCCTTGGTGCTCCCCTCTTTGATACTCTGTCCAGGTGGGGAACAACGCCTTCCACGTCCAAGAAGATCCTTGGGATCGAACGAATCGGCCGGGAAGCGCGAACAGCAGACCCATCGGACCGGCTTCTTCGACCGCCCGTAATGGAAGCCCGGCGTTGATGCTGCCGGCAGATAGCTCGAGGATATCGCCCAAGACGGTGTTCTTTGTCGGCTCCGATAGCGTCTGGGGATGGAAGGGTCGGAAGAGCGGATAGTTATGCAAGAACGTCATGTTCAAGCCCTCCACATCGAACATGACGGGCAACAGCCCTGCGTATAAGGGATGTCGACCGTAGAGCTCCGCGGCGGCCGCTCGTGTTGGCTGGCTGCGCATCCAGTCTGCGGCCGCGCGGGGATTGTAAAGCGCGTGGTCGGTCAGGGAAACGAAGCCATGGCTCTTCAACCGGAACGTGCGCGCAGGGTTGCGCTCAGAGAGTCCGAGGACTGATGCGGGGATGAGGAAAATGTACAACATCTTGGGGGGACTCAACACCCAATCGAGCCCTCCGCTTCGCAGCACATGGGCCTTGGCTAACGACCTCAAAGCCCATGTGTGTGCTTCCATGAACTCTTGAAGGGTGTTGGTGAATGTTGCGAGATCAGAGTAGCCGAGGGAGCGTAATCCGCTATGCAGTTGTCCCGAGTTATTCCTTGCGGTGAAGTCGGTAGCGTCGCAGCATACTAATCTGAGGGTGATAGAAGGTCAGTGAAGCCACATGTTGAGGTAGAACACTAACTTGTGCTTTTGCCATGCTGCCTTTTGACACGCCTTACTGCAATACAGAGCTCTTGAGCATCCTGCGCACTTGCGTAACCGGGTGGCTGGGTCCTCCTCCTGGGCTCGGGCACAGTGGTGACACCGTCGGAGCGCCGGAACAGACAGAGGCACGTCGGGGAAGTGGCTGACCACAGCCTCCCAAGTATTGGACTGCATTGTACAAGCTAATTCCCGGAGATTGCTCGTGTCTAATGATTAAGGATTGCTAGCCTGGTGCTGGTTGGTGGAGAGAGCAGAACCTTGGGCTTCAAGCGCTGCCGCCCTACTGCCAGGCTCTATCCGACTCGTGATTGGAAGTGGCGCTTTTCGGCCCGACTCGGATCTACATCTTCACTTTCCCTATGGGAACCTACCTCGTGTTACTCCTTTTTTCAACGCAATTGCCTGGAACCCACAAGACTACGTGTATGCTCATATGTCAATGATACCAGATCTGCATTCGCCCAAAAACTGCACATTCAAGAGTCAAGCGCCGAGAAATCCCAAAAGTAGGTTTGGTAGATATAAAGTTAGATGAACGAGCCTGCAAGGGACTCCATGCCAAGCTTCAGGCCTCAGGCCTTCAAGAGGCACTAGGATGGATGCCTTGTCCTACGGCTTGTGGGACTCTCCAGCCAGTAGGAGAAGCCAAGCGTAGCATGTCTCACCCCTCTACGATGGCGAGCGCCCGGTGAGAGATACACAAGTTCGAGGAGCACGCACCAGCCTGAATGCTATTAGCTCTGGCCTCTACAGCGACACCTCACAGGACTATCGCGACCTTGTCCTCAGTCTTTTTCCGGCTTTAATCGCAGCGGACCATGCGGCATTCTCGAAAAGAACGCGATCAGCATCTTTTTGTTCTCCGGAACTCACCCTTCTCCCCAGTTTGGTGGCGTCTCTCCTCTTGAGCGTTGGTGCAAATTTGGTCACCAGGGCCTGCCTAATAGATCACGAAAGGGGTCTCGACCTTCAAGCTGGCGTGCATGTTCGCTTTCGCCACAATCTACGCAGGAGCATCGTGCCGGATGCACCAGATGGCGAAGGCGGTTCATAGCCTCTTCGACGCTGGTGGTATACTCGCACCGTGTCATGCTGAATGATTAAAGCTATTTGAAGACGTACAATACCCAGTGAGCAGAGATTCAGCAGGCCCCCCGCATCGTTCGTATGTACGCACTCACCACGTCAGAGTATACGCTCGAGTCCCACAATATCAAAAAAGCATGACCACCGGTACTAGCGAAACAGTGGTCACTCAGACAAGTACGCACCGCACTACAATGGCCCTGGGAGGTCGATGACCATGGTCAATAACACGTCAGTAGAATCTGCTCGCTTCGAGAAGCGAAGTGATGTTGCCCCCGGTTGGTTTGCAACAGGGGTCAGCCGAAGTCCTTTACATCCCACTGGGGTTTGCGGACAGTGTGAAGACCCCGGCGGTCGCACAATAAGCACTAGCCTGGAGGGCCTTACAAGTGTCTCATGTACGGATATCTGAGTTGAATATCAACGAGAGAGGTCTGTCGTCCCTCATCTCGTGCATAATAATACAGTGATCTGTGCCGATTGAGGTCAGCGCAAGAATGGTTGGGGGCGCAAAGCCACTCACCTATGCACTAATTCAAGGCGATGCCGACAAGAAGATATAATAGATACTCGGAGAAACACCTAGAGAGACGGCTACAAAAGTCACAATCAAGAAGGCGTAGTCCATAGTGTTACATTCGGGTTCGGATCGCAAGCAGAGTAGCTGCCAGGTGTGCCGTGGGCTTAACCAGTGTACCCGCCTTAAAAACCCTCCCCGCTCCATTGTCCCATCCCCTGCCCCATCCCCATCCCCATCCCCATCATGTTGTGTCCCATCCCCGAGTTCATACCCATCCGCATTCCTCCCATTCCTCCCATATTGTTCATGCCGCCCATGTTGTTCATCCCGCTCATGCCCATCATGCCCTCGCCCATCCCGCCATCCCACATGCCCCCACCCGCTCCATCCATGAACTGACCCTCCCCGTTCCCCATCCAGCCCATCCCGCCCCCGGCCATGCCCATGTTTCCGTCGAACCCTCCACCGCCAAAGCGCCCTCCGCCGTGCCCTCCGCCCCCGCCGCGGAAGCCCATCCCCTGCTGGCCCATTCCGGCCATCCCCATAGCGTTCATCCCGCCCATAGGGCCACCCATGGCGTTCATACCTCCCATCCCCATCCCGCCCACGCTGACGTTGATACCGAGCCCGGGCATACCCATGTCCCCACCCCAGCCGCCCATCATGCCCATACCGCCCATGTCTCCGCCCATCGTGTTCATGCTGTTGATCGGCAGCATCGCGGGGGGACCCATCATTCCCCGACCTTGGTTCCCGAATCCTCCGCCGCCGCGTCCCCCGCCCCCACCTGCAGCTCCGCCGGAGACCGTCATTGACAGCGGAAGCTGCATGGGAGAGCCGGCGGACATTGCGGAATTTATCATGCCCGCGCCTGCGTTCGTCGACCCGCCTCGCACAGGCGACTTCGGGCGAAGCGCGTCGATATCTGCCACGACGCCCGCCACCGTCAGTCATCTGCACAGGCCGACGCCTCGCGTCCAGATTTGCTGAGTACGCACCTGGGGTCACCGGCACGACCAATTTCTGCCCGCCGCCCGCGAGGTCCTTGATCCTCGCCTCCCACGTCTCCCTGTTCCAGCGCATCGCGCCCTCCTGGCCCTCCTCATCCCCCAAGGTCATGCCTTCCTCAATGCGGTCCTCCTCGCCCTCGGCGAGCGCGGTGACCCACCCGCGGCGCGTCGTGCGCGCGCGGCCGAAGATCTCGAGCCGGCGAAGCCCGAGGCAGAAGTTCTCGATGAGCGTGTACATTTCGGGTGGCTTCAGCGTCGGGTCTGAGGAATCCCCTTCCCAGATCAGGACGTCCGTGTCTGTGCAAGAGGAGGGAGGGAGAAGAGAAAGGCGTGTGAGGAAGCGCATACACCAGGACAAGGGGGGGAGGAGGCACGCACCAACATTACAGTGGACAAACCAGCTGTCGGTGGACCGCCGCACGGTGCCGCGTATGCCCATAAGACAGTGCTGCTTTGTCCGGGTGAGGAGGGACGTAGTGGGTGGGTCCGTCTGAGGTGCTACCATTGTCAATATATGTTAACCGTGCAAGAACGAGCGAACGTACCCCAGGGCCCTTGTTCGACGTCTTATTCGTCTTCACCCACACGATGTCCTCGCACCTCCGGAAACCCCACTTCGCCATCACCTCGCGACCGCGTTCAAGCCCTTCTCCTGATCCACTTCCTACCCATAGAAGTACAAACGAGGGGTCCGCCGAGAGGGCGGGTATGGGAAGGTCTTGTAAATCATCCCAGGTGAACGAAGAAGAGAAAGGAGGGTCTATCAGGATGACGTCGAATTTAGATCCTTGTAGTGAGGACAGCTCGGAGTAAGGGAGGAACGTTGGTGGGATGGCGTGCGCAGCGACCGCCGCCTTTTTCAGTGCGAGTAGTCTCTGCTGCTTTGGGTACCTAATCGACACGTTCTATGTCAGCGAAGGCTCTCGGAGTGGCAGAACATAGCAACCCTCCATCCACATGCTCTGGCTCGATGCGTTAAGGGATTGCAGAGCATAGAGTAGTAGGAGTCACATATTGAACAAAGCAACTCCGTGAACGCAGCCGAAAGGACAGTGGCGAACCCCGTGCCATAATAACTTGGTACAGTAGCAGCATGGACAGGATGCGAGTCTGGGAGAGGATTAGACTGCAGGACTCACTCTTCGAAACGATGCTCCGGATCCGCCCCCAGCACCCAGTTCTGCGGCCACTCGCCTCCATCGACGTAGCGCTGCGAGTAATCGTTCCTTATCGTCTCTTCCTCAGGAACATAATTGCTATACCGCGCCAGGCGTGCGCGCTTTGCAGGGGGCAAGTCCGGTCTATGTGGTTTGGGGACAGGAACCAGCAGAGGAGACGAGGGCGGTGAGTGTGAAGGTGAACGGGGAGGAGTCGGGATCAGAGGGAGCTTTAGTATCGCATTGGGCGGAGATGGTAGGGTCTTAAGCTGGCGGCGGAAGTTTCTCTGTGTGTTCCGGAGACGAGAGACGAGGGCATTATGCGTCGCGAGCAGCTCGTTAGCTGATGCTAAACATTCGGTGGTCGTGACGCTCATAGATGGCAGACACTAGAGCACAACTTGGCGTTCAGTAGAGTCGATGGGTGGAGTTGCAGGTTCCTTGGCAGTCCCGGTTCATGCACGATCCTCAGCAGTCAGTCGCCGACGAAGTGAGCTCGGTGGACTAGGGTCCGAGATAGTCGGAGCAGGCAGGAATAGGCGCCAGCTATGTCGGCGCGGTAGCTGTGAACAACAGCAGTCCTCTCGCTGATTTGAGCTTGATCGGAGCTGCGAATTCACACAAACCAGACTGGCACAACGGTCAAGGGATCATGACAAGGCGTGATTGGCATTCACGTGGTATTCGAAAGGCTACAACTTGGTGATCGAATAGCGACGACAGCAAATAGTACTAGAACAGGTGCACTGAGAAACAAATACAAGAGGGGGTCGACATTGATTTCTGCGGGGGTACAGAGATAATCAGTATGCGGTCTACTTCCACGAACGAAATCAAACACGCACCATGACGCCGCGGAGACGTCTCGTTGCGTTAACGCTATCCTCCGATATCCGGCAAGGATCACCCGCGTCCCAACTTTCGTGCTTGTCGTTTACACTTTGCAACGCGCGCGTCCTCGAGGACTTCTCGGCTTCCTCATCGTTCACAACAGTTGAAACAGCTGCAACTCGCTGGCCTGACCGGACGGCGACAGCGTCCGTCGCCATCAGCGTCTCAACCACCGTCTCAACACGACTGACATCCCCAGCCGCGACGCGTCCTGCCGGCGTTCCCCTCCCCTCCGCCCCACCCGGCGAGCCCAAGCCGAGGGGGGCTCCAGAATGGAGCCTCCAGAAAAGTCAGATATCGTCGTTGTCCGAGAAGAACTCCTCTTCGTCGTCGTCGACGCTCTGCAAGTTTGTAAAGTCGACCTTGTACCGGAGCAGGCCGCCGATGCCTCCGAAGCCCTTCACGAACTGCGCGCCCTCCTGCGAGCGGTTGGTGACGAACTCGAGGTTCGCGCCGAACTCCTTGTACTTCTCCGCGAACCACTCGAGCAGCGGCTGCGGGTCGACAACCTTCTCCATCTCGAGCCCGGTCGACTTGTCGATGAAACGCTCGCGCTCCTTCTCTTGCTCCTTGGTCGCATGAATGATGATCTCCTCTGCAGCCAGGGTGAGCATTCTTCACGTGGAGACATTCATATAGTTCGTTCGCGTACCACCAGCCGCGTTCCGGAGCACATAGCGAGTGATGTCCAAGTTTTCCCAGACGATCAAGGTCTCCACGGCACCGAGGTCAAGCGCCTTAAGGGTGTCGTCGATACCGAAACAGTATTTGCCGGTATCCTGACTGATCTCGTCGAAGTACCTCTGAATGAGCCTCTTCTCCTGGACGAACTTGACGTTGGAGAGGGCCTCGGCTGCGAGCTCAATAGCCTGTCACACGAGGTCAATCTGACATCAAGCAAATTCGGCAGGGAGGACAAAAGGCGCACCTGATTAAAGCCGTTCTCACCACCGTAGCTGACATCAACGACCTTTATGACCTTCGCAGCCAGACGAGGATCGAACATGTCACTCTGCGACAGCTCCGTCTTGAAATCCGCACTGCCAGCAAGCACAAGTCCAGTGACGTTGACCTTGTCGTTCGTGATGAAGTGCTGCACTGCCAACTCCGCGACCTTGCGGACATAATTGTGGCGCTTCTCGTCACGGAGACGCGCGAAACGCAGGGCGGACTGACCACCACGGCCGTGCTTTTTCGGGAGGTCGACGGTGAACTTGTGGATGACCTCGCGAGTGTTTCCCGCGACCGTACCAAAGAGGGTACCGTTACCGTCCATGACAATGAATCCGAACTTGGAATCAGACTCGAGGAGCTCTTGAAGCGCCTCCGTGTGGAACTTATTGTCACATAGGTAGAGCGAACTGTCGGGTGCCTTTTTGAGAAGGATGGATATACAGAAAGAAGAGTCGAACGTACGTGTTGATCGGCTTGTGGGGCTCGAAGTCGAAAGAGACCTTCTTCTCCTTTCCTTCGTCTGTCAAGATTGTGCCGACAAAGAGTACAAGACCGTTCGGAGGCACTCTGTTGTACAGCTTGAGCCGCTGCTGGGTGGATGTGATGGCCGCGAGCACGGAAAGACGGTTGACACGGGACTTGATGTTGGACGCAGTACCATATTCCTGCGTCAACATCGCGTTGATGCGGGAGATTTGATCCTGCAGACCAAGGTGAGCGATCGGACAGCGATTTTAAAGAGAATGCGCACCTTAGGCGGAATGATGAGCGAGATCATGGAAGTACCCGCTCTGGATTGTGCGATGAGTGAGAGCCAGTACGGGGACAACAGGTGGACGTACCCTCGGGCTGCGTCAAGGCTCTTGATGAGCTTCTTGACCTTCCACATCTGGATGTTCTGCTCCGCTGGATCCTGACTCATGTTGGCAACAGTCTACGCTAGTAGAGAGACCTTTTGAAGAGAGATGGGGGAGGATCGGGGGAAAGATATGAGGGCGAGCTCGTCCTGGGGCCCGAGGCAGATATCTTGCCCTCACCAAATTTTTGATCATTATGTCAGTATGGGCGCCAAATTAAACTTATCCCCCAAATTGCCCCCGGTTCGGCGGGATAACCTCGGCAAAGCCTTCATCTGGAAGTCAAATACACTCTGCTGCATTCACCCATTCACCCACTGACTTACACCCGCTCATCGCCATTCTCTTCGGGACCATCTATGTCAAAGCGTAAACTTGACTCTGTCTCGGACGCGACGAACGGCAGATCACCCAAACGAGTTAGAGAACAGTCAGGCGACACCGCGCAGAGTGCACCCACGCGCCCCACGAGCGCAGCAGCAATGGAAGTGGACTCCGCAGCGAGCCCGACCGCGATCCAGACGACTGCTCCCGAGGGCAAGAAACGTGCACGCGGATCGGAGGAGAAAGGCCATGGAGGTGGTCAACCAGGGTCGGCATCGAGGAGCAGACGATCCCACAAGGTCCGTAAACTCGCGCCACCGCGCCCTGTCCCAACCGTAGCCCCGTCTGTGTCCGCAACGGGACCGCGTTCGGCGCATACAGAGGGCAAGAACTACATTTGCATCACGCGGCGGACAGAGTTGGGCGCGTACCTCAGACGCTGTAAGGATGTGTTTCTTCAGGACGGGTAAGTCGTCGTCATAAGCCTAAGTCATAGATCATGCATGAACGTGTGGTTTGTCGTCGACAGCTACAAGACCCTGTACCTGAGCGCCATGGGCGCCGCTATACCCCATCTCATGCAGCTTGCACTATCTCTCCCTACCATCCTGCCTTATCCACGGGATGAGATTCACACCGAAATCTTGACCGGCACCGTCCACGTTCATGATGAACTCATCCCAGAAGACGAAGAGGAGGATATCATCTACCGGACGCGTGGAAAGTCAACTGTTAGCGTCGTTATCAAAATCGGGGACGGTGTCAACGAGCCTACTGCAGGCGCGGCGAAGGGCAGCGGGAAGAAGAACAATCTAGGTCGCGCGGTGTCGACCAAAGGAGGCGGGAAGCCGATGCAGAAGGATGTCACTCGCACCGCAGAGCCGATCGTTATCCGAGAAGACGAACTAGACGATTCTTGACTGAACCCATCTCTGATTATTACTTCGTGTCTCGACGCGAGATCCCAATTGCAACAGACGGGCAACGGACGGGCAAAGAACTAACTGTATGTATTCCCGTGGCTACTCGAGCGAATTTTGCGTTATGACGTCCATGGCTTCTTGTCATTTCGCTCCGAGGTTGCCTTCAAGCGATGACAGTCGACCTCATTTCCCATCGTCGTGCGTCACACTCACCTGACACAGTTGGCATGTTGTGCATGCAATTGACTCCGTTCACGGAGTGGGACACACCTACGTGTGTGTGCACGACGACGTGGCTTGCACAATCTGCATCGATTGCCGAATGCATGCAGGGATTTGATTGGGACGTGAGTGTGTCTTGTTCTGTTCTTCGGCCCTCCATTTGCTGCTTCGCGCTTGGCCTTCAAACTGGCCTCGACAGACGGCCACGTTGTTTGGAATGGCGGGATACTTGAGCTTCATGCACTGTGGATTGATCATTTCCTTAGACGAGCCAGATCTGCGCCTCCTCGTCAATCAATGGCGTGCAAGGATGACTCGTGTTGCACGGTTTTATGTGGAAACGTCGACTTGCGGAGTCAGGGGAACATACAGCATTACTCTGAGGTACGTAAGTTGTAGGTATGAAGGCGCCCTGAAAATGAGAAGCACTCGCTTCCGGGCTGTCGGGTGATGGCATGCACCCTGCAGGGTCGGTGCTGACGTACGGAACAAATTGAGCGATCTCTCATGCAAGACAGCTCACGCGCGCTGTGTTCGTCGCCCTCGTCGATCATCTCAGCATGACCCTGCCACCCAATTATCTCTGCATCCTGATGTCGTGGAGGCTGTGGCATCGGAGGAACAGGAGTTCTTATGGGAAAGCCTGGCATCCGCCCTTTGTGGTTGGTGCGGCGAGGGGGGCCCCAACAAGCAGCTCAAACGATGCGGTGGTTGCGGCGTCGTGTTCTATTGCAAAATAGAGTGTCAGGCGGCTGCATGGCCGAAGCATAAGTGAGTCGTGCAGAAATGACCCATCGTTTGTGTTGATTCCAGGATAGTCCAACTAAACAACAATTTTTCGACGATGCAGAGTTGTATGCCGCTCGAAGAGGACGATCGACCTCAACCTAAAGGCCGCCGTTTCGCGACACCCATGAATCTCGTTGCGTCTATCGTGAATTGGGCGGAGATACACAAGTACGCATTGACGATCATGGCGCACGCTCTTGTTCGTCTCCACGGTGGTGTCGATTACAATCTCAAGAACGGTCGGGTATTGGTGTATGTCGTCAGTCCATACCATGAAGAGGATCATCCATCCAGAGCTTTCAGTCTGATGACGGTCAAACTGTCTGAGATGAAGGACTGTACCGACATCTACCAGCGCTGGCGAGAAAGCCCCATGTCCAACGCGAAGCCGGAAGGCCCATTCTTCCAGAGCGGAAATACAAGCGCGACGCCTGCAGGGGTCATTCACCACACTCGGTCAGAGCCTTCTATACAGTGGAGGTGGCATATCTGACGGCCGTCTCCAGGATGTAACGTCGCCCGCAAAAGTCACCTCTTGTGGCCGCTGGCATCTGCCTTCGGGAGTCTCCCGAGACGTCGGAGCCTGAACGTGTGTGTTAGGTGGGCCAATGGACTCCGGGGGTGGCTCCCCTTGCCTCGTCGGTTCTACCGGCCCATGAGAACGGCTGCGGCTGTCTTCTTCTCTCGCCTCGGAGCATTCGGTAAGCTGGCTCCCATATTCGTATGGGAGATCTCTGCCTGACGTCCATTGACCCAGGTCCGTTGGGAAACTGTCGCCAATCTACAAGAGTACGGTCGAATATCACAACTGTACCTACCCGGACGAGTTGCCTGTGCCTTGACTAGGCCGTTGGGTTATATCAGGGGAGGATAAAGCAAGGAGGCGAATAGCAAATCGCGGTTGAAACTTGGTTCTTTCGAGACTCGAGTGTCCTTCGGCTCCCATGCTGCGTACGACTATCTTACCCCCAATCATACGTACGGCTTTTCCAATATTGAGAGCCGCAAATTCAAGTGCCTTTCCAAACGCGGAGCCATACCGGCACCCAGGTATGTAGAGGGCAAGTACAACCATGTGCTTGGCACGAGATGCCTCATACATAATCTGCGTCTTTCCCCGTGCTGTTCTCTGTATCATAGAGTGGCCGTAACGTATCGACTGCTCCGCAAACAATGAGTTTGGGAGTGCGTTTCAGGTCACCAAGTAGGCCATTCCCGCTCTTGTCAGTTCCGCGAGGTGCTAAAGAAGTTAGTCATTCATACAGATTCCGGGGTGATACAGAGGGATGAGTAAGGGCTACAGTATCATGCCTATCGAGGCCAATCATACAACCACTTCCACTTCCATCATTTCTTCGACTTCGTGTTCCTCGATCAGGTCCTCGCTTACTGCATCGGTGCCGTGGTCATCCTCTACGGGCACAATTGGCTCCTTGGTCTCCTCCACAAGAATCTGTGCCAGCATTGCGAAACCCTCAGTCGTCTCGTCGCTCAACTCTTTCTTGTCAGGAACATCCATGGGCAAAGGCGACGGTAGTCGCTTCGCGGCTTTACCCTTCCTGGGACACGTGCAAACACGGGACAAGAGGTGGGGCGACTCGGGATCCGCCAGTACTTCGCGAGCGCGTTCTGCCGCGAGGCCCTTCGCCATCGAGAGATTTGGCGCGGCGAGGGGCCCCGCGACGATCGTGTCATGGACGAGCACTGACATGCAGTCATACCGCCGAACTTCCGGCCGGCTTTGACCCTTGCTGTTCCGAGCGTCGTTGGCATTAGCGCGACCTAGCCATGATTATAAGACATGTACTCACAGAAAGCTGATACACCTGCACCCGGACTGCGCCACCCATACCATGAGTTCGGTGACCGGATCCTTGGGAAGATCAGGCCGCAGTGCAGCAAGCAAATCCTCAAGAACCATCTCCGTAATAGCGGCGGCCTTGTCATAATTATAGTCGCAGTCCACGAAAAGCGCACCGAGCACGCTCTCGAGAACGTCGCTGAGCGCCTTGGGCGGGTCATGCTTCCAGCCGTTGATTATGATCTCCTCGTCGGTGATCTCCTCAAGGATCGGGACGTGCTTGCTGATCGCCATACTGAGTTCGACATTGTTTATGAGAAGAAGCTTGTGTAGCGCGAGCCGCTTGACAGCGATCGACGCAAATGCAGGCCCGCAGACTGCGCGCGAACGGGCCCATGATAGCTGTCCAGATGTCGCAGAAGGGAACTTCCTATACAGATACTCTGTCACGACCATGTCTATGAACGCTACAGACATGGACTCAGCCTGTAGAACACGGTAGTAGACTGCTGGAATGAACATACCATCCCCAAGAAACTCAAGCCGCTGGTACGACGAGCAATCAGTAGAACGGAACGACGGATGTGTGATCGCCTCTAACAACAAGTGCCCGTGCTTGAATGTGTATCCTAGGGTTTCTTGCAGCCCCGCAAACAGCGGTGCTGCAGGAGCCTCCTTCAACCTACCCGAATACCGTACATACCAAGGTGTTGGTCCCCCAAACGAAAGGCCCAGCGCGGTACCGGCCCGCAGCGCCATGTCAATACCCCCCGTCGCGAAGCTAGCACCAAGGATCGCTTCCATGCAGTCCTGCAAGCTCCGCCGGGGATACTGCCGCAGCGCACGTCGACAGGGCCGCACCGCGAACAAGGCCTCATCCCCTGTAACGACATACCTCCACAACCTGATACTCTGCGTCTCCGGGGTAAGGTGTTCCTCAAGCCCATGCTCCAAGGCGCGCGCAAGAAGAGTACGGTTCGCGATCGCGGTCCGTTTCATGTTGTCAAGCTGACCCTCGTGGCGGTGGGGGTATCTGTTGTACAGATGGACGACCGCGCACAGCTTGAGGACGGCGTCACCAAACGTCTCAAGCCGCTGATTATTGAAGCCTGCGTTTGCGCTAGGGAGGGTAATCGCTTGGACGAGGAGATCGTCAACGATGGGTGGGAGCTTGAGCGCGGTTCGGACCTCGTGGGCGCGCCAAACGTCGGTGAGCCGGTGGCAGAGCTCGGGAAGGATGGAGAACGACTGGTACACGTGTCTGGGTATGAGGGCCCATCTGCAGAGTTCGATGGGGAGGATGACAGTCAAGCCCGCGTCCTTCGATGCGGAAGAGGGTAGAGGGTCGTTCTCGAGGGAGTATGAACAGGAGTTGTTACGATCCAGCATTATGCCTTCTACGCAAATCCCGTCAAGCGAGATGTTCGGCGCATGCCCCTTCCGTGTGTACTTGTGCAGCCAGTAGTCGCGGTACGTAGGGAACCCGGCCTCCCTAGACCCTGCGGGTGGCGTCGACGACGGCGTCACGTCGGGTCGCATCCTCCGCAGGAGCAGCGGGTGCCCGAACTCCCTGTTATTCATGTAGATCACGCGCCCGTACTCTTCCTCGGACACATCCTCCCAGTTGTACGACCCGAATGGATACGCGATCGCGAGCTCAATCGCGTCGAAATCGACTCTGCAGTCACGAGTGATAGGGACCAGGTAGCATGTCAGCGGGAGAGTGATTCCTCTGCCGGTGATGCACCACCAAAGACCCATCCTCGTATATTCCTCCATCGCTCGGCGCTGGCTCCACGCGTGTCGCGGGTGCAGAACAATCTCTACGGGCTCGTCGGTCGAGACGAAGAGGTTGTTCGCAACCAGGTCCGCGGGCGGAAGCGCAGTGCCAGTAATGAGGCCGGCCGAGGGGATCCCGTCCAGACGTACGACGTGGAGCCAGAGCGTCGAGCCCAGGACCCACGGGTCGCAGACGGGGACTTGCAGCATATCTGGGACGGACTCGACATTCTTGATGGGTACGCCGTCCGAGTCCTCGTCTTGAGCGGCACCGGAGCTCTTCGCAGGGAGGAGATAATCGTCGAAAACGTTTAGGGCGTGTAAACTCTTCACAGCAAAGAAGGCTGCCGCGCGTCTGGCCTCTTTCTTGGAGCGCTTGGGCGGGCCCTCGTATACGAGAAGGTTTGAGGGTAAAGGGAGGGTAGAAGGGAGGGTAACAGTAGCGACGAAGTCGCCAGTATACCGAGGAGCATGCATGGGAGTGAAGCGATCGCGGGGTATAAGGGAGCATAGATGATTGAGTAAGGAGATGGCAGTATTGTATGTCAGGATGGCACCCGTAGAAGGGACAACATATCGTTCACGTCGAGCAAGGTCGAACGGATCAGGCGCATCGCTCTCGTCCTCTTCCTCTTCGACATCGGGAGGGACAAGGTCGCGTTGCTGATAAACTTTTTTCAGATGGGGTTCGCTGCGCAAGAACTCCAGATATCGCTCCGCCTGAGCTTGTGAGCCCTCCTGGACCATGATAATAAATGTCGACGTTTTGTGTCGTGCACGACCACGGGACTGAAGGTATCCAACCATATGTTGTACCGGATCAAAGCGGATGACGAGGTCGCATGCCTGAGAACGGTAGGGTTTAGGGAATAAACCCACCTGTGGAGGCATGAGTTCACTTTACGCCGATGAACTCTGGGGCAAGCCGAAACCGGCTGAGGATTGCTTGCATGTCACCAGACGGGGACATACTAACAATCCTCAGACGACGCCAGGATGTCGGTTCAGGAAGTAAAGTGAAACCACGCCTTGATAAAGAACATACCGGGAAATCGAGGCCTTCCTCCGCTACGGAAGTGGCTACCACTGCACTGGCGTCAGTGAGTTCCTCTGTCACCGAGTCGTGATCACGTACGAAGATTCAGCCGCCGTTCTCGGAACAGTTGCACCGTATCTCGTTGATTGCGCATGGCCATTCCTTTGAGGTGCGACTTGGCGACAGCGCCTGAGCCGTGTCCCACGAGCGGCTCGCATTTGATGGTGTGGACCAGAAAGGGGATGCGCCGCAGCATAGACGCGAGGCACGTTGCGATATGTCGCTGTTCGACGAACACGATACCTTGGAACGTCGATGTGTAGCGTGAAAACAGTTCCTCGGCCAGAACCTTCACCTTGGGGGAGCACCAACTGAGAGGTATTGGGGTAGGTAAGACGCCGTCTGGTGGATCGTCAAAGTCGGCACTGAACTCGGCAAGTATGTTCTCAAACTCTCTGAGCTTGGGATGCACAGCGTCAGGTACCTCAGAGAGATAACCACCATGAGCGACGTTCGCATACTGCTCTGCAGTGAGCACCTCCATGGCAGACTCAATCGCCTCTTGGATGAGCTGCACGACACGCTGCTTCATCTCGGTGTACAGGAACAACTCGGCACCGAATGGTCCCAAGCTGTAATACGTCACTTCGTATCTTGTCAAAATCTTGTCGGCTGGAATCCCGACCTCGGGTGGGGTATTGTGGAGAGCCAAGCGAAGCCGAAGTGACTTCTTCTGGTATTCAGGGTATACCTCGGGCGCCTGACGGTATGTTTTGATGAGCTACAGATATGGTCAATGCAATAGCTCTGAGATCGAGTAAAACATATGTATAGTTACCTCCTCCGGTCGTGGGGAGTGCCCAATCAGCTCGTCAACATGCTCCTTGACAGCGATCACTTTTGCATCAAGATTCTTCTCCAAGGTGGACAACGATTCCGCGGCATTTCTCGGATTCCAGATCGGAGAAGCAGTCATGCCAAAGACCTTCGGGCGACAGCCTTCCGCAGTTTGAAAGTATTCGCGCATGATGCCATTATATGCATGGTTCTTCCGCGTATGATGGCATTCGTCAAACACCAACAAGCAGACCTAGGATTGCAAGTGTCAGATTCATCCGATAGCGCCACAGATGAAAGAACGTCATGCGAGGTGGGGTTAGCCATTATCGCACAATGATTACAGGAATGAGCGACAGTCAAAATAGTTGCAGAAGGTGGTGCGATCCTCAGCGCTATCAATCGACGCAGAAACTAACCTTGCTGAGGCTCCAGTGGGAGTGCGTCAATAGATTGAGAAATATTTGGGCTGCCAGCTAGCTTGAGCACGAGCTGTGCGTCGGATAACACGACTTGCTGCAACGCACCTGTCATTACGAAGACATCTGCAGTCTCAAAGTCGTTCGCCCATCCTCCGCGGTCGCTCATGTCGTGTGCGGTAGCCCCGGAGAACATGCGGACGCGCAACGACGTCTGCTTCGCGATGAACTCTCCCTGCTGCTGCACGAGCGCGACCTTGGGCACCAAGAACACCGTGATCTTGTGCTCCGTGCTCTCCTGCGCCGATATCCATTTGATCAGCAGCGTGCTGATGAATGTCTTCCCGCTACCGGTATCGAGAGCGGCGATGACGTTCCCCTGCTGTGCGCGCACGAAGATCTCCTCCTGGTACCGCCTGGGAAGGAGTGTGTCGCTAATTTCGTCCAGGGAAACGGACATGGCTACGAGGAACTCAGAGAAGATGATGGTGGTGCAGGTGCATGAGCAGCACCGCAGGAACACAAGAGCTTAGGAGAAATAGGCAGCACGATGGTGGCCGATCGAGGGCAAGGGCAAGCTGCGGCAGTCGGCCCGGCAGCTGCGGTAACATGCGGTCAAGGTACGGCCTACTGTTGCAGTACTTGCGCGCAGCGGGGCCTACGCAGACACACCATTTCCTCCTACCGTCATGGCCATCAACCCTAACGAAGATACAGAATTGTGAGCATCGTGGTTGCGTCCAGGAGATGCAGTCTGATATGTGAAATTAGTAACGATGCGTTGCGCAAGCACGGAATCCTTCCTCCTAAGCCTCCGACTCCTCGGACACCCTCGCCTCCCCCTCCTCCGACCCTCGAGGAGAGATATGCGGATTATACCGCAGCACAACTGAGGGAACTTGCGGCAGAGGCACCCGATGACGAAACGGAGCGGCTTCTAGAGCTGATTCGGCGGAAGAGATTACAGGAAGCCCGGAAGATGGAGGCGGCACGCTTCGGACGCGTATACCCCATTTCTCGAGAAGACTACACTCGCGAGATCACCGAAGCTAGCAAGGTCAACGAGGACGGCGACGCGATGGAGCGCGGGACGGGCGTCGTCGTGTTCTTGTATAAGGACGGGTGGGCCTGTTCCCGGACTAGCACGGCCCCAGACTAAGTCTCTGCCCCAGAATCCCTCACAGTGATCGTGTTAAGGAGCATATCAACGTTCTCGCACAACGCCATCCACACACGAAGTTTGTCTCCATCGTAGGAGACAAATGCATACCTAATCTCCCTGACGCACGGTTACCGATGCTCATCATCTATCGAAAGGGCGAGATTTTGAATCAACTCGTCGCCTGGGGTGCCGATCGCGAGCGGCGCATCGAAGGTGCGCACAGGTCATCCCGATATCGCATACTTACTATGACACTAACATTCCGCAGAGCTCGAGGCGGTGCTCATCTTGGCGGGGGCGATTATACCGCAGCAGCGCTTTCCACCAGACGTGGATAAGGATGGCGATGGCTCCGATTCGGACTTAGATGACCTTGACGACGACGACCCATCGTCGCGGATGCGGTCTGCGAGCACAAGCGTGAATGCCAAGGCACCAAATAATTTGAGGGGAAAGAAGGGTGATGATTCAGATTCAGACTTCGAGTTCGATTTGTGAGCAGAGCGAAGGATCATATACAGTAGCAATCAACCATGTAGCATAATATCTTCAAGGCTTTACAGCGGCAGATGGTATATATTCTCGACGAGACATAGGTGAAAGGAGGCTGAAGGCATTACAATCCGAAGTCGCACTTCTTGATACAATGAGGTTAAGATCCATCGTAGCAATTGTTCTTTCCTAGTACACAGGTGTGTGCAGTCATACAAGTATGTTACAGCATCCTTGTCTCCTTCAATCATACTTCTTGCTCTGCGCCTCCCGATCAACCACGACCCCACTCATCTCCCTCCCCCCGCCCAACTTTGCCTGAATCCATGTCTTCCCCGCCTTCTTAATCAACGCCTTCCTCGCAAATCCTCTCATATCAATATACACCAGCGTCACGTTCCGCGCCGTATGCGTCGCAAGGTGCGTCGATTTTGCCGCCTCCGGCCCGTACTTGTGCGCGACGACCGCCGTCGCCCGCTCGCTCCCCACGTCGAACGTCCGCCGCAGGGAGTCATCGACCGTCGCGAGGATCAGATTCGCGCTGAGCGCGAGCTTGCCACCTCGCCCGATGGGCTTGCCGCTGCTGGTGCTTGCGGGTGTGGACGTGCCGGATGCGGGGAGGGATTCCTTGGCGGGGGTCCCAGGGACGTTGCCAGGGAGCGGTGACTTGCTGCGAGGCGGCAGCGGAGGAGCAGGTCCCGGAGCAGAAGGCGCAGCGCTGGGAGCTGCACTGTGTCGTGGGGGCAGCGGGGGCCTGAGGTCCGGAGCACCTGGGTGTGGCGGCGGCGGCGCAGTCGAGGCAACGGATGGCACGGAGGCAGCAGAGGTCGCTATGGAAGCCTGTGGACGAGGTGGTACCGGCGGCCCCGCGGTCGACTTGCCTTTGTCTATCGTGGCACCCACGGCGCGCTTGATGAGGTCCTCGACGATCGCAGCGGTCTTGGAGCTGACCTTGACGGCCTGCCCGCTGATCGCGTACGCGCTCGAGAGCGTCGACTGCGTGCGTGGGTGCGAGAGCAGCAGCAGCGCGCGGGGCTGCGGCGGGGGAGGTACGCCCGCCCTCGGTGTTGGGGAGGGAGTCGAGTGGCCGATGTAGTAGTTCGTAGCGCAAGTGAGCCCGTGCAGTAGGAGCGAAGTCGACGAAGAGATCGCTTGACTGTAACGCTTACGAGCATGAACATGAGTCTGTCTTGATGACCTGAAAGGCAGAGAGCTCACAGACCTGATCAATGTCGCCGACTTCGTCATCCAATCCTGATCCTCAGGCGGGATCGCCCTCACGAATATCTCTCTGGCCTCTTCCAGCTCCGAACTCGGTTCCACGTACGGGACGACGCTCGCCCCATGTCCAGTATACGCATCGTACATTTCCTCCGGGAGCTCCACCATGACCGGGGCAGGCTCCCCATCCTTACCAGTGGTCTTCTCCTTGTCCGCGAGCGCAGGATCCTCCTTGATGTTCACCCGATTCGGCAGCTCTCCGACGATCTCTCCCGACTCTTCGTCCATGAGCACGAGCTTCCCGCGCAGGTCTTCCTTAGTCGGGTTGGGAGCCTCAGTCCTGTCCTCATGAGGGGGCGCGTCGTGGTGCGGCCCGCCCTCCGTCTCCCAATCGAAGTCGGCATACTGCGCAAGTATGTGGTCCAATGCCTCCACCGACTCCGCGCGGTGCGTGTCCGGCCTCGAAGGGATGGGAATCGTCAGCCTAATGAACGACGACTCCTTGTCCGCGGGTGGGAGTCCAGGCTGCCCAACGTCGGAGTGGAACGTGTAAGTCCTTGTGCCATCCGCCGCGATGTGCAGCGATATCGCGCGCGCGGGATCGAGGGGAAGCTCGAGCGTCCCCAGGCGCAGGACGAGGATGAGCGAGCGGTCGGACGCGGAGAGCGAGGCAGCGAGCGGGGCATCCTTGTCTGCGCTGTCTGTTGCAAGAGTGACGCACTCGAGCGCGAGGGTGCCGTGCTCGCTTGTGTTTGAGGTCGAGAGAGTTACCTCTGGGATATGCAGGAGCACGAACGCTTCGGGATGTGTTGCCATGGTAAGAAGGATGTGGTCACGGTAGTAGGTGGGTACTGGCGATTGCTTGTGTGCGGTCTATATGCGAATTGCGGAGAATGACATAGTAGCCAAGCATATCTTGCCAACATCTGTGAAGCCCCGCACCCTATGGGGCTATCGCTTCCAGCGAGATGACCTGCCATCGCCATGATCAGAGCAGGGTTTGGCGTGTTGAAGGTGACAAGAAGTGACAAGAAGCTTCGTCAGTGCCGGAGCAATCGTCGCCCAAAGGTGGGGTGAAACTTGTGTATATCCGACATATTCAACTGGGTTTGCGGGAGCGTTCTGCGACGACATCTTGAAACCTCAATGAATTGTTTCACTCAACCTACTTTGCATGTCCATGTCATACGACATGGACCAGTTCCTTCTTTATCTCTCCCCACCTTCGGTTGTGCATTGAAGCTCAGGGACACCAATGGAGGTACCACACAGTCACCTGCTCACATTACTTCTGCGACAACTCGACAACACGTCTCACTGCAACCAGGAACGACACCTTCCTGCTCCTGAAGCTAGAACTTAAACGACACGAAAATCATCCGAGCCGCGGGTGCAGGTGCCGATACAGTGGTAGCTTGCATGCTCGGGCTGTCGACGCGGTGACGATAGCGAGTGAGAACGAACAGAGAAGCACAAACGGTCCCCGAAAGGGATGTCTAACTCACGGGTATTAGATCCCCCATGTACCCAATTCCAAACGATATGAACTACACAATACTGGGAAATAGAAGAACAGGAATGCGGAGAAAGAGAACAGACCCCGCACGGACGTGCGATAAGGAAGGCGGCACGGACCCAGTAGGGCCAGACCCACGCAGGACGGGGAGGGATAGGTAGTGGTAGTGGTAGGTGCGGGGAGAAAATGACAACTAAAGATGAGGGAGAGGCAGAGAACAAGAGGAGGGCTCAGGTAAGGGGGATACCGGGGATGTGTGTGTATTTAGAGTGAGCTCACGATAGATGGGCTGAAGAGAGAAGCGCGCGATATATCTTCGAGAGAAGGAGTCGTGGGGGCATGCATGGAACGGTCGTGACAGTCCGGGCGCAGCGACCGGTCGTGGTCGTCTCCATTCGTTCAATTAGAGGATGATGCACTTATTTTTCTTCTTGACCACGGGTGGCTCCAGTGCGGCCACGATCGCCTGACGAAGCGGAAACACCAAGATCAAAACCCAACCACCCGTCAGCGCTACCGCACCAACCAATAATCAACGCGCAGACGCACCTCGTCGAAAACATTCTTCAAGCCCTTCTGCGTCAGAGCCGAGCACTCCACATACTTCACCGCACCGAGCTCCCTAGCGAGCCGCTCGCCCTGCTCAGGCGTGACCGGCCGCTGCTTCTGCCTCGCGAGCTTCTCTAGCACCTGCGGGTCATCCCTCAAGTCGATCTGGGTGCCGACGATGAGGCAGGGCACGCCCGGACAGTGGTGGTGCACCTCGGGGAACCACTTCTCCTTGACGTTCTCGAACGACGCGGGCGACGTCACGCTGAAGCAGACGAGGAACACGTCCGTTTGCGGGTATGATAGTGGCCGGAGCCGGTCGTAATCCTCCTGCCCGGCCGTGTCGAAGAGCCCGAGCGTGTAAGGGTCGTCGCCGATCATGACCGTCACGGCATAGTTATCGAAGACCTGCGGAAGGGAAAGGGAAGAGAGGGACGCGATCGGCCTCGCGTGCGGAGATGGGGATACGGGAGCAATTACGCACAGTGGGCACGTATTCACTCGGAAACTTGTTCGTCGTGTAAGAGATCAACAGACACGTCTGTGGCGGAGGTTGAGCGCGTCGCAAAAGCAGCACAGCGTGCCCTCAATCAGCGACGACTCGGGGTAGGGCTGGAGGGCGAGAACGAGAACGCACCTTGCCGACAGCACCATCTCCTACAACAACACACTTGATCGTCTGCATGATTTCTCGCGTAGGCTCTCCGGGAGGTCTAAGTTATGCGGACGGGGAAGCTGACGAGAAGCGAGCACTGCGTAAGCCTTATATACCCTCTGTGCTCGGACCTGGTCACAGTCGGCCAAAGGCGGCGCGAACATGCCATGGGCCTGCCATGCAGCGCTCGCGTGTCACGCCGTGGCCGGTAGTGCGCAAGCTGTGCGGCCACACACGAACCGGCCACCATCTGGGAGATCGACACTTACCTTGCTGGTACAGCTGGAAGTGAAATGAGGTCACGGCTGGCGGATAGAGCGAAGCACGGGCGATATTTTGATTAATATCGACCTAGAGAAGTAGAGCTGGCTCGACGAATGCAAGGAGAAGACGGATGGAGGCGGGAGCGAAAGCTGCAAATGGGCCTCTGGAGCGTGGCGGGTGATGCGAGCGAGCGCGCTGTTGACGGCGACGAGGGCGAAGAGGAAGACGGCGAGGGAGGCGGCGAGACTGTCTTGACTGTCAAGTGCTGCCTCGAGGAGTTGGACTTGACGACCGGTTCACAGCATTTCTAGAACGCCTGCCCTGAACTCATGATGCGCCACATTCCTTACTTCCATTAGTTCCTCTTTCTTATCGTCGTTTACCGCTTTCTTATGGCCCTTTACCGCCCCCGATTTCCTGGCTCACTAGCTTGTTTATCTTCCCCGTTTAGCCGTCTACATGGTCCGGATCGATATATCCCCGCCTTCCCCTTCCGTCGAGCGACTTCTATTGTCTATGACCATAATCCTAATCCTCGTGCTTTTTGGAATAGCAATAGGCTACATTGAACCATGAGGCCACGCAGCGACAGCGCAGTTGATTCCTGGTGAATTCTTCTGCTCCACAAATAGACTAATATAGGGTTTTCCCACGACTTCATCGTATGGCCACGCGCTTATCCCACTACCAGCGGGCCAGTGCCGCTCCAGACTCCCTGTCCCACCCCTCTTGGCCGGTGCATCGCACAAATCATGTCGACCTCAATAGAAGTATCCAAGTATGTCGTCAAAAATCCTTCGAGTAGAGTGTCGTAATCTAATGCACAACCCTGACCAGGTGGCGGCATCTCCCACCCCCGCCCGGCTTCGCGTCCACAGTATCGTCCGTATGTCAAGCCAATTCACGTCATTGTGTCCGTCTGCTGATGCGCAGCGTAGTCCAAGAGCTCCGGGAAAGCCGTTGCTGCCGCGACAGCTTCAACAGCTTCTTACGAGGAACTCAAGTCGAAGCGAGCATGGGACCTCGCGTTCTCGCCTGCTAAATCCCTGCCGATGCAGGCGTTCATGCTATACATGTCCGGAGGAGGCGTTCAGATCTTCAGCATGGGTATCGTGTTCATGCTGCTCTCGAGCCCCTTTAAGAACCTTGCGGCGATCAATACCGGTACGTTAGCTCGATATCCAGGGCTACCACTGTCCTGATATCCAACGATCTGTAGCGTTCGCGCCTTTCGCCCCCGCCTCCGCACCACCGAAGTCCCTGACCACGCTTCCGCTGCAGAAGGTTGCATACCTCCTATGCAACCTTCTGACGCTTGCTCTGGGTCTTTGGAAATGTCGGTCGATGGGTCTGCTTCCGACTGGCACGGGAGATTGGTTGGCGTTTGAGACAAGAGGACAGGTGCGTAGTTCTGTCTTGCCTTAGCGATATCTCTACCTGACGCGCGACTCTGTATCAAGCCCCCGGAGATTTTGCTCATATGATACATTTCCTTTGTGGGTCTCATTATTTTGTTGCCCGGACGGTAATCTATTCTCTGTGCGATGCTATCAATCAACGCACGCTTCACTGCGTCTTCCCCTCGAATCGGAAGACCTCCTCAAGTTCCTGAAAGACACGTATATAGTCATGCTCGCCTTCGGCAACAAACCGGTTCGGCTCACCTGCCACCACGGGACGGGACCTCCACTTCCAGTCGCACCCGGGACGAAGCTCTCCTGCATACGGTCCGTCACCTTCCACCAAACTTGTGTCTCCGGATCCTCGCCGATCCCGCGCATATCCGCGTCATAATCGCTACCAACGTACTTGAAGTTGGCGACGAGCAGCTGCAAAGGCGGGTAGTAGTGGATGGAGTAGTCGACGATGTGGTGCCGCTCCAGCGCTGCGAGCACCCCAGGCCAGACGGCAGCGTGGATCGCTCTGTACTCTGCCTCTGCCTCCGGCTTGAGCTGCGGTGCGTAGAGGTGATGCGCCGAACTCAGCGAGCAGGCACCAGTCGCAGGGGGCGGGCGGTACAGATACGGACCTTGATGATTTGGCATACACGTTTCGATTGTGGAGCAGACATCGTGAGTGAACTTGATATTACGGGGCAGTTGGACGGACAGGCTTTCGGCAGTGGGGGTTTATAACATCGCACACCCCATCCGGGCCACCTTGCATCTTCAGACAACTTCGTGACCTTGACTTAGATCCCGGCGGTCCGAATCGTCCGCTTCGACGCTTCCGTCTTGAGAGGTAGTAGTGATCGGCCGTATGTAATATATGTATAGCTGCAGACTCATACGTGACCCTCCACGAGTCTACACGGCAGCTGAAAGATATTTGGGCAATCAACGGCGTGATGGATATGGTCTGGCATCAGGTCTCCAGGGATGATCATAGCCGCACATGTCGCACAACAGTGCGCCCGAGTCCCGCCTTTGAAGGCGAGCGGCCGCGGAGGCAATGCATCCAATCCATACGAATCAATCAGCTGAAAACATGTCGGATGCGGCATTTGCAGGACACGTGTCGAGCAACAAGAGAGCGGATACTCGACGCGCGGCTACTGGTTTCAACTCCGCTGGCTGCGACTCGGTGCAGACGACCCGGCCCTCCTCCCCGCTTGCATCCCAACCACGCCCTCTCGCTGTCCTCACTTCGACCTTGCGCACTCGCTCGCTTCTGATACGATCTCTCTTACGACACTTGCACACCACTGGACATGACTGAGCAAAGCAACTTCGATTATCTCTTCAAGGTGCGTTCGCCACCGCGACTCGGGAGATGGGATTGCGGGAATGGATATTGATTGGTCTGCGCTGCTGCCGTCCCTGTGCAATAGGTCGTCCTCATCGGAGACTCTGGCGTCGGAAAGTCGTACGTAGCTATATCTTTCTGCCCCAAAAGATTCTTACTCATCGCTCTACATCCCTTCAGTAACCGTGCGTATTAACCTCGATGAAGAGGACTAAGTTGTGTCATGTGTCTGACGCAAGCTCCCCGGCCGTCCGCCAGTGCTCTCGCGATTCACTCGCAACGAGTTCAACATCGAGACAAAGTCGACTATTGGCGTAGAGTTCGCCACACGGTCAATCAATGTCGAGGGCAAGACGCTGAAGGCTCAGATCTGGGATACTGGTATGCCCCTCATCCTGACCTTGAATCCCCTGGGGAATTTGTGTCCTCACATTACACACTCTACAAACTCGCAGCTGGTCAGGAACGTTATCGCGCCATCACTGCCGCGTGAGTATCCCCAGCCGATTTCCCTCTCGCGTAATTTCCGCCAGCTTAGCGAATCCCCGTCTCTTGATCACTTCTGCAGATACTACCGCGGTGCGGTTGGTGCGCTCCTCGTGTACGATATCTCGAAGCATGCGACGTACGTCAACGTCACGCGGTGGCTGAAGGAACTCCGCGACCACGCGGACTCGAACATTGTTATTATGCTCGTCGGGAACAAGAGCGATTTGAAGCACCTCCGTGCGGTCCCTACAGAGGAGGCGAAGGCATTCGCGGGTGCGTTCGCTGCTCCTAATATTGCTATGTCTTCCACCTCCCAAACCCTTCTCTACTTGAGCTTTCATCCTCCCGTTGGCTTGTTGGGTTCGCTTGTTGGATCAGACGCTGACCAGAGTTTCACGTTCGTGCAGCTGAGAACGGTCTGTCTTTCATTGAGACGTCTGCGCTGGACGCATCGAACGTCGAATCTGCCTTCCAAACCATTCTCACTGGTGCGTTTCCTCTTCTCTTATTGATTGTTGCGCGATGATGTAACGGCGCCTGCACGCAGACATCTATCGGATCGTGTCGAGCAAGTCGCTCGAGCAGTCAGAGGACCCGATCAAGCCCACCTCCGGCGACACCATCCAGGTCAGCCACAGCGTCGACCAGAACCAGAGCCAGGGCGGCAAATGCTGCTGAGCGTCTCGCCTTGCCTGTTCTGCTGCCAAGGATCTGCTGCCGGTGTGGGATGGGGTGGTAGGGGAGAAGGGACAGGCGGACGCATGCATTCGCCGTGCTTCTCTCTGGGTCTCCCTTCCCTGTGCATACGTCTACATATGTGCCTGTGTTGTAATTATCTTCGCTTGTCTTCTCTCTTCCACTTGTTCTAGCTTGGCTGCCCGGCGTGCGTTGATGTAGTTGGTGTATGCTCCTTGTTGTGGATTGGTCGCGGTGCTGTACATATGGATTTGGATGACTAGAGGAGCGCGGAGGACAGTCAACTGAAAACCTGCGTTGTGGATCCGTCCCATATCTGGCTGGGGCTCGCCTCGAAACAGGCATCGTGTGACTGCATGATGGCACCACCGGCAGAAGCGTTTTGTGACGCTGAGGGATCCAATGTCCGACTAAGTAACTAGTAGAGATACACAACTTGAGCCTTTACAGTAATGTACACCACTGTTTTTTCCTCCCCAGGCCATCCAAGAGTTAACGCCGACTATATACATCTGGCCAGGCGGGAAGCGGATGTAATCGCAACTTCTGCGGGTCAACGTGGCTGAAGTAGTTCTGGTGTGGGATTTGCGGCGGGGGCGCAACGGTGCACGTCACGGGTAGCGTGCCAGCCCATGGTGGAGTCTTCGCTCTGTCCTCGTCAGGATCAGGGTCTGCGACGGGCTTGGACGCCGCCGGATTCGACAGACCGGGTGTCCAATCCGAGGCCGAGGTTGAGGCTGCTGAATGGCCATTCGCAGGAACAGGGCTCGCAGATCGCGGTGCGGTCGAAGAGACGTCAACCGGCTCGGCGTCCCACTCGTCGTCCGAGTTCGTCTGGGGCTTCACGGTGTCGAGCTCGACGTCGAGGTCGAAGCATTCGCCCGGGCCTGCGCGGACGCCCATGAGGCGCAGCGCGTAGAGCGAGATCTTGCCCTCCCCAGGCCCGAGCGCGAGGTGCGCAAAGGCGGGGTCCGGCTCCATCTTGGACACTTCCTGCATGGTGCGCATGGCGTGAGGTCAGTGAACATTGACATGACGCTTTCTAGGCGCAACGCGCACCGCATAGTACTGGGCGAAGAAGCTCCCGAGCGAGATGATGAGCTCCGTTTTGGTTGCAGCTCTCCGCCCGACCTTCTTCTTGCCTGTGCGCGTCGTGATGAAGATGTGACGGTCGGGCTGGTAGTCTGGGTAGGCGGGCCACTGCGGAGGCAACTACGTCAACACCTATTGCAAGTCTTGTATGATCGTGCGCATCGAGGAGATGAAAAGACATCCGGCAGAACTATCCCAATATGACACTCCCTAAGAGCGACATACTCACTCAAGGCAACTTCGTGAACACACTGACCTTCATCCGCACCTTGATCGTGTCGCACTTCGAGCCCTTGAACGGCAGCTTGTTCGCGTCTCTTAGACAATGTTGCAGCTCCCTCCTTCCCGCAATCACCGCTCCCATCGGGATCCCCTTGTCCCTATAGAACGTTTCGAAGCACACGTCCTGGTTAGGCCTCTCGCTCTCTCCCTCGGGCCCCGGCACCATCCGCGGGTTTGTGAGGAGCAGCGACTCCTCCCACTCCTGCCGCGCCGCGGTCTGTCGGGCGGCGACGGCGGCAATGTACCTTTGGTATGTGGTGTCCCGGACTTCGACAATACGATTGCCCGACTTCTTGTCGTGCATCCACTGGTCTTCGACATGTTTCCAATCCCAGGTCTCTTGCTTATCCAGCCGCCGGCTAAACGTCCAGTTCCGCGGGTATGGATACGGGTTGTACCATGACGGGGGTTCTGTGCGGACGGGCCTGGGCCTAGGGGCGGGCACAGTCAATGCGGACGCGAGAGAGGAGCTGGCCGAGTATGGGGGGGCTGCAGGCGTTGATTGTATGCGAGGCGGGCTGAAGATCGCGCTGCCTCTTTGCTCCTGGTAATCGGGCGACGTCCAAGGGCTGTCAGACGTATCACTTTGCTCGTCTGAGCTCCATTCGTCTTCCTGCTCTGCAGGCTCACCATCCATGGGGAAGAAGGCTGTAGGATTGGCGTGTAGAGATGAGAACAAAGAGAGCAGAGCCTTCCTCGCGTCTTGATATCCTGCCCGGGCCGCCAGCCGCCGAGAAACGTGGTCCGCGTCCGGCGACAACTCTGTGCAGGTTGTGCCGTGGGATAGGCAAACACAAGGAGTCTTACACTCCTAATAGACACGAGCAGTGAGAACAAACGGCTCGTACATACATTTAGGTAATGAGCCATGAGCGAACATACATTACATCCATGAGCACAATCAATAGCAAACTATTGCAGAGCAGGCCTTCCATTCAGCCTGCCAAACGAAGACAATCACCGCCTCCCGGTATACTTGTCCCTCGAAACCGACCTACGCCTCCTATCTCTGTCGTGACCCCTCTCGCGCGAATCGTCTCGTCTCCTGTCGTAGCCCTTCCCACCGCGACGAGGGGGCGAGTACGACCTGGACCTATCACGGCGGTCCCTGTCATCACGCGCACGCGGAGGAGGGGACACAGAATCCGGAGGCGAACGAGCCCGGCGTCGGTCCGGGGTGTAATCCCGACGACGAGGGGAGTCGCGGTCGCGGCGGTCAGGAGAGTAGTCGCGGCGGCGAGGTGGAGAGTCCCGACGAGAGCCATAGCGGTCGCGTTCACGGTCATCCCGGCGAGGCGGCGGCGAAGGAGAGTCCTTGCGGTCGCGTCGAGGGGGCGAGCGGGATTCGTCTCGTCGCCTATCCTTGCGGTAAGGAGACGGGGAGCGGCGCTTGCGGTCTGAGCGGCGGGGGTCGTCAGAGTCGTCAGAGGCCGAGGCGGAGTCGGTGTCGCTATCAGAGTCACTGTCAGAGTCGGAGTCCGTGTCCGAGCTGTCAGAGTCGGAGGACGAAGACTCGGCCTCGAGCATAGCACGGCGCTGCTCCATAATGAGGCGGGGAGCATTCTGCAAAGTATCCGATTAACCCTTGAAGTTCAAGGCCTGCAAGCGACCGAGTAGGCATACCTTTAAGTGTTCGCGCATTTCCTCAGTGACCACGCCGAGACCGATCGAGGTGAAGTAGTTAATCGAGAAACGGGTATCCTTGGGGTTGTCCATGGGGAACATTCCGCGGCAAGCCATCTTGACCTCTGGGTCCTTAAATCGCTCCGCGACTGTCTTCAGACCCATGCTCTCCGACACTTCATTGAACAATATCTTGATGAAGATACGGGAACTGGAGGTCGTATCGTCTTCGGTGAGCTTAATGCAATCGAGCACATTCCAAGAGACGGCGTCGGATGCGAGGAGGTGTCCGAAGAATCGAGCGATATTCCGGAGGCGGTTCGTCTCGTAACGGTGAATGGTCTCGTAGTACTCGCGGAACGCCTGCTCAAAGCAGTCAAACCAGACGCGATTCAGCCTGCAAAAGCGTTCGCCAATGAGACCGTAGAACGTGGAATATGACCGCTCCTGCGAGCAACACTCGATTATCATCTTGGCCAGCTCGATCTACAAAACAACCGTGAGTCAACGATCAGGTGGTGACTTCAATTGTTCCTTACCTCCTGACCCTCCTTGATCTGAACCTTCAGGAGTTTATGCACGGCTTCCTCGTAGTTCAACGCGTTCATGATGGTCAGGTAGATGACCCGGCGAAGATTGATGAGGTTCGTTTGTGTCCGATCCTCAATGCCTTGCTTTTCTGCCACCGCTGTAGAATATTCAGCACCGACAGGTCGTAGTGTCATGCGGAAACACATACCCTCTTCGTCCTCTTCCTCGTCTGATTCCAACTCCTCGGATCCAGACTCTTCCTCATCCGAAGAACCTTCACCTAGGATCTCCGCCTTGATTTGCTTGTATTTCTCCTCATTCTCGAGATAGTTCGGATCAAACTTGAAAATGTCTAGAAGGTAAAGTCAGGCATTGCACATGAACAGCCTCCGATCAAATTACTCACTGAGTCCCTCCTGCACCTGCAACTCATCTTCGAGCTGTATCTGGTGCGTGATCTGCTCATCCTCCTCGACCAAGTCCAAGCCCTCCGGGATGATGGGGTTGTCCTTATACTTGTCCTTCCGCACCTGCATGAGCACTTCGATCATGTACTGCACGCGGTGGCTGATGGCACCTTCGTTCAGCACGGCACGGAAGCGCTCGTACACGGTGGCGTTGGCCTTCGGGGAATTCTCCGCGAGGAACGCACCGACCTCGCGCATGAACCCGACCGCAATCTCAATGGAGTCGTCTGTGGGGCGTTCGAGGAGTAGGAAGAGGATTTGGAGCGGGATGATTTCGTGAGCAACACCTTGGTTGACGAGGTGCGCAATGAAGGTGGTCGTAGAGTGACAGACAATCTGCGCCGTCGGGTCAGATCACACGCATATACACCACCAATTAATGCACGTACCTTGTCATTCCGCTTGAAAGCACGACGGAACTGACTAATCAGTCTTGTCAAGACCAACTCACCGACCTGAGGTAGCTTCGTGTTGATGATGGCCACGAGAGCAGCGAACACAGGCGTGAACGGCAAACTCGCAGCCTGCGCCTTCATGATACTCCTCGCGAACAAGCCCCGACCACGAATGAGATTCTCCTGGAAGAGCTCCGGCACGACGTGTTTGATGTTTCCAACGTTGACTCGGTTGACGATACCCGTGATCGACTTCCTCAACGCGTCCCAAGTGATCCTCTGGTACTCCGCACTCGCCTTGTCCTTCGCCGCCTCCTCCTGCATCGCCCGCAGCCTTGCTGGGGGCATGTATACCCCGCCCGAGCGCGTGCTCGTCAGCTTCGCAAACTCGGCCGCCGCGTCGAACTCGGGCTGCTTTTTGCCGCTCTTCTCTTTCTCCAACTTCTCCAGTTCCTTCTCTGCCAAACGGGCGGCCAGCTGCCGTTCGCGCTCAGCACGGCGTGCCGGGTCAACGTCCGACACTTTTACATCCAGAAGACGAGAGGGAGGAGGTGAGATAGACCTGCGCCGAGTGGACGGTGGCTGCTCAGCATGCTCGGGAGAGCGCGATCTAGATACTGCTTAGTATAGTCCCAGAAGTCAATATGAAAGGATAGGCATACCTCTTCCTCTTCTGTAACCCGTCAGGGGGAGAAGTGGGAACCATAGTCGCAGCAGTGGCCATCCTCGTCGTCGTGGAAGTCAGAGAGAGCACGGAGCCGCTGACCAGCAAGCACTGCGCGCAAACATGGCGCCTCGCTTACGTAAGAGAGCTGGGATGCCTGTCCCACTTTGGTAATCCTGAGTAGATTGGCAAGTCGCCGACTCCGGGTTGCGTGATTCCGCACCGGGTTGACCACTACCGCCATGGAGGCACTGGAGGCCCTCCCTTCCATAGCTCGGGTATGTGACATTATATCGGAGACATACGCTCACATACGGAGATGCGTTGTAGCTGAGCAAGACCGTAACTCGTGTTCTTGGGCAGGTGCGTCCGTCGGTCGTGTCTCGACCAAGCTTATTCTACATAGTAATTGCGGTGCAATTGGACCGTAGAACCCAGGAAAATTCACTTTGCAAGGTATGCAACGATTTTTGTACGTGAAGCTAGAACTGACGGCCTGTCAACAAGGAACGAATACCTATCTTCTAGGAGAACGTAACCCCTACATCCTTGTAGACACCGGCGAAGGTCGAGAAGACTATATCCCTTACCTCCAGGAGGCGTTGGCAGACCCCTCCCGCGAGCACAATGCGACAGAGCCGTACATCTCCTATATTATCCTTACCCACCGCCATCACGACCACACGGAAGGTCTGCCCTCCGTTCTGACTCTTCTACGTAAACTCTGGAATGCGCAGCAGCCTCCGCCGACGACGCCGTACCGCCCTCCCCGCATCCACAAGCTACCGCTTCCGACCCCTGATTCCCGTTTCGACAGCCTCATAGAGCGTCTCGAACCAGGCTCGTTCACGCCCACAGCGTCTGGCGCCCCCGTCCACGATCTCTCCGACTCCGACACCCTCCCCGTCACGCTCACGTCCACAACTCCCGAGTCCGATTCCTCCTTACACATCATTCACACCCCGGGCCACACCCCGGACTCCCTCTGCATCTACTACCCGCCCGACCGCGCGCTCTTCACGGCCGATACGGTCCTAGGGCACGGCACGTCCGTTTTCGAGGACCTCGGCCAGTACATGTCCAGTCTACGCAAGATGATTGATTACGCGAACGACCCCGCACACGCGTACAGTACCGTCTACCCTGGGCATGGCCCCGTAGTTCCCGAAGGCCTTGCGAAGGTGCAAACGTACTTGAAACACCGTGTTGAGCGCGAAGAGCAGGTTTTGCGGGTGCTCCGGCAGGACCCTCCGGCGGAGGGGGAGTTCGACCAGGGGTGGACGACGCAGGCGATCGTTGCGGTCATTTATGCCAAGTATCCGAAGGAATTATGGGGACCAGCAGCGCACAGCGTCGAACTGCACCTCAAGAAGCTCGTGGGCGACGGGGTTGTTGAGCAAGACGGGTCGGTGTGGGAGCTCACGAACCAATAGTCAGTCCCACCGTTCGCCCGTTTGTTTGCGTGACGTGTACGTTCGATGCTCAAGATAAGATGATGTATACATAGTAACCCGGATGAGGCTGGATGGGACGGAGACAGTGCACGGAAACCTATGTATGTACTATAGCGCGTCGAAGTTGATGTGATGTGATGCTCGTCTCCGCTCGAGCTCGTCTTCCCTCTGGCGAGATAGGTGAGTGAGGATCAATACAACGTGCAAGACGAATGGGACGACGAACCTTCTCGTTCAAATGAAGTACAAGAACAATGATGGCAAGGAGAATCAGCGACGCCACAACGGTCACTGTCACCCAAGGAATCCATTCTCCAGGCCGCAGGTACAGCTCTCGTCTCCACAAATCACCCTCTGCTGGGGGGATGATGACGACCTTCGAGTTCGGAATGACGCCCTCCATGTTGATATAGTGCTGCTCGGTATGCTTCGTTGATCCTACGAACAGATTCTCAATGTAGTTGTTCGTGCGGCCGAGCCCGAAGTATACGTATGGCGTCAGCAGGGACTGGTACGCAGCCTGCGGCATTTGTCCGACTGGGTTGCAACGAGGTAAGCTATAACGTTGCCAACAAAGCAGAGAGGTTTACCTTGGGCGGCGGAACGCTGACCCGACGTGTCCAGGACTGTGTACTTGTACGTGGCTCCGGAGTAGCTCACGCCGTAGGGCTGTGCATATCCCGTGAGCGTACGGCGATACAAATATTTTGTATAGGCTTACATGATACTTGTCGACACCGTTGCTAGCGGGGCACGTCCCGCTGCTGCACGCTCCGTTCAAGACGATGGCCTTCAGGAAGAACGCGTCGTAGTAGAAGTTGTTCTGCACGAACAGGACGTTCCCCTGCCCTTGTTCTCCCGTACGCTGCACCATGACATCCAGCGTGCCCTATACATATGCAACGTCAGGTGCAACATCTGAGTCCAAGATTACGCAGGGCATACGTCTTCGTCCATGTCCAGGAGGGCGACACTCCGCGCATCCTGAACGTTGAGCAGCGGGTCTACATCCTTCTTCAAGACCTGCCATCCTCTCCTGCCGACCCCGTTCCCAGAGCAGCCTGCGACACCCTTAGCACATGGCACAGACATGACCATGTTCGGCGTGCGCGGCCGGTGCGACCCGCTTCCCGTCGCAAGGATCGCTACCAAATCAGGGAAGCCGTCCTGGTTCACGTCTCCCAGCTTGATCGGCACAGGGATGGGCGGATCCTGGGTCGTGTCCATGACCAACAGCCCCGGCGACGTCGGGGAGTCCTTCGTTGGCGGGAATATATCGGACAGGGGAATGCGAACGAACGCCTGCAAAACCCCTCAGCGAAGTGCGGAATCCATGATTAGGGAGTACCTACATCGTTGTCAGGGTTCTCGCGAAGATCGAAGCTGAAATTGGGATCGGCAGTGCACAGGTCTGTCGGGGGACGGCAGACACGCTTCCCATTCACTACGCTCGGACCGGAGGATTGCGTGCACAAGGGAAGCTGCTTGTTGTACGCGATGTTGATCGAACATGTTGACCCGATGCCAGTAGAAGACGAGACTGAGGAGCACGTCGAAAACAACATGTCGAGAGTCCCATCCCTATCTGTGAAACACAGCGTAAAAATGAGCGGAGGCTCATGGAATTGGAGGTTCTTGTCCTACCGATGTCGGCAAAAGAGATCGTCTGCGTGCCAGATGGGAGGCTGCCCTGCTGTGCCTTGACAAACCCGTTATCCTTATCATTGATCCAAATCTGGAAGAATCTCGCGTTCGAGGAGCTATCCTGGCAGACCAGGAAAAGATCTGAGAGGCGCTGAGTCGACCTGGTTGCGTCAGCAATACACACTTTACGGACCTGCCAAGCAATCTCCGTTAAGATCAACAGCAGCATTGCTGTGCGGGTTCGCGAGAGTGCACTGTGACCCGGGGAACTTGGGAGTAACGCTGCAGCGGGTAAATGGTCAAATTTCGCTACTCCAAACGACCGGATAGAAACAGTGCCGCGTACACATTGAAGATGCTGGACTGAGGATCCGTTTGGTTCCATACGTTTTGCCAGATCTTGAAAGGTGATGATGATGACGGTGGTGAGGTGATTCCAAATAGGTCGATCTTGAGGTCTCCGCTGATATCGGCGGGTATAGGTTGTGCGAGCACAGATGAGGGTGCGGACACAGATGGAAGGCCTGCCTCCATATAAGAGGCACGTGAATAGTTGGGGAAAGCAGGAGGACTTACTGAAGCCTCCCTTCGGTTGACCAGGGTATAGCTGTATCGACAATTCACCAGACTTGGAAGACTGGCTGTATACGAGCAAGTCCAGCCTCCCGTCCTGCGTGAAGTCTCCAGGTACGACATTGTACACCTTTTGCGGATGTCGAAAAGACGTCGCCTTCTGAAATGTGTATTTATCTACGCAAGTCAACGACCGCATGGCGGAGCACACACCACAACTCACCATGATTCCATAGGTAGACATACAATGTCTGGTGGTCCGCTCCTAGCGTCAAGAGGTCCAAGCTGCACCGTAGTGAGACCTGCTGGGAGAAATTGCCCTGAGAACTACTCACAATTGATCGCCATTGAAGTCTGCGAACGCAATCACTGTCATGTCTGGTTCCACACCCATGGGACCCGCGGTGAGTAGTCCGTTGCCGCTGAACCGCTTCGGAGGGAAGGGCCATATTGCGGAGCTTGGCAGCGCAAACAGAATTGAGGCAACCAGAGAGCTTCTAATGGCTGATGTCCATGAAATCCTCATCCTGAGACTGCAGCTAGCCGAGGAGATAGCTGAAGTTGCTGAACAAGCTGTAGTGCCTGTAGCAGCAAAATCTCCTGCAGAGGCCGACGAAGGTGGTATCCCAAGGTGCGTTAATGTCAGTAGGTCGTAATATACGTGATAGCTTTGAGGTGACGACCACTCCAAGAGAAGGAAGATGCGCGGTAAGAATGGACGGCGGCAAGAATATTTGGACGGCGGTAAGAATAGGGGTGCTCAATTCTTGTCGGTCGCTCAGTTGCTCGCGCGCCTATTGGGCGCCTGTCTACTTGAATTCAAGGTCAGCTCAAGCGCCTGCGGCACAGCGAGCAGAGACGGACAGGCAGCGGGTGCAACACGACCGCATGATGTCCTCGAGCTGGAACTAGAGAGCGACGCGAAAATCTAACAATTCAGAAGCTAGAGATTTCCTTGACACGATATGCGGAGTCGTCCCACAAGGATTGAGTCCAGTTGCCATCGAGGAGTCAGAGCGGCACCCCCAGCTGAACCGTATGTACATATGTCGTGCTGAATCTGTTTCTGATTTGGGCGCATTGTGTACAATAAGTCCAGGTCAACGAATTTATAAGCTCTCCCGACGTCACCATTCACTTGCTGGACTGGTTTCCCGGGCCTAACAAATATAGCATGGGACAATCCCGTCGAGATCTCTGCACCCGCTGCCGGCCCACTTCTGCTCGCTGTGCTGCAAAGGCTTGAGCTGACATTGAATTCAGGGAGGCAGGCGCCCGATAGGCGCGCGAGCAACCGAGCGACCGACAAGAATTGAGCACCCCTAATGGACGACGGTAGCGGCGACTGAGCGCCCGCTACGACGTGCGCCTCCCGTCCTACTCTCATCTCGGATGCGCTTCTGGTTCAGAATCCAGCTTGCATGAGCGATGTCATCTGCTGTCCCCATACCATGCACTGCATGCACGAGATGTACGTGTACCTTCCATGATTTAGGCCATCGTTAGCTGGACCACGGTATAAGTACTACTGGTAAGTTACTACTCCCTTCTCAACAATCTCTCCGGAATTGCGGCCGCCGGTCGCGATATTCTGTGTCAACCTTGTGCTACGACACACAGTCCTTTATATGTAGCATGTCTCGCGACAAAACTTGGCTACATTGTCTAGTTCGGTCCATGTACGACAAGGCATCTTCTCTCGGATCTGCGCGTACCACAATACAAGTTCTTGTATGGCGGCCGTGACTTATAACTGCATCAACTGGAACCTCATGCGGTCAACCTTGTGTGCTGTTCAGAACGGTATGTGGTTCCACACTTGTAGCAGGTGCGTCGTGCGTTAAGACGGCATGCGACTCGAGCTCAACGAGGGCTGCGGTAGTCTCTCTGCTTGTTCTCCGTAATTGCCGTACCAGTCGTCCGTTCTTCCGGAATTTCGATCCATACTGTACTTTTCAAAGTACATGTCGATCCCGGTTGAGTGCTAGCCCCCGATCATTGTCAGCTACGGTGTCAGCCTCCTGTACCTCTGCGCATAAGAAGCCGGCCTCCTCAGTAGTAAGTACACACTACCCTTTTCTGTTTCTCGTCAACTCACCTATTCTCTTCGATTTTCATTCTGCTGTCTTGCTCTACCATCTCGCTCTATCTCCTCAACCCACCTATATACAAACGAATACTCTACTAGTACCTCTTCTAGCCATGGCTCCCACCCGCAAACCCTTCACAAACGCTCAAAACACCGTCACAACCGCGACCCCGTCCCGCCGACGCCGCTCCTCCAACGACCCCTCCAAGAAGAAGAGGCAGGCCGGGGACAAGGACGCCGCAAAGAAGCCGCTCAAGCCGTCGTCCACCTCTCCCAACGTCCCGCGCGCGCGGGAGTACAGCGTCCCTCGGCACCTCAAGAATGTCAAGAGCGTCCCCCAGCACGCGCCCTTCGAGCCGCGCATCGCTGCTGCCGACATCGAGGTCGCCTGCCAAGCTGCGGAGGCGAAGGCACGCGCGGCGAACATGGGCCACCTCGACGAGATGCAGCTCGGGCAGGAGGCCGCTGCCCTCCTGGGCCCCGGCCTGGACCGCGTCCCTGGACGCGTCGTGTTCGGCGACGACGCGCTGCGCAAGTACAGCAAGTCGGCGGGGCTGAACGAGCACGTCCAGACCGACGAGCGCGACGTCGTGCGGTATGAACACGTACGTTAGTCTGCACACACTCGTCGCCTGCGCACATTGACACCGCCCTCACAGCCGGACGCATGGGAACGCCGCCAACGCGCGAAAAGCCGCCCCCCGCCTCTCCCGCACACCGACCTCGAGCTCCCCGTCGTGTGCGTCAACAACGCGAACGCCTTCGGGATCGACGCGATGCTCACAGGCCGGCACGGCTTCGCGTGGATAGTCACCCCGGAGTGCTCGGAGCTCGACCGCCTCGGGCCGTTCCACTTGTTCAACAACCCGGGGCCGATGGACAGCTGGTACATCCGCAATTGGCACTATTGCGGCAGGTACTACGCTCACCGGACTGGGCGGCAGATGAACCTCGACGGGTGGCAGAAGCTCCCTCAAGCGGTGAGTCGTCGGTGAACGCGAATGCGCTGCCGCCTCCGGTGGATCGTGTCATTGACGTCTCTCGTTTTGCAGACCAAGGACGCTGCGACGGGCATCAACACGGCCGTCCCAAGCGGGCTGTGCGTCGAGCTCGTCATCCTCCAGTTCTGCGGGCTCCCCGACTGGACCGTCTGGGGTAAGCTTCACGAGGCTGCTGCTAACTGTGTTAGGCCCGCGAAGCCTCCCGGCACTCCCCCGAACCGTCTTGCTCTTCCGAGGCTGTTCGCGAAGCACGGACAGGTGCTGATCGACGAGCACGCGCACATGCAGTCCATACGCCTGACAGGCCGACGGCTATAGCAAGATTGGGTGCCTGGTGCGTCCCTTCCACCTATAGAAGTTGCCGGTGCTATGTGGAAGATGTACCGTGCTGCGAAGTTGAAAAGAAACCATTGTATTATATATCATTATGAATATTTGACTACTTCGCCCTGTACGAGCTCGCTGTGGGTGCCCTCACCAGACAAGAATCCGAGTCACCTTCGTGAAAGCGCAAGCAAACCTGATGGTCGATTTAAAAAAAGTCGTCTCCGTGTATATCATTTAATGCGCTCGTGACGGACGTCCTGGACGGAGACAGACAGCTGATATGAAGCAAAAGTAATGACCCATTGATGAAATGGTAAAAGTAAGGGTTTATGAGGGGCACGGGTCATTCGCGCGAACAGACGACACGTCCTGATCTCCTAAGACTAACTCGGCACGTCCTGCAGGTTGCGGAATTGCTTCCCTGGCCAGTCAAGGACGTATTATACCGGGTCAATCCCCGCCTTACGGTAGGGGCGACGATAGGTAACCAAGTTTTCTGGAGGGGACGGTCTTGAACCAGCGCACGAACGACTTGTTCCGTTGGGACTTTAGACCACCTCACATTCCCGGTTGAGGGCCATTACAGCCACTACACCATTGTACCCATGCCCTTTGTGATCGGTCAACGTCTATGGCTTCTTCCACCGGAGATAAGACTGGCACAACGGCGCAAGGACCCGAAAGCATCGCTCTCGAGACTCGCGCTATCCTGCCGCCCACAAGTATGATGGCCACCCACGTTGGGGACACGTTCGTCCACGACAACTCCTTTATAAGCCACCATCCGCCGCTCGCTCAGACAACAGCGCCAGGGCGGTCGCAACGACGGATAAGAACGCAACACCGACACCGTTAACGAACGACCTCCCAAACACCATGGCTCTCCTTCTCGCTCCCATTGTCGAGGCATACCGACTCATCCTCCAGCCGGTGGCCCCATTCAGTTGGTTCGGCCTGCAACTCAGCTCGCTCGACGTCGTCGCCGCATTCCGTCTGTGCATCGCGCTCCGCCAGATTCGCGAGAAGCTCTGGCGCGACCATGTCCTCAAGCAGAAGACGATCAGTGCGGACGAGAAGGGCAAGAGCGTCGCGGTGCCGGAGATTGAGCCGCGATCCTTTGTCCGCGACGCCAGTGCGGCCCTCCTGGTAGTCTATGGAGGGGAGGCTGTGACTGGTGAGCTTCAAATGTTTCTTTGCCTGCGCAGGAGAAGTGAACGGTATCTATTTACTAGCCCCGGCGTTGGCGATTCCACCGTCCTTTATGCTCTCTGGAGTCGTCCCTGCCTTCTATACCGCTGTCCAGGCCACCGTCGACAAGCTGCCATGGGTCCCGACTCCGTCGTTCGAGCTCGAGGCACCACTCGCAGTCTTCGACGCCTTCAGCCGTACATATCTCCTCTGCAACCTCATCCCGCCCATGGTCCTCCAGCACACCTCCCCGACGATCCAGGGAAACCCGTGGACGCTTCTCCTCACGTCTCTCGTATGTCCCCTCCTTCCCATCTCAGTCCTCCTCCCATGCTCATCGTACATTGACAGTTCACCGCGAACGGCGGGTTCTTCCTCACGAACCTCCTCTCCTTCTTCCACCCGTACTCCCTCACGCTCACCACGCCCACCGAGTTCCTCCCCTACGGCTGGACTGCGACCGACCTCTGGTGTGCGCCGCTCGTCACCGGGCTCTACGCGTTCCTCACGCACGCCCAGCCGTTCTGGGCCGACGCGCACCACGTCGCGAGCGGCTGGCTCGGGACTTCTGGGGCGGAGAAGGTCGCTGCGGTCGACGCGGAGACGGCGCGCGCCGTGTGTGTGGTCGTCCTTGCGGGGTTGTTCACCAGCCGCGCGGTGAAGAACTTCGGTCCGGCGGCTGCGCAGCCGAAGTCGAAGACGCAGTGAACGGGGAAGGATGTGATCGGTGCACCTCATTGTCATGACTCTTTACGGCCCGCACGATAGATATTGTTATGCCTCTTGCTCCGTTTCGTCGCAGCGCTGATATTCATAGATGTCCAGTAACACCTACAGGCACAAATACGATGATGAGCAGAGCAGGAACTGGAACAATTGCGGCTTTCAGCGAGGCTGGATCCTCAATCAGCATGTCCCATCTCCACAGATGTCTCACCACGTCGTCCGCCGCCTAGGTCCACGGACCACATCTATTTCGACGTCCCTTCCCCCGAAGCCACTATGAACTTGAATTCGCCCGGTCGGGTCTCAGGGTGGTATGGAGGGAAGTTGACGATCATTCTCCAGACGAATCGCCGTATGCGGGCCCCGGGCCTCAGGTCAGCTGCGCTGCGCCCATCCTGAACTGCTCGGACCCGATATCCAGGATGTACGTGGCTGTAGACGAACCCGAGGATGAGCTATCGTGCTACATAAGCGAGATGCTCATACAAGCCCGCATAGGTTGGGTAAAGTCTACGACCCGCACATATTGTTGTTTAAGAGCGGTGCGTAGAAGGCTCAACCGTTGAGGATTTGGCCCGGGAAGAGCTACAGAGGATTGTCAAGTACCGTATACCAGCGCTACTGTTTTACGTAAATTGATTTGCCGACATTCGTTCAAGTTGTAGCTGGCATGATGATCTCAACGTCCCGAGCAACTACATAGACACTACTTGCCTTCCTAACAAGCATACTCCGGTGAAATGCCTGTCGAGAATCACCCTCTTCAAAAGACCTTCCGGCCAGGAGATACGTCTTTGCTTCGAAACAAACAAGGGAAGTGCAGGAGGTGCGACAAGGCGCAGAAACCAGGCGAGAAGTTCATGTTCTGCAAAGGTTGCAACGTCGCTCTCTATTGCAGTGCGGACTGTCAGCGCGCGCATTGGGACCATCACAAGTGAGCTCACGTTCTATACGAATTGCCTCACGATTCATTGGCTTGTCAGGCCCCTGTGCAAGTACCAGCAGGAGAACACCGCAATTATGGCAGCTCACCCCGAGGCAGTCGCTCCCCGTGCGTCTGGGCTGCCCAGTATCCTCGAGATGCAGTCCTACCTGCGCGACTTCACAGAGATACACCGCCCGTCGTTCCAAGGGCTTATACACGCTAAGATGCAGGTCATGGGCGACACCGAGAAGGTTCTCACCGAGGAGCCCAAGGTTTGCCTCGTCCCCCTAAAGTATCGTCACCCCGGGCCGGAGGCGCCTTGACGTTCACGCTCTCCACCCTCGTGTTCCTGCCCCTCCAGCGCGTCCTGTCCGACGCGGCCACCAACAGACCACGGTTCAGCAAGGCCTGGGAGGCGTCCACCGCCTCGCGCGCGCACGCCAAGGCGCTGTTCTCGGACGACCCGGGCTTCGTCGACATCCTCCCCATCCTGTTCGCCCCGCACGCGGGCCCGACGCAGTTCGCCTACTTCCCCCAGTATCGCACTCTGACCGGCGACATGGTGCCAGAACTGCCGGACTCCGCCCGGTCCCAGATCGAGATGTACACTGCGTTCATCGAGCTTGGGATCGTCATGCGACCCCCGGGGAAAGACGCGCTGCCGGTTCCGGGGTACATGAAGAGGCTCAACGACGGGAAGAAGTGGGAGTGGCGGCCGCTATGGAAGAACTGGTATATCGATCTCGCCTGGACTACAAGCAGCATGAAGGAACGCATCAAGTTGCTGAAGCGGAAGCTGGCTGAGGCACAGCGGAGCTCGTAGCTGTGTTGATTGCAGAATCATCCGTGCGCCTTGTTCCCGGGTGCCTTGCAACATGTTGTAGTTGTACCACTTGCTTCAATGGATCAAGTTTCTCGAACCGCGATTGCCGGACTGAGCAGCACAATTTTCAGACATTCATTGCCACAAGACGCGGACTAGACACAAATATCTCCTACAGCAAACACAATCGGATACGCTTGGAGCGAACAACGCACTACAAGTGCACTAAATGAGACAGTGCGCATGTCGCAAGTTGAACCGTTTACCACACCACCGCATGACCTTCTGTAGCCACTCCGCCTCAGGAGAGTCGACCAACGAACCTAACCGGGAGACTCGGTGCTTGACTGCTCAGGACGAGTAGGTAGATATAGCATCCGAGAAGGTGGCGCTCAACGAGTCCTGCGTGGTTGGCTCAGTCAACCATTCCTCCTAAGAGATTGTGCGTCGAGGGAACCTACAAACTGAGACTGTGCGGCAGACTGCTGAGTCGGGATCAGGCCGATCAAAGCAAATGCGAGATCCTGCCGGGTATCCGCGCTGTCAGCAGAGCGGCAGACACTTCAATAGGTAAACATACGTCGACGGCGTCCTCAATAGTGCGCAGAGCAGCAGCGATGGGAGCCGTCAAGAAGAACTGTGCCGCGATAGACTTTGAACTTCATCAGAGCATGCTTGCTTTTACAAAATGCTATACAACGTACGTGCTTGCCGATGATTGTGCTGAGGAGGAGCCTAGCAGTTCCACGCAGGCATCGTCAGGACAGGCCGCAAGCAATTGGGAGACGGTTCAACTTACTGGTGGACCTGGACGAAGCCAGTCAAGAAATCGACGATTTCTTGCGCGGCATCATCCGGGAACGTTGTAGGGTTCGGCTGCCAGTGTGAACAATAAACAATCGGTCATGTATCACTACATCATGGGGTTTGGCGACGTACGGGAGTGATTTGAGTGGTGAAGCTCCCAATCGAGGTAGTGAGGTTTCCGAGACCGCCCGCGATTTCCTGCTCAGATGATGAGTTGAGCGGACACAAAACAAGAGAAGGGTATTCGCTCACTGTTCCGGTTTTGGGGAAATTGCTGAGGGTGATCTTGGAGATAGCGAGCTGTACGTCGCTGGAGGCGTCGGTGAGGCTCTGAAGTCCTCCGGTCACCGCATCCTCAGTTTGGGCGAGGGCACCGAGGATACCGAGGAAGATAACCGTGAAGGCGGTCAACACGTTGCTGAAGAACTTCATCGCGGAGAGCGGACAAGCAATGAGGCCAAAACTACGACGCGGTTGAGGTGCTGAGAAGCCGGGTTCGAGCAGAGTCGAATGAAGAGCGAAAGGGGGGGGACTGACCTTATTTATATCTGGTAGAATCACGCTGAGATACTACGCCATCGCCGAGCCTAGAAGGGATGACGAGATGGTCCAACGTGCGCGAGCGAAAGGAGTGCGCAAGGCGGAGAAGGAGACTCGAGCGTTCGCTCTCCACAGAAAGTACTTGGCTGCTTCGGGCTAGCTGCATGCAACGGATGCCCCATTGCCAAAATCGATGATCAGGTGACAGACCGTTCGTGGACCACTTCCTTGTCTGCGTCGGAACCTGAGGCGAATTGTGCAGGTCCCCCGAGGAACGATTATTAGTCCGGCAAGCTTCTCAACCATGAGCCGACCATGGCATTGACACTCGTATGCTTTATCTTGACGCGGTTGAGCTTGCCAGAGCTGGCTAGACCTTGCTGTTGAACGGCATCGTGCATGACAATTGACTGATCTTAGCACTTGAATACTGTAAGATATCCACGTCAACACATCAAATATTAGGGTTTCATAGAGCGACGTTTGACGCACTGCTCATCTGTGATGTCCATTGTCCACAACCTTGTGCCCACCGCAGTAAAACGCTCGCATAGGCTTGGATCTCCCATGATTGACGGCAGTCTGAAAAGTCAAACTACGCACCTTGCTCACCGAGAAGTGCCCTCCTTCCCCGCAGAACGTACAACTTCGGCATCCGATCCACGCCGTAATGATCACCACGAGGACGTACCGACCATGTCTAGGGCCGCACGGTCGCCGCTTCGAGCCGTGAGTGGAGCCGCCACAACAGCGCATGAGCGTTTAACTCTGCGTTGTTCGGGCATCTGGCATTCACTGCCAGCGACGCAGGTGGTCGTCATTTCAGCTAGTACGGCATCAAGCCCATCTGGGTTCGAGACCCAACGAAAGAAAACTCCAAGGGCTGCCGGATATTTTCTGCCAGTATTCGATGAACAGGTTACCTTCATAGTCTCGGAACGATGCAGCATGTGTCTTGTTGAGGAGGCCCACGAAGCCTCTATGAGAGCTGGCGACGTTAATACATACTCGCAGAGACACAAGAAGATTCTAGAGCCCGCCAAAAGGGGTTACTTGGGATACCTGTTTGCACAGTGCGCATGGTGGGCAGTCACGCTCACTCGTTGAGTAGGTCACATTCCGACGGGTACCCTGGAAAAACCTAACCCCAGCAGCAAACATTCTTAGTCTGTTCTCCCCGTAGTGGTGAGCATGATGGACACATGCGTGCGGCCCGGAACGGGTCCATGCCTGCCGGCCCAGACTGATGCGTAATGATACCGCTCGGGAGCTGTGGTTTGGTCACAAAATCATGTCGATCTCAGATTGCGTTTAAAGACTGCAGCTTTAACTTCTGCATCAGGTACATGGCTCCGAGCTGAAGACACACAGAAGTGTGGGCGACGAAAGAAGGAGCGCATGGGGGACAGGCCTGCAGAGGAATCAGCGTATCGAGCGCAGCAACAACGGCGACACGCACGGCAACTTGAGAACGTCAGCAGATTCATGGCCGAGCAGAAGGGAGACTCATGCAGCGATGAGAACGTTGATATTGTGCGAAATGAGGTACGTACTGCGAAAGGACTCGTCACACTGAGATACAAGCGCATCGCATGGGTAGGTCGCGGTCTATGATCGAGGCAGCAGGGAAGCAGAAATCTATGATGCCTAGCGGTCTGCTCAATCGTGATAGGTAGTGCCTCGGACGCGGAGGACGAGATCAAGCCTTGCGCAACAACGCGATGGACCCAACCAGACAAGTTTTCAAGCTATGAAACCACTCACAGAGCAGTACGTCAAATCCGCCAGGAGCCACGTCCGTAATTTCCTGCACCCGTATCTCTCCACAGTGGCTGTCACTTGTTACAGCAACAGGCCGGACCAGATGCGAGCAGATATTCGATGGGCAATGAAACGCAGATATGAGAGCTGCCGTACATTCCGACATATGGATGTAGAACAGGGAAATCCGGTCGGACCCGCCACCACCGTCCAACCTGCCACCTGCCTTATTAGGGCGTCAGGCGCACGTCATGACGGTAGGTGACCACTGCCAGTGCCATCACTACATAGCAGCTTTAAGTTGCTCGCCTCGTGGCTTGACGCGGCGTATCCTATTCTCCAGGCAGCGACTTGGAGGCTTTTACAGGTACATAGTGATCGCGAAATGCTCGCTGAACTCATGCAACGCCGCCGGGCTAAAACCAAGGAGGACGCCGAATGTCGCAAATTCGCGCTTTCCCTTTACTCCGTGCACAACATTGTTACACCCATTCAAGCCATTACCTCCCCAGCGAAGTCGTCAAGTCGATCCTGAAGAGCCGGACCGGTCGCTCGAACCCCCGTCTTCCTGTCCTCCTGGACAAAGCGACGTTCTGGGCATTGGCGATTGTAATAGCCGCTTAGGGTATTCGTGCACGCAGAACGATCGAGCCCGGGTCTAGCATCTTGACTCCGACTCTTGAGGGAGGTTAGCACCTTGACTCTACTCAGCATCGGCTTCCTGCGCTAATCAGACGGGATTAACTGTCTTTTTTTCCCTTCATCCATCATTGCCGGACATAGGCGCCAAGTATTCCAGGCCTTCTTCCGGTCACCAGCGCGAGGGCTCGGCGATGCAAGCGGAGTTCGTTGGTAGCTTCCTAGAGCCATCTTCGGAATCACCCCGTTCTCGGGAGGCGATCGCCCAACCGTTGCCGTGTGTGCCCGCTGTTGTTGGCCATGGTTTGATGGTACGTGAGTGACAAGCTCATGCTAGCGTACGCGTCAACCAACACCTTACGCGCACGTCATCTTCGGATTCGCCTCGAGCTGCGATTGCGTCGCAAGAGGTCTTGGACTAAGCCTCGCAATCGGGCAGCTTTGAGAGCCGAATCTTCAGCCTCTGGATCTCATCCTCTGCGCAATATCACGATAAACAATAGCTGTCATAAAGATACGTGTGTCCCTTCTGTGCTGTCGAAAGAGCTCACTGTCACCCGCACAGAAGCCCATGATTGCCAGCGGGCGAATGTGTGATGCGGAGATAGCGCAGGACTAGACCTCGTGCTGTACATCTACTGAGGAGCATCAGTTTGTTTGACGTCGTCTGTTGTCCACATCAGATGTAGGGCTCAGGCGCGGGGAGGCAGCTTGTGGCATGCGCCGATGCCAACTACCTTGCATCATGGATGCGGGGTATCATCTCAATGTGAGTCCTCCTCTACGAATGCATGATCTGTTTCTCGACAGAGCTGCATCGCAGACCTCACAGTACATATAGATCCGTGACGGTTTCGTCTCCCTCAACTCTAGCAGAAGAAATACACTTGTAGAACATCTCCCGTCACGTAACGCTTACACTTTCCGGTGATCCGGCTTTTTGCGCCCAAGGTGAGTCGAATACCGCCCCACACGACTGTTGTCCAATAGACTGGGCTGATCCTCTAATGTACCATCAAGGCGGCGGCGTCGGGTTTTGTAGATGCCAATGCGGCATTTCAGAAGAGGCCGGTGCTGATGCCGCGCGCTGACAGGAGCCGATATCCCGGAGCTCCCGTGTTCTGCCGAGGGTCCTCCATGACAATGGGGCCCTCACGGTAGCATCATCATGCCTTCAAAGTCCTGTTGTCGGGACCATACCAAGTGCACTTGTGATCATCTCGTATCACAGAAGGCCAATACAAGGTCAGCAAGCCCCTCTCTGCAAGACTCTGTCCGCGTGTGTCGCATGCGGTTGTGGGGAAGAACGCCGTCGAGTCTACTCAGCGCCGCAATATATCGGGATCACTCCCGCCAAGGCTGAGCGCAGAATGCAGAGTGTCTGTTTTGTACTTCACTGACGTAGTGGGCGTTTGTGGTATCACTAAACCGCTTCCAACGCTCACAGGTTTCCGAGTCATCACGGGATATGGCCGGTTGTGACAATTGTATCGACCAAACCGCCACTGCTCGGGCGTCAAGCAGAAGTCCACCCGCAAGCTAGGTGTAGAATCGGGATTGGAAAGACGCGCAAATTCACGTCCGTGACCATTCCAATATGTAAAACGCGCCATAATGCCGAGTAGGCTGGATGCGGAGGTATCGCTTCCGTCCTATTCAAACAGAAACGGAGGATAAATAGGCCAAGCAGGACGTCTCTCCAACCCCATCGAGCCCCCTCGACATCCTCTCTCCCAATCCCTCTTCGCTCTCTGCCATCTCATCATCATGCAAATCAAGATTGCTGCATCCCTGCTTGCTGTGGCGGCCTTTGCGGGCTCTGCTCTCGCCGAATCGCACACCGTGACCTTCAACAACCGGTGAGCATCCGTTCGCCTGATATTCAGCTTGAACGTCGTGCTGACAATCACGTTCTACAAGCTGTGGACATGGCACTGTAAGGCCCTAGCACGACGTGTGAATTACCCGGGATGTGGCGGAGACTGACGTGCACCCCAGCCTACTCTCGTCCAGAATGGAAGGATCCTTTCCACGGGCGGGAACTATGTCTCTAACGGTCCCCTCGTTGCCGCCATTGCGTGAGTCCGCATATTGCGTTCTCCAGTTGCTATATACTCATGAGCCTTCAGTTACCTGCAGACGGGTCAGTGGGCATCGTACTCGGGGTGAGATCGCATACTGACGTCACGCCACATTCAGGTAGCTGCGGGTTGAACGGCGAGGGCTGCACCCTCATCGAGACCACGCTGCAGAACCCGACCAGCCCGGGTGGGGGCTCCTCCTCGGACATCAGCTTGATTCCGCCGCACACGTTCAGCGTCACTTCAGGCTTCGGGTACGTCAATTGTTGTGCACGCATTCTGGGGGCATATATCTTACGACGGCGCCCTTCGACATCCAGCTACTTCGGAGGCTGCGACGGCGCAGGTGCCGACTGCACGAGTGCAGACTGTTCGACTGCGTTCCACAACCCGGACGACACGTGGGTGCAGGTGGCGTGTCAAACTAACAACGTGAGTCACTCTCGAGCTCTGCTCACTACAACGATACTGAGACTGTACATTTTTCATTCAAGGTCAACCTGGCCATCACGTTCTGCGACTAGGCTGCCATTGTGCGCGGGGCAGGTGAACTGACGCCACGTTCCGGAGGGGACCTCAGTTTCCCGCCCATCGTTGTGTACAATTACCGTTTGCATCAGCCGCTGTCGCTCTATACAATCGCCTGTTTTTTTTGCGTACTCACTCGCCCGCTGCGTGCACTGGACGCGTCCGGCCCCTCCTAACTTGGCCATGGACCTGTCAACCGGAGCACTCATGACGCGTCGACCAATCCAACAGCAAATGCCTACCTAGGTAGGCTATCGACTCTGCAGATTCAAACAGCGGTGCGTCGTCGTCGCCGAACATGCCAACCCACATACGCCTGCATATGCTGAGGAATCGGCTCGCGAGCTCGGCGAACAAGCATGCGGATGCCCGCGCAGATGTTGCGATCTCGCTGGGAGCCATCTGCAAGCCTGTCTGTTCGTTCACCAAGGAGGCGTTCCGTGCGTGCCGTAGACGCACATTGCCGATGCTACTCGGACAACCCTTGTAGACGCTGGCGTCCCAGGCCTTGCGCTGTGGTTATGTTTTTCAGGGTGAAGCTTGGCAAGGTCTTATCTTGTTCGAGGGTCTGGCGCATCAAGGGTCGAGCAAAGGGGGGATAGAGAGGTCCAAACCACAACCGTGACCTTCAAGCTTGCCGCTGTGCACGCGGTGATGGCCGCCAGGTGCTAGTACTTCCTACACTCAATCACTGTGTGGACCATGAAAAGGAGCAGAAAGGACCGCACCGCACCGCCGCCCTCACCGACGGGGGAGCTGAGTGCGACCACAGACGGATTTCGCAGGCGGATGCCTCCTAAGACGCACCCGGCTTCCAGTGGTCGAGCGCGCCAAGGAGCGACGCCCGAGAGCTGAAGCGCTGAAGTTCGACCCCGTCGCGTTCATGTATGATACAAGCATCCATATGGCACGTAGCTACCAATACAGGAGTCAAAGCAGCCGCCAGCACGCAGCGCAAAACGAAGCATCACTCAAGCACGCACCCCGCTCGACCTCACCCGACCCCGCTAATGCCCCTCCGCCTGCAGCTCCCCGACGATCCTCAACAGCCCCTCCCTCCTCATCGGTATCCACAGCGCCTCCGCACCCGCGGCGTCCGTCGTCGCCACGACCAGCCCATGGTCCCGGAACTCGCCCAGCAGCGCGCGCAGCGCGGTGTCGTTCGTCGCGACGAAGTTGTCCCGCGCCGCTGCGAACAGCCGGTCGTAGTCGTACGCGGCCTCCTTCTCCTTCTCCCTCACCCCGTCCACCGCCTCGCTCTCGCTCTGCGCCGCGCCCCTGTCTTTTCCTTTGTCTTCGTCTCTGTTCTTGTGCGAAGGAGCGGGCCCGTCCATGACCTCCAGCTGCCGCGTCCCCAGCAGCACGAACAGCTTCTTCGCCTTCTGCGTCACGCTCGCCAGCACGTGCCGCGCCGCCGTCTCCGTCACCACCACCGCCGCCGCCGCGGCCCCTCCCGCCCCCTTCGCAGCAGCCGCGAGCGCCGCCGCCGACGCAGTAGGGGCACGCGTCCCGCGCAGGGCGGCCGCCCCCGCGAGTGCGCCCGGGTCCGCGTACGCGAGCTCGAAGTCGTACGGCGCGAGCGTCGTGAGGTCGTGCCAGAGCCACGCGAAGCCCCTCCGCGGCCCCAGGCCTTGCGACGGCTCTTGTGACGCGCGCCTAGACTTCGTAGGGGACACAGGGCGGTCAAAGGAGGCGGGCGGGTCGGGCTTGCGCGCGAAGAGTTCGGAGAGGGACCAGCGCGCGGGCGCGGCGATGTGGTCGACGGACGCGACGAGGTGGATGTGGGGAGCGAGGGCGAGGAGCGCGAGGGCGGCGCGGTGCTTGGGCGCGCGGAACGCGCCGCCCTCGACGTTGTGCGCGACGACGTACAGCTCGGGGGCCTGCTCGCGCGAGAAGAACGCGTGGATCCGCTGTACCTGCGCGTCGGCGCCGCCCCCGGCGGACGTAGGGGACGCTTCAGCGGCGGCGGACAGGTCGAGCACCCCGGGGACGCGCTCGATCGCCCCCAGCAGGTCCCTGAACGCGAACGCGGGGTTGAACGCGTTCGCGACGACGACGTGGTGGCCCCTGCGCGCGACGTCCACCGCAAAGGCGTTCAGGAGCTCGCGCTTCGAGCCGCAGCCGTAGAGCAGCACGTTGAAGCCCTCCGCGAGCTCCGTCCTGATGCGCCGGAACCACGCGCGGCGCGCGCGTGCGTCGCGCCACAGCACCCGTTCGCGTTCGCGGGGGTCTTGCTGTATTCGTGCGAGTGCGGCTGCGTGCTCTTCGGGCGTGAGCGGGGGGACGAGCTGCGAGAAGACGTTCGCCGACGTCCGTGAGGGCTTCGAGGCGTGCAGGAAGTACGCGTCGAACGCGGTGTGCGTCGTGATGCCCTGCGAGGGCGCACCGAAGTCGGGGTCTTCGTTTGTGCTGAAGAGACGGTCGTCGCGGTCGGGCTCGTAGTCGGAGGAGACGGCGGAGAGGCCGCCGCGCCGGGAGGGGGTCGTCGGGGCGCTGCTGGTCGCGGTGGGGGGCCAGTCTTCGAGCCCTTCGTCGGAGGAAGGGGAGGCCATGTGTGCGTCCTCGGGCTGCATCTTGTAGGCCTGCTGTTTGTATGAGTGCCAAGGAGGAGCGAGCAGGGGAATGATAGGGCGGTATGTGCAGACTGGAAAGCGTTGGGTGGCGGATGGTTTGGAACACGCGTTTTTGGCGCTGAGACGCGCCGCGCGAGCGTGAATCGATCGTGACCGTGACTTGTGGAATGTGCTCGCGGCCGTAGCTACTACCACAGAAAGTCAAACCACATGCACAACGGTGGGACCACGCATGATCAGGAACCGAACACTCCTGTGGGGAAGCACGACGGGGCGGCAGAGGGAATGGCAGGTGAGAGGGGTCATCTACCGCGCCTGTGCGTGCTGCCCGCCAGTACGCGCAGATCACCTCCAACAAGATAACGCTGTAAAGTACACCACGAACAGACGGAGCAAGCGGAAGCCGCCTATTCTCCGTCTTTGACCTCCTCCATGTCGTCGCCCTTCGCCACCTCGTCCTTCGCCTCGCCATTCGTCTCCTTCGCCTCCTTTTGCTCCGCAGCCTCTGCAGCGTCTTGGGTCTCTCCCTCCCCATGCTCCCCGTTCTCCTCGACAGCCTCGTCGGCCTCAGCGCCGTCCTCGCCCTCCTTCGCGCCCTTGCTCCCGATGACAGTCGCGTTGATCCTACACGTCCCACGCGCACGTGCAGTTCATCGAGTCAAAGAAGGCACCGGTCAAACCGTCAGTCAGTCAGCCCACCGGCCCCAATGCGCCCCAAAAATAAGGGCACGCACGTGAGCATGACGTGCACCTTCTCCTTCTCCTCGCCGCCGTCCGGGTTCTCGAGCTCGACGGTGAAGCGCTTGCTGCCCTTCCAGCCGTAGGAGCCGGTCGCGAACGTGCTGGGGACGAGCGCGGCGGTCCCGATGAAGCCCGGGTCGGTCGCCGCGAGCGTGACCGTGCCCTCGTCGCGGTCGGCGAGCACGGGCGGCGTGTGGGTGATGTTGACGTGGATGGGCAGCGCGCGCGCCTTGAACGCACTCGCCGCCAGGTTCGCCTGCGCGGGCGCAGACCCCAGTTAGCTCCCCTCGCTTCGTCTTTGTGTGTGGACGAAGCCGGAGAAGCGTACAGACCTTGAGACCCTTCTTGCCGCCGCGCCCGCCGCGGGCAGCTTTGGGCGAGGTGTCTGTCTTGTCTGTCTTTGGCGCCTTTGCGCTCCGGGTGGTGGGGCCCGCGCCGTCGTCTTCGGCTGCGCGTTTCCTGGGTGCTGGTTCGTCGTCTGACCGTCAGCTACGCTCTTTGCTCGTACTCGACCGGTCATCGTCATGGTGAGCGTAGGACACTCACCCATCGTAAGTTTGTCTAGCAGGAGGGGTGCGGGGAGTAGCACTTGGTGGGAGTCGAGTATGTAGGGCGGACAGTCCAGAGGAGGGGACGTGCGAATAACAGTAAGAGAGGGCAACGGGGGTGGGGACGATATTTATTCAGCAGTGCGCCTGGGCCGCTCGACGTTCTGGTTGTGGCCCAAAACGGGAAGAGGGGCGAAAGAACGCCGCCCGCCCAGCTGAGGACTAGTACTTACCACACTTCGCGTCCATCCCCATGACACGCTCCTTGGGGCGATCGCTTATGCTGACCGCGAACGGGTCCGAGAACCGTGAGCACGCACGACGAGCACTCACTTTTCTCAGACGCACGCGTAATTCGACGAGCGACTTTCAGTGGAGCTTCACCGGTTTCGACGCGACAAAATGATGTAGTCTAGGCGGATCCAAGGGGCGCCTGCACCATCCTATAGCTAGGTTGGCGGGGATATCTAGTTTGCATAGGGGCCAATCCTGGCTTGCACAGTTGTCATTACGGACAGCTCATGCAGAACAACGCCTTCAATTCAGACGGGTACGAAGCGCTCGGGCTGGACGCAAATATATCCGGGATATCTGCCAACCCCACAGGCAACTGACCGGAAACATCGGGGCCGGGAGAGACATTGCACAAGCATCATATGAATACATAGGATGAAGCGATCTGTCTAGACAGGACATGGGAGTACAGGATGGACATCTGGAAGACCTTACGAGTGTACCGCACATTGCACTAGCGAGTGAAGCGGCGAAAGGGAAATGTTGAAAGACTGAAGATATGTGCAGACGCAAGCACGGCATCTAAAAATGTCTGAGTGGCAAGGTTGCGATGTGCCCTGAGAAGGGGCGGATAAGGCTGAACTAGAACAGCTACTTACTTACCAGACCCAGTGAACCAAGCGCAATCTAACATGGTCCTGCCCCGGTCACCACGTGCTCATCCCGTTTGTTGTGACGGACCGCCTCATCCATGTAGATTAGACATTCTGATCCACTTTGAAACCAGCTCTTTGCTCATGGTATCTGGTACTCAGGCTCGACATGCATCTCCATCTACACACATCCGCCTACGTTGGATTTGATGGGGTACCTCTTCTGGTCCTTTCTGATCCACCCTGAACCCGATTTCGGTGCTGTGCAATACTTACCGCGGCGTTATCCCGTCCCCCGGCTTCTTAGTTTCATGTCGCCAAAACTCACAGACTATCTCCGCGCTGTGCTTGCGAAATGATACCTTCGACAAGAGATGACCTCACCGTCTGGTGAGGCTAACACCAAAGCCTCTGTCACCAGTACTCATACATGCCTGATGGCCCTCGCCGTCGCAGAACATAACTCCTGGCCTCCTGCGCAACCTCCGAGTCTACAGCTTGTGCGATGGCCGACCTCGCGACCCCCGACTTCCTCTCATCCCTTAAGGCACTCTCCCCTCCACACACCCCCAACGCGCCCTCCCACCTCTCGACGGTAGTCGCCGCCGTCGCGTCCAGCGCGTCCAACGTCCCCGACGCAGTCCCGGCCGTCTTCAGCTACGCCCTCGAGGACCTCGTCGCGTCCCAGCACGCAGCAGGCCCCGCTGGGGACGCGGCGCGCGAGCGCCGAGGAGCAGCTCGTCCTCGCCCGCAAGGTCCACGAGGCCGTCCTCCAGTCCGGGCTTCTTAGCGGCATGCCGCGGGTGAGTGCCGTCATATTCCCAGTCTTTCTGCAGTCTTTTTGCTGCCTTCCTGCATCTGCATCTGCATCCGTACCCACACCTCCTCCCCTGTGCGAGACACTTGGGGCCGCGCTCGCGCGCCTCGGTGCGCGTCCACCCGTTCTCATGTCTGTCGACGTAGGTGCTGTCATGCCATTGCGTACGCATGGAGGGCGAGCGCGCCAAGATTAGTGAACATCCAGCTCCATGCCCGGGCCGTGCATCACTTGCACGTTGCCTTCGAGGGCTCAGAGCGTTGCTCGACCCGAAGACTGGAGCTACCTATCTACAGGCAGCTGCTTGCTCGTCACGGCGAGCAGAGCGCGGCGCGGGCTCCGTCAAATTCCTGTGCCATCCTGGGGCGCGCGGGGAGGGAGGAGCTTGTAGCGCGTCAACAGAAATAGATCAGGGGTGCTCGAACGTGCTTGCACTTAGGACGCTCTAGGAGGTCGGTGATGGCGAGTGCTGTACCTCGCCGGCGAGCCCGACCAAGTTCCGCATGGTAGGAGGTGCCGTCTTGGTCCTACGCACCTGCTACGAGAGTGCGGGTTGCGAAGGAGGACCTTGTGCGGAGGAAGGAGCGTCAGCCTCACTCGAGGGCTCTCCAAAGCGGGCTCGTCGGCTAGCCCTACATGATTCATGTCTAGCGACGGGCACTCCCAGCATTGGTGTTTAGCGAGGACTCAGGTCCGGGCATGGTCCACACGGCAGTCACTAGCAATCTGATACGGCTGAGCATGGCTGCGCCAGGAAGGTGTACGTCTTGCTGCCTTCTTCCCGGACTCTAGTGAAGGATGAACGCGCAGAGTACTGACTGGGACGTCGTGATAACGACAATGCAGGCGATCAACACGCTCGTCGCGCTACACCACGTCATGCCGGAGCACTTGCGAGCGGCCAAGCCCCTCCGGTGAGCGCACATCTTCGTTCCAGCCACACGCAGATGCTCATACCAGCGTCGACGTCTGCCGTCAGAGACACGCGGAGGCCCCCAGCAGAGTGGGACAAGCACGGCGAGGCGCTCTTCAGCGCCGTGTACCGCGACACGGCACCGTCGGTCCAGAGCCTCCTCGACGCTGCGTACCCCGACCTAGGTCTGTCTCTGTCTCTGGGCCCCCGCGCCTCTCGCTCTACTGACCGCTGCGCAACGCGGCAGGCTGGTTCTGCACGACGGTCGGGTACGGCATGACCTACGGCGGGACGGACGTCCTCTCCGTCGTCGAGCTCGTCTACGTCATGGCCGCCGCGCTCATCGCCGTCGACGCGCCCCGCCAGGTCGGCTGGCACCTCGCGAACGCGCGCCGCAGCGGCGCGTCGCTCGAAGAGGTGCGGGCGGTGAGGGCCACCGCCACCGAGGTGGCGCAGAGGGCGGGGGTGAGGTGGCGGAACGACGTGCTGGAGGTGGAGGCGTGAAGCGCGGAGATGCAGGGCAGCAGGGGGACGTTGGGCTTGTGTGTTGCACTGATGGATTGAGTATTCGTGTCCTGCGAATGGTATGCCTGGAAAGCTGTGCGGCTCTGTGCACCAGATCGCGGATATCCCTTCAACAGTCCTCGCGATGGAATGGAGGCTATCCAGTCTTTTCCGCGTTTGCACGTAATGGGCATTGAAGCGAAGGGTGACAAGTTTAGAGGATGAAGTGCGTTGCTTACAGGACCTGTTGCAATGGCATCAGCATACTGACCAACTATGGAGCCTTCACGCCGCCCCAGTACGAAATCGGGCGCGACGATCCAAACATGTGTGTTTGCCATCGGAGGACAAAGTAGTCAGGAGCCTAGGCTGCGCCGTCTCAGATGGACTCGATAGTCCCCCATGATATCACGCCGGGGGCTCCCTAGCGCCGCCCTGCCTTTGGCTGCATGATCATCGCTAGGCCCTGCCTTTCTTGACAGCAGAGGGGTAACACCTCACCTGGTTGCCATCACTTATGCAACACGTCTGAGGTCGCGACTTACTTGCCCGGGCCTCTCCGCCACGAGGGCGTCACAAACTCCACTCGGCTTTCTCGGTGGTCCGACTGAATCGACTTCACGGATCGCATCCTGATCCAAACGCTTATGGCTAATAATATCATCAATCATTGCCCACGACATGACAACATTCATTACCAAACTGATAAGACTGCATGAAGCACTCATGTCACGGGTGGATTCTGCGAGGCTCCTCCATGGTTCTCTATTGTTACATACGAACAATCCCGGGCCAGCCCTGTAGTCAAGTACAGACACTTCACATACCGACCAAGCATCAAGTATAGTACATCTTGAAGACGTCCATGATATCTCTACCCAATAGGAATTGGCGGGATTAGACCACTTGCCTCCCTCATAGCTCCATCCTTGACCTCCAAGATGATAGTGCAGTCCATCCCCTCTCGAGATCTTGACCGTGAGGTTGTACCCGGAAGAGGCACATACTGGTGCTGCATCGGACGCGACAGTTATGGGGCTAACTCACCCTGAGTGAGGCGGCGGTAAGGTGACAGTGCAATAACAGCAAGAACCTTAGCCATCCTGGGCAGCTGAGAACATCGCGGCGGCCCCGATCGCGCAGGCCGCAGCAGGCTGTTCCCACTCTTCGGCGATCCGGGAGCACGCCCACTCACTTTTGTGGCCCCGTTGGCCACGGTTCTGTCCCGGTCTTCAGTTCAAGATTTGACCTTTTGGAGTAACCTGGAGCACCAAACCTTCAGGTTTCAGCAAAGGCCTACCTAGATACGCTTGCCAAGCATACCCCGGGACTTCTATCGCCTGGCACTGATCTGCACCCGCAGCTTACTGCACAACACTTACGGCAAAACCTGTATTATCATGAACTCTCACATATAGACAACCAGTGCGCACGCAGCAAGGCACGTAGTACGCACGTGGACGCCTCTCTATCAACGCACAGAAGGGCTGGCCAGGTCAGCCGGCATATGCCAGCACGAGCACGCGTACACCGTCGCGACTGCGGCGAGAGGCACAGAACACAATCATGTCGTGCCAGGAACGAGCGGTAGAAGAGGGGCACCGAGGACTCTCCGTGGGCCAATTGGCCGCAGACTGCGGGAATGCATAGTGGCTCGCCGCGAAGTTCGAGATATGTACGACGAATGAGGCCCCGGGACACGGATGTGTCGAAGGCAGTCCGTAAGCACACTTGGGAACCGAACCTAATCACAGCGCTGAGCCTATCGGACAGCGTGCTCCTGAACTGTATCGCGCTTCTTCGCGTCCTGAGAGAGCGCAGGTAGGAGGTTAGACTCCGCAGTACGCCCGCCATAACTGCAGCCGTAACCTACCGCTGCAGCGTCGGGCTGTAACGCCCGCGTAAAAAGAGAGAGGCCTAGAGGGCGATTATCATTACACAACACGATAGCTGACAACACTACGTCATCTGGGGACGTACTACGGCCGCAACACACCGCCTGCCGTGGAGGGATCTCAGTACGTCCCGGATTGAGACAGTCAGAAACCAGGGTACTAGTCTGAGCAGACAGCGAGCCGCCCTTGTGGGGCTTTTCACATCTGCTGAGGAGGCGGCATGTACTGCGGTGGAGGCATACCGCCCGGGGGCCCCATCATCGGTGGGGGCATCATGCCGGGCATGCCCTGCGGAACGTAGCCAGGTGGCGGGGGAGGAGGGGCGAATCCGGCCTGAGGGTTGTAGACCGGGACACCGGGAGGCGGCGGAGGCGGGACGCCCATAGGCATACCCTGCGGGGGCGGCATGCCTTGCATTGGAGGTGGAGGCATAGGCATTCCCTGCGGCATGCCTTGCGGCACAATTGTCTGCTGCGGAGTGAAGCCAGCGGGCGGTGGTGGAGGCGCGGCGGCCAGTGCCCCAGCAAATTGCCCTTGGTAAGGACCCTGCGGATACCCAGGCATTGGGGGACGAGCACCAAAAGCGCCCATCGGTGCTGGAGGCGGGCGCGCCGCTACCGGAAGCGCATTATTCTTGCGGGCCTGCGCTGCAAGGAGACGCTCGGCGGGGGTTCCATGACGCTCGCCCTTCCCATCCTTTTTGAACGCGTACTGGACTGTTATCGCCTTGTTCATGAGGAACTGGCCGTTCATCGACTCGATGGCCGCATCGGAAGACTCGAAATCCGTGTAGGAGACGAAGCCGTATCCCTTCGATTTCCCGGTTTGTGGGTCGCGCGCGATCTGGGCGTGCCGCAGTCATATTTGCAATGGTACGGTGGAGTGGGTGCAGTCGGGATAACCGCGCCATGCATATAGGATAAAGAATGGGAGGGAAGGAATTGGGAAGAAGGGGGACGTTGAGGAGACGACATATTGAGCGGACATACGACGTACCTTCGCTGTGGTGGCCATCATGCCGAACGCGCTGAAGGTGTCGTAAAGCAAACGTTCGTCCACATTTTCGTCGAGGTTGCCGATGAAAAGGTTTGCTCCAACATCCAGTTGCTTCTTGTCAGAGGATGCCTAGATACACCGAGCAAAGGGGCAGACAGAGTAAAGGGTCATATGGGTCATACAAGACAGGGTTCAAAAGCGGTGAAAGAACGCAGAGAACAAGAAAGGATGTTAGCTGCCGATCGTCCGAGGAGCGGAGAGCTTGCGGACCTTGTTCACCCTGATGGGCTTTCCCCATAGTTTGATCTGATTCATAATCTTGCAGGCATATTCTGCATCCTCCTCGGTCAAGAACTCACAAAAACCATAACCCTGGTGCGCCATAGATATGCGGTCCTTTGGCAAATGTACATTCACTGTTCCATTCAACTAATCACGTTAGAAGACGACCACGCAACCGGAAAGAGGTTGTACGCACCGACTGGTCCGGCCTGCAACATCAACTCCCATATGAGCGCATCCGTACACCGCTCGTCCAGGTTTCCCTGCATGGGGAACCTTCAGCATACACGTCCTCGGGGTCAAGGATGTCTGGACGTACCAAGTACACTGTCGCTTCCTGATTCCTGTCATCTTGGGGCCGAGACATGGTGGTGGTTCGTGAGTACGTCGAACAGGAAGACGGACAGGCTTATTTGCCACGGCTTGCTCACCCCACTGACGCCGTCACAGCGAACTCTCGGGAAGGCGCCCGCACCCCTCTTACTTACACCCAATCCATGCTTGCCTGCTGTATGCGTCTGCCTTTCCGCAACCGCGTCTCCATCTATCACTCAGCGTTTGTACTAAACCTTGTGAGACTTACGCTTACGCCGCTATATCGGGGAAGTCATATCGAATCAGGCAGATGGCGCCAGAGGTCTTTCATCTGACATTAAGCAGGATCTACGACCTCAGGAGCGAAGCTGCGTCAAGCACGGCGAGGAAGCTGCCACCTAGTGTAACATGAGGCAGACCGCAGGCCATCCATGACGCAAACGAGAATGCCAATGTGCTGTACGTGCGCCAGTTTGATGCACTTGGTCGCTCAAGCGCTCATCACTGTTCCCTAAGGGCGATAAGCTGGCACAGAACGCCTTCGAAGTCGTAACCCGATGCAGAGCGCGTCCCAGACGACCGTGCGGATAGGGACCGCATGCTACAGATCTTAAGAAAGAAGGCACCCTGAAAAGTGAGAGTAGTGCGCTCCCGCCATATGTCCACTTGGCTCAGACGGCCCGCATTTTAAGTGAGTACGTGCTGACGAGCATCAGCGGCGCGTGTAATCGCACAACATATCAAAAACCCCGACAATTGGAACACAACCTCTCAGGGCGCGCAAGTGTGAGGCTATGCCGCCTCGCGAGGCGGATAAGGGTTGACCGAATGAGCGCATCGGCGAACACAACGTTCGCAGTGCGCGCGAGCGTCGGGTGTCTCACGCTATTACGGTGTGTCAAGAGGCCAGCGGCCACCATCCTCCGTCATATTTCGTGTCAGCCTTGCCCCTCAAGTTGAGGCTGGGCGGGCGGGCACTTGAATAGGCGAGTGGCGAGGAGGCTGGCACCCCCATCACAAAAATTACAGTGGCCGATTTGGCGGCTGGTTTTCCACATCGTCCGGCCACGCGAAATCCCTTACTCCCGTCAAACCGCTCCGGTAGCGCAGCACAACCATCCTCCGTTTATCGCCCGTTACCAGTCCTTCTCCTTCGATCCCACGTCATCGTGCGCTTCCAACGCTAGTTTGGCGGTGTGCCGAGTCTGGACGAAGGGATCGAGATACGATAAACCCTGACCTGTGCACAGATACTTAAGACCCTCCGACCTGCATCCGCCGCCCTCCGGCATACCACGCTCGGTACACGCTACCCGATTCCTTTGCCCTGCACGTTCCTTTGTGGTCCCTGTCATCGTCGGGTTTCGCGCTTCTCCTTCGTCTATCTCTGTCCTCTTCGGTTTTGACCATGCACCCCCGCCTCTTCATCCTCTTCGCCGCCCTCATGGCGCTCCTCGTCTTTGTCGCGGCCAACCCGCTTCCGAACGACAACGTCGTGGTCGCGAAGAGGGCGTTAAAGCAGTACGACATCAAGCGCGCCATCGCTGAGGCCAAGAAGAAGCGCGACGACGACAGTGACGACCACAAGCCGAAGCCGTCGAAGTGAGTTCCCGTCTTGCTATGCACCATACACCCCCGTTGCGCCTCTCGTCCGCGATTCACGGTTGTCCAACATATGTGACTGACGCTTTCGTTAGGGTCTGGCGTCGTGAGGCTCCGACTCCCTCGAAGATTTACGAGCGTCGTGCCCCCGCTCCTGTCCCGTCCAAGCGCTCCGCTTAGACGAGATGAGGGGTGCGCGCTCCATTGCACGACTCGTTCCGTACGACCACGGCCTAGGTGCGTAAGTTCTCAGTCCCTCTGGCCTTCGCCGTACGTTTGCTCACTTTGCGCTCGTGTTTGATCCGGCAGACCATCCATGCCCACTATCTTCGTTAGCCCTCTCTGTACCGCTTTTCCCCTTCGCGACGCCATATGTGTAGCCGAAAGAACGTGCGTATAGATGTATCCGGACCGACAGACTACTCGAGGAACAGGGAGCCGGGGCTCCCACGAGTGTTTGTCGGTTTGTACGTTCCTTCGTCTCGTCTTATCCACTTGTAAACAGTATTCAGGATATTGTATCGTTTGGACTGCTTAGAGAGACATCCAGTAGACTTCTAGACATTTAGAGAGACATACAGACAGTAGGCCAGGTGAGTGACATCTCAATGTATATGTATGCTTCCATGAGGCAAAATCAATATGGCGCTATAGTGTAGTGGTTATCACTTGGGATTCTGAAGAAATTTCCCAAAACCCAGGTTCGAGCCCTGGTAGCGCCTTAAGGAGAAGCAGACATCTTTTTTTGGCTCTGGCGTGGTACTGGTGGTAGACTAGGTGGTGGCTTTTGCCAATCGTGGGATACAACTACTGCGACCTTACATTGTCAAGGCTCTTACATTGACACTATGTACAGCATGTCGCACTACACTGTCTCCGCTGGCTTGTTGGCTGGCAGGAGAACTACATGGGGGGAACATGCCCCGTTGAGTGAGGCTGGTAGCCACAGGTTCGCATGGACGAGATGTGGACAAAGCACACCCAAGTATATTACAAAGAGCACAACGGTACATGTCAAGAAGCGAGTCGTGAGTATCGGTATACAAAGCAGCGTCCAGTCGCTAGATCTCGTATTTACTCATCTCCGGGAGAGCTACCATCGACGGAGCAAAACCATCGTCGTGACTGCTGCACACAACACCGTCGAGGAGAAGGTCGTAGGGAAGAGCTGCATCGCGCCGCTAGAGCCGGGTACGGGTAGGAAATGCTTCGAATCTTCTGCCTGTTGGGAGGCGGATTCCTGCAAAGTGCGTCACGACGCGTCGATATGGGCCTACTCGAGTGTATACGTGAAAAGGCACACCTTGAATGCTACGAGGCCAATGATGATTCCCGCTGCAAAAAACGCAAAGGCCTGGATGAGCCAGATGACGCCCCACACTGCACGCAGTGGTCAGCATGTATGTATACGTGACGTGTCAAGGACGAGGCCGAACTCACCTTGTGAAGGACAGCATCCGCAAATTTGCGCGAACGACGAGGCGTCGGAGCCGTTCACCTTTCGTGCAATGGTGTCGTCTAGCGATGGCGGAAGCAAATGAGAAGAGATTTTGTAAGGGGGTAGAGAGACATACCAACGACGTCCCAGAGGACGTACATGTCGGACATGACGCCGACGAAGAGCACCTGCAGAACGTTCGTTCAGCACGCCACTGCGCAGCAGATGAGCAAGAGAGGAGCGGTGAGGTCACTTACAAAGTATCTCAAAGCAACACCCCCAGCGACGAACCAGAACAACACGATTAGACCAGACATGCCGAGGATCAGCAGCCACGGTCTGTATAGTCGACTCCCATGAACATCCTCTTGCTCGAGCTAAGAGAAGTGTCGGTACGTACAGCCAGCTTTTCCTCGCCCACCACAGTGTACAGAGGAAGAACGCGGCCATGGCGAGCGACGCAACCTTGCTCGCGTTCGTGTCGAACCCACACGCTATGAGCGCGGCGCCGATGAACGACGACCCGAGGTACCCCGCAGGGAGGGTGATCCACGGTATTCCTCCCGACATCCGGGTCGCCCCGCCTTCATCCGCTGTATACGATCTTCGCCTTCAGCACCTCCTACCGAAGGGATACTCTGGAGCAAGCTGCTCAGAACTCACGGTCAAGTTCGATGGAATGTATGTGCGCGCATGTGAGAACTGTGCTCTCGTCAGATTCGCCACCGCCACCGTTCGGTATCGAGCGTACTACTCACTGCCTGCCAATGCATGGCTCATCTGCACCCATACAGCAACGTTCATAGTCAGTCCCATCCGTACCCTGCACTACAAAACCGCGATCACACACCTCATGGAATCCCACAGTCAACAGCCTGTACGTACGCCGTCAGTCTCCCGCGCTCAAACCACGACCCTTCCCTCACGGACATGCCAAAAGCCAGAAGCCAAAACTCACTTGAACGGATAGACTACAAGCCACCGAGATCATCAGGACACCGCGAAGCTTTCGTGATAAAGTGGAGCGCACTCACTTATGACTGACAGATACGGCATGTGCCTGCGGTCCCAATTTGTACCGGGTCAGTTCAGCCATATACCGCGCGAAGCATGGGCACGAGCAAAACGGACCATAAGATGAAGATCACGACGATATACACCCCAGCTACGATCAGCGTCGTCCGCTGAGTTGAGTTGGGCGTGAGCGAGTCCTTCGCGTCGCGCGCGAAAACCGCAAAATTGTGCTCCTGCACGGGAAATCCATCGATGTAGGGCATCTCCTTTCGTGAGTCGTTAGGCGTGCAGGTGCAGGCGATGAATTTGCAGAGCGTGGAGGTGCCGAACGACGCTTGTGCCAAAGTTATCGCCGCAGTCAACGCGCGCCAAAAAGTTCAACTAAGCGTAAGATTACAGCGCCTTGCATAAGTCCGTGAACGCGCTGATTTTTTCTCTCAGGCGTCTACGCTAAGCGACCTGCCCAAACAGGCCACATGACGGTCACAGGTCTGGAGCCCACGGCCCTCGCTGGCATCACAGACGAGTCTGCGATACACGCGTCTCGCACGTTCATGGTTGTTGACAGTCCATATTGCAGGGAGATGCGCTTGGTGAGGAATGGCACGGTCACTGATGTTCTCTGAACAAATAGAAGGTGATGCTCCACAAAGTAAGGACCGCAATTGATTACCCTCAACGGTCAAAACGTTTGCAGTGCGATTTGCAGACCATTAGCCTCGTTCTCTTATGCTCGACATGGGACATGGCAACACAATGTCTAGCGAGATCTGGAGATGCAGGAGGCGCTGCCACTAAGTACACGTCCCTCGCGATTGCGCCTTTGCTCCAGACATGAAGTAAGCAGGTGAATTGTGTGGAGATTAGAACATGAGCATTAGACCACTTTATGCGCGTTCATATGTAGGACAAAATGAGATACAAACATTTCTTATCCATTATACACATAATGAACTTCTTGTATATCGAGTCAGTAGCTCTTCAATTGTGACGTGCCGTTATGGCGTAGTAGAAGTCTTCGTGACCGTAATGTGGCTTACTTAGGGTCGCCTAGCGTAGACGCCGGAGAGAAAAAATCAGCGCGTTCACGGACTTATGCAAGGCGCTGTAAGCCCTCGTACCGTGCATGTTCGCGTTCGCTCGCCTGAAGTGCTCCTCCTGGCTTCTTGATTCCCTCTGTATACTATCTGCTTACCACTGAAATACCTCTCTAGGCCCGACGTCGCGGACTTCGCACACAGCATCGTCGGCCTCGCGGACTGCGTACAGCGTCGATGCATCAGTCAACGCCTGACCACACCCATTGAAATCAGACTCGGCCAATGTCCTGGACCACTGAGATCGAACGAGTTTGCGGACAAATCGCTGCAGGCGATACACTGAACACTTGAGTGTCCAGGACCAGTTCAGATCGTGCGAGGCAAGACTTTCGTAAGAAAGAATCATCATAAAAATCGTAAGCGAGACAGAGTACGATGCTAGGATACAACATTAGATGAGAAGTAGCGATGGTATGTATAGCCAACAGACACGTTCAGAGAGACACACAGCGAGAGTACACGTGATGTAACAACAGCGGCAGCGGGGGCAAGGGGGTACGGACGGACAACCACACGGACAACTGACTCACCAACGTTCAGAGCTCATCGTCAGTGACCTCCTCGCCGCGCTTCTTCCGCGCCATGCGCTCCTTCTTGAGCTTACGCGCCTCAGCCGACGTCAGCTTCTTCGTCTTCTTCGTGTCGATCTTGTTGCCCATCGCATCGTACTGGTCCTCATCCTCTCCGTCCTTCTTGTCGATGCGGGGACCGGAGCCCTGGCCCTCAACCCAGTTGTGGCCAGACGCCTCAAGACGGCCGTCCCGCATGGCCCAGACCTCCGTGCACAGCGACTCGGAGAAGTCACGGTTGTGCGTGATGACGAGGACACCACCCTCAAACTCCTTGAGGGCCTTGATGAGAGCCGCGAGCGACTCACGGTCGAGGTAGTTCGTAGGCTCGTCCAGGCAGATGACGTGGGGACGACGCCAGGTAGCAGCACCGAGCACGACCTTCACCTTCTGACCGCCAGAGAGACCGCGCATCGAGTTGTGCGAGACGAACTCGGCCTCGAGACCGAAGTCAGCGAAGTGCTTCTCAATCTCGCGACGAACGAGGGGGCGGAGGAGACCGAGACGCTGCGCCTCACGAGTGTCGACCTCGAGCACCTTCTTCTCGAAACCGCGCTTGATGAGGTCATCACGGGGCAGCCAGATGTTCTCCGACGACGACATGTTCTTGAACGAGACCTCGTACTCGTACGACTGCTTGAGCTTCTTGCGAGCAACAATCTCCTCGATTATGCGCTTCTGGCCCTCGACGACGACGATTGAACCGTCCTTCATCTTCTTCTCCTCCTCCTCGGTGATCTGACGCGACGCCTTCATCATCTCCTCGAGATCCTCACCAGTCTGGTAACGCCAGAGCATGTACTCAAGTGGGGTCTTGTCGAGGTGCTGATCAATGTGGTGGAAGGCGTGCTGCGCAACGTAACCGATGACCAAGTTGGGGTGCTTCCAGATCTCACCACCCTTGTTCGGCTCCATGTCGCCAATGAGAAGCTTGACGAGCGTAGATTTGCCTGAACCGTTGGGACCGAGGACGGCGACACGGGAGGAGAGTGAAACTTGGAGGGTGATGTCGTAGAGCTGTTGGTTGGCTTGCGTAGGGTACTGGAAGCCGACCTTGCGCATCTTGAGGAGGGACTTCTCCTTCGTCTTGACGCCCTCGAGAAGCGGGGGGTCGGGCAGCTTGAACTGGTAGTCCTCCTGGGCCTCAAGCGTGTAGTACGAACGAGCCTCAGGGACAGCCTTCATGAACGCCTCAAGGTTACCGCGGTAGCGCTTAAGCTTGAAGCGGTTGAGATGGAGGACATCGGTGATGACGTTGTTCAAGAAGCCGGAGTCGTGCGAGACGATGATCGACGTGCAGGTCGTGAGGCTGGTGAGGTAGTTCTCGAGCCACGCAACATTGACAACGTCCAAGTGGTTGGTAGGCTCATCGAGGAGGAGAATGTCCGCGCGGAATAGCATAGCGCGGGCAAGCGCAAGCTTCATCTTCCAACCACCGGAAAGGGAGCCAATCGCAGACTTCTGGCGCTCATCGGAGAACCCGACGGACGCGAGGGTCTCGATGATCTCCTCACGAGTCGCTTGGATACGTTTGTCCGAGACAATGAAGTCGAGGACAGAGGTATCGGCCTCGGAACCGTCGATGTCGTGCTCCACATAGAAGGTGCGGACCTCGTCGGGGGATGGGAAGCCCTCAACTTGCCTGTGGGGCGTACTAGTCAGCATCGTACTCAGCAACGAGAGGCGAAACAACGTACCCGTTAGTGATCGCACGCATGAGGGTGGACTTCCCGGTACCGTTGCGACCGCAGAGACCGTAGCGGTGGCCACGCTTGAGACGGAGGGTTGCAGTGTTGAGCAGGATCTTCGCACCGTAGGCGAGCGAGAACTGGCAGTTGCACAGGTCCTCGCCTTCCTCCTCATCCTCAGCCTGCGCCTCGTCCTCGTCCTCGGCAGAGGCCGACTTGACGGCCCACTCATTGACGATGGTGTTCGGGTCGGGCGAGGTGGTGAGGAACGCAAGGTAGGGAATGAGGGTCTGCCACTCCGAGACGTCGAAATTCTTCAGGTTGACCATGTTCGTGGCGAGCTGAGAAGCGTAGATGGTCGCAACGTCGGCAACGGAGGGGACAGGGTTGGCGCCAGCCTTCTTGTAGAGGTTGATGAGGGAATGAGCGAGGGTCTTCTCCTCCGCCTTCTTCAGGGGCGGGAGGTCAGAACCGTCGCCAGTGGGGACCTCACCAACCTGACGAAGGGTAGCGATGGCGCGAGCGACAACACTGCGGGCCTCAGGGTCACCAATGACACTCTCGATCTTGATGAGGCCGGGGAGAAGCTTGGGGATGAAGGGGCGGACGGTCACGGGCGAGTCGACGAGCTTGGCCATGTTGTCGATGATGACCGCAACCTTACGCTTGGTGGCCGTGAGCTTCTCGTTGAGACCGCGGGACAAAAGGGGAACCATGAGGGAGAGGGTGGGGGAGTCTACTTCTGAAACGAAGGTGGTCGCCGAGAGAAGGGTGATAGTGTTGGGGACCTCCTCAACGGGGTTGATTAGAGCCTTGATGAGGGCAGGAATAAAGCGTTCTATGTCCTTGTTCGAGACGAGAGCAGTGACCTTTTCGAGCGAATCGCGTGCCGCCTTCTTCACGTCCGCCTTGGTATCCCAAATCGCCTCGGCAAGGACAGGGACGATCTCGGGAGTGAGCTTAGCGGTCTGAAGGGGGGCAGAGGCGACAAGTTGGTTGAGTACGACGAGCGAGCCCGTCTTGACCTGCCACTTGCCGGCGGTCTTGATTTCGTGAAGAAGAGCGGGGAGGACGAGGCCTGCCGCCCAGGGGTTGCTCGCTGCAACATACGCCTTCACCGCCTCGACGGCAGCGTTGCGGACAGCGGGCATCTTATCAGCGAACGCCTCGATGAGCGCCGCGTAGACACCAGAGTCAATGAAGTAAGGCTCGAGCGCACGGATCGCAGGCGTTGCAGCGACAGCCGCAACGGCGTTGGCGGCGCCCTCGCGAGCAGCGGGCGACTTCTTGTCACCGAGGGCCTTGACGACGGCATCGGTAAAGCCGACGGATTGGACGGCCGCAGGGCCTTCCTTTTGGACGAGGGCGACGAACTGAGCAGCCGCAGCCTCGCGGGTCGCCTTGTCAGCAACGAAGAGTCCGGAGACGTCGAACTGGCCGGCAGCGGGGGCGACGGCAGCCTTGAGAGACGCCGGGTCGGGGATGGTGGAGGGAGCAGCAGCGGAGACAGCGGGCATTTTGGTTATCTGAGCGGCAGATTGGGGCATTGAGACTTGAAGCTGGACGCGAGAGCTAGAAGGCGTATTCACCTTGTGGGAGATACGGGTGGATTAGAGATCTATGGAGGAATCGACGAGCGGCAGAGCAGCGGCGAAACACAAGAAAAGGTCGTCAAGGACGAGAGGTCACTCTATTTCTACTGAGGGCCGAAGCCTGCGTTGAAAAACTGTCAACGACTCGCTCTGAGACGAGGGGGGACAGCGAAGGGCACGTACCGTCTAAGTGGGAAAGAAGTAAAAGAACAGAAATGAGTGGGGATAGGGATGTATCTTGTCGCCAATCAGGCTTATATATCGGGTCTGCCAGTGGGCGGAGTACGAAAAAAACAGCGATCTCACGTGGCACAGCCCATATCAGGCCCGGCGCTTACTCAATGTGGGGTAACGAGGTCGCTCCCCCGCACACTCCGGCGTCCGTGGTCACTTGTGCTCCGCTCCTTCGCCGTTCCGGGCACGTTCGAGCATATCACCGAGACCGACCTCGATTCCGACGACTACAGCACACGAGCTAAGCTTAACATAGTCCGAGCCACCTCCGACGTCTCGCCAGCTCGCCGCCCTACTGCTTCTCGTTCAGCCGCGCGAAGCTCAGCGGCACGAATTGCTATGTGGCAACACCATCAGCTAACACGTTCCCGCAGCCCCATGCTCACGGAACGCCCAGAGGTGACTACTGATATGAATTGGAGCACACTCACATAGCCACCTGCCTCGTAGTGCTTGCTGTTCGCCTCTACCCAATGCAGACGCAGCGCGTGTAGGAATGCCGAGAGGCCCTAAACCGTGTGTCGATCAGTGACTGCCCCCCAAAAGAAGTCAAGGACCATCGCCATCATGCATCACGTCCCATGATGTGCCCTCTACCCCCGTTCCCGTCACGTAACCTCGGAAAAGGCCTAGATAGGGACGTACCTCCATGATACACAAGATGCCAATGGTCATCACCAGCCACATTGCCCCGACGACAACGATCGCGATGATACCAACCAGACCCGTCATGTCCAGCACGTTCGCGATGGTCATGTCCCATAGCACCTCAGATAGCTGTGCGTGCGCCAGCGAGAGCGCCCACAGACGAAGGTACGAGGCAGTGTGCGAAACGCATCCGAGACAGAACTCAATCGTGTGGATGACCTGATGCACGACGACCTCGCTGAAATCGTGCTGCTCCTGCGCATCCAACGAGGAATGTGATATGAGCGGTTGGCGTACAGAGAAAGACGTACAAAGAACCTACATGCTCCTCGTCGTTCACTTCCACGATCGCCCGGCCGTTGCCTTCTTCTTCGCCTTCCAGGTCCACGTCCTCCGCGTGTCTCGGCGCTTCGTCCGCGCCAAGTAGCCCAATATAGCCTTGACCCTGGATCTGCTGCATCTCCTTGTACTGCAGGTAGGGCTTCGTGATCAGCAGCCACGGCACGCACACCCCAGCCATCAACAGCAGGATGACCTGCACCGTGCTCTGTCCAGCGTAGAGCTGCGTGCCCGGGTCGACCGTTCCGGGGGATAGGACCATCCCGATCAGCATGTTCAGAAGAGAAGGCGGCTGCGTGGACGCCTTCGACCAGTCCACCGTCCACTTGTAGATTATGCAAACGACCAGATAACCGAAGATAGACTGAAGGAAGATCATTTGCGGGATGAAGTTGGTCCAAATGTCGGAGAATCGCTTAAAACGAATGTGGTTGGGGACTTGCAAGCAGACCGCGAACGTCATCTAAGGTTCATCGTTAGTCCGATCGGTTTCGGAGAACTGCCATGTAGAGGCGGCGAAGCGGCTCTTACGTGAATGACACCCAGAACGATCGACATCTTCATCTTGTATGAGTTAGTGAATAGCAACTGGTTTTCGGCTCCGTGCCAACCAGGGTCGAGGCCAAATGGATATGTGTGCCCGTTAGAGTAGGCGACAACAGATTCGTTGCCATGAGGCTCGGGCCACTCCCATCCAGAGTGGAAAAGGTGAAGCGATTTGGAGAAGATGTCGTTGTAGAGGAGGCCGGTGTAGATCGAGAAAGCGCCCATAAGCAAAATAATGTAGCGGCCGCTGTAAAAGAGGGGACGGGTGTGTCAGCACTGCGAAGCCACACTGAAACGTCTGATACGCACAAGAAGAATGTGCCGAAGATCTCACCGAGGTCTGCCTTCGCAAGCTTTCTCTCGAACAGGATCATCGCCAATGCAGCAATGAAGATGATGAAGCCGTGACCAATATCGCCGAACATGACAGCGAACAAGAACGGGAAAGTAATGACGGCGAACAGGCCGGGGTTGACTTCTTGGTACGTTGCAATACCATAGGCGTCCATGATAGTCTGGAATCCCTCCGTGAACTTGTTGGTGCGATTGAAGGTAGGCGGCGTGCGGTTCGTGCGCAGCTCGTGAAGGATGGGCGGGACGTTGGTACCGGATTCCTCCTGTGTGTAGCGGATCAACACTTTTGCAAACTTCCATATAGATAAAATCTCATCGTACCGTGGCATGGCGCAACGCAAGCTGAATCTGGGCGATGTCTCGAGTAGGGCACCAGCCCTCCGCAATGAGGGTTTTGCGACGGACATCGTAATTGAGCAGATTGAGCGTCTCGTAGATCAGCTTCTCCTTTGCCACCACATCCTGCCAGCTCGCAAGGCTCTCGCCGATGGTCTGGAGCTCAGCCCTGCGGTTGGCGCCAGTGTTATAGAGCACGATCTGGAGATCTTCCAGACGGCCGGTGACCTCGCGCATAGAGTCCGCACGCTTGTCCGCGTTCACATCAATGGGGTAGAGGGTCGCGCCCATAGACTCGGCGATCTTCCGAATCTTTGCCAGGAGCACGTCGCCGTGCGCGAAGATGATGAAGACGTTCTTGCGCGTCTCAGCACCAGTCGCAGGGTCGACGAAAGGCTCTTGAATATCGATGTAGTTCATGTAGAGGTTCCCCCTGAGGATGCGCCACAGGACACGTTCGAAAGTGGACAAACGCGTGCGGTCGATCGTACCGGCGATAAATCTGCAGAATTCCGTCAGCGTTGTGTTTTTGGGCGACGATATGTCGCGGGAAGCCATCGCCACAAATACCACTCGATTGGCGGCCGCTCATGATAGCCTAGAGTCATTGGAATCATTCAACTCTACCCGCCCTTGGCCCGAATCTGAATTTCAGATACGGGTTGGTGGCAACCAAAGTAGAGGTACCCAACCACGGTTATTCCGTATAGCAGGTCGAGATGCTTCGACATTGGGAAGACATATGGGAGATGCGTCGCAGATAGTACGTACAAGCACGCCAAACGGACTTCATATGAACCGTGGGGCGAACGACGCAGTTTGGAACGTCGAGTTACGTGAACATGCCGAGCTAGTCCTACGGCCTGTAACGCTTCGGAAAGAAACGTCTCTTCGCATAGCACGAAACATAGAAGATGCGAATCCAAGGAATTACTTACTCAAGGTCCAACTGAACATCGCCTACGGACGAATACTGCTGCTCCCGGTCATCGTGCTGCAGGAGCGGGGCAGAACTGTCGTCCAGAGACTGACGAACTTCGCTCTCGCGGACAGCCGCCTATGAGCCGTTAACAAACGCGCCTCCATCTGGATGCTGCAAGAAACTCACCCGCTCGAAGAAGACCGCGGTTTCCCGCAAGACGTGTCTCGCTTCTACAAGCTCCCTCAGCCGCTCGCTCAGAAGTTGGTAGCTCTCATTCATTTGCGTCAGACGCGCCTCATGCTCTGCCAACTTCACATCGAGCTCGTCGATGGTCTGCGCAGACCGCGGGCCGACCGTAACGAGCGGCGCCGAGTCGTAGAGAGGACGAATGGGAACTGCCTCCTTCTCCTTCTCAATCTGAGAGGCAAAGAAGCGGACGCGACGGGCCATCTCGTCGATGCGGCGGATCTCACCGACGAAGGAACGTTGAAAAGGATTGACATTTGGGTTCAGCTGTGAGCGCGTATAGGACGTATGAATATGAATAGTCATGTATGTCATTGCAGTACAGCACAGACTCACATCTTTGAATTGAACATTGCCTAGCTCGCCAAGCTCAGCGATGGTGTCATGAGCAACTTCGGTAGGCACAATGAGCTGTACCAAGCTCATCTGCTCCGAGCCTGAAAAGCCAGTGTCAGCCGTCTCATAGCAAGAGAAGTTATAGCGAGACATACGGAATAGTGTAGGGAATTCGTCCCCCATCTCGGAATACAGTCAGGAGGACGTCGAATAGTAGAAGGGCGTGGATGTTGGTGACGGGGACGAGGCCGACCGGCGCCTTCTAATGCTGTTTGGCCCAGCCAAACAAGCATCATAGGCGCCCTTGAATGGAAAGCGCCCATCCTGGTGCCGCACTTCGTTTTCGTCCGTAACTTCGAACTGCAGGTAAATTGCGCGCCGCAACAAATACTCCGGAGCCGAACTTTGTACGATGTTTTTAGCTCACAGCTCAGCACTGCATCCGCGGCATGGCTCATCCTTATACATATCAGTATGATGATCAAGCTGACGGTCCAAGCCTCAACCAGAGACTCGAGACCTAAGAGACGACAACCAAGCGTTCCATGAGAATCTTCCTGCACCAACGAGAGCTTGCGGACGAGTCATTTACATGACTATAACAGGCCATAGGCCGCTGTTGACCAACTCGCATGATGTCTGTCGAAACCCAGGGCCTGTGCATCAATCTGTGCCAATGAGCACAGCACTGCGTGGTACGTGTAGTACATGGATGATAGGCTGTCCTTGGTCTGACTACCTATACGTTGCATTGCAGCTGTCAGTGTTCTACAGTATGTGAGAAGCTTGCCGCACGACCACCTTCCGAAGTCAGAAGAAGCTTTCTGATGGCTGCGGCATATGCAGACAGAGACTCCAGGCTATCTTCTCACGGCAGCGCAACTGCGCATGTATAGGACCACACCTGTGTCTTATATAGTCTCGGTGGGGACATTCCTGTCTTCATGGACCCACACGCCGCTGCGGATTGATTAAAATTATAGATGCATCCGGCATGTGTGCTGATGCACAACCACTCTTTCCGAGTGGCTCGACCGGATTGTGCAGCCTACGAACGTGTGCTTCACGGGAGTACGCGGATTCTCCATCGACAGACCCATGATCACGTTCGCTGCGACCCACAAAGTCTGCGCGCCTCTGCGGTTCACGCTTCTTATCTATCGATTGTTCCACCCGCTACACATTTAACCACATTGAGAAGCCATCCACCGGCGCCGCTCCTCCGAGTCGTTCGTGATCGTTTCACGAAATTCTCAACGAGCCTCTGAAGGTCCGCGTTCCCCCACGGCTCAACACCGCAGGTTCAGTCAGGCCCACCGTAGTCTAGGGCCTTCCGGAGTGCTCTCGGTGGTCTCAAGCATGAGCCCCGTTGCCATCCTGAATCTTCAGTACAAAAATAACATAATGATGCGCCCAAGTTCCCTGGGCGTAAGGCACAAAGGAATGTATCACAGTATCTTGACCTCCAAGGCGCCGATGACCGAAGCCTTTGAAATTGCATCGTGCCCACTGCGAGCGACCCAGGGATATTTACCCCAACCAAAGTACTACCAGGCGGCCACTCCTAGACGAACTAAAGCACGATCTTTATCTCTACGTGCTCTTGTTCGACGTGTCCTGACCGACGTATCTCCGGACTTGTCTAGCCGGCACAGTTACTAGGTGACTAGTGCTGTATCTGTGCCTCGGCGACATAAAACATATAAGGCACATGTTTATGTCACGGCCGTACTGCATGTCGATAGATGAGTCTGCGGCCAGACGTCGGCTATACATTGTGCCACGGTACTCCCTGGTGTCAACTGCGTCCTGGTCGACAACGAACGGCTTCCTGCGCTCAGGGAAGTTCGCGCCTTCTGACTGTAGACAGGTGGACGACGTTAGCTTCTCGGCTCAGGTGTCCGGTGGTTACGAACTCGCTGACTGCGGATGCCGGTGAGCACTTCATACTGGAGATGGCTATTGTGGCACTTCAACTTGCTCCTTGGTATACAATGTCGTCCACCGGGGGTTGTCATAGATTTGCTGCTGCGACCATCCCATTAGGTCGCGGGAATGTTACTGCCATACTTCAGAACATGCTTTGACGTTTCACATACCTCCGCGTCTTGCATGGTGTGTGGACGGATCAGTGCCCGGGCGCGCTCCTGCTGACTATGTACGTATGCAGCTCCTAGAAGAGTGTGATTATCGTGCGAAGAACATAGCGCTCTGATGAGCCCGATGAGTATGTATTCGGAGAACGCGGTACCATGATGTCACGGGAGCGTGTATCGTCTATTGAGAGTATAGTAGAGGTCGAAACAGCTAATTGATACAATTCACAAGCACAGGCAAGAGACAAATTAACGATGTCTTCGATAGGGAGCAGGGTTCGTCCGGTACACACAACATGCGCCCTGAGAAAGAGTCCTCGAGGATCCTAGTGAAGAAGCGAGACAGACCGTCCAGGTATACCTAAGAGCCAAAGCACCTATACAAAGAGCCTGAGAAGCAAGGAGAAGGCAAGGGGGCAGACAGACGACCGCAGGTATAAGATACATCCTTAAGTAGAGTCGTGAACAATAGAACATAACCGTATGGGAGCGCAAAGCAAATAACGAGGGGGAGAAGAGAGCAAATAACGAGAAGCGAACATGAGAGATCATACAACGGAGGAAAGATATGCTTGGCGGGCCGCGGCTCGATCTTCTTGAACCTTAGCTGCATAGATTCCTATGTGCTACATCAGCAGCGAACAGTATAGAATGACGGCGAGATGACGCACCAGCCACGGGGAAGAGTAAGCTCAAACGTTGCATGGCTCCAACGAGAGTATCGATTTGCTGCTCGAGAACGTCGACCGTCGTCGGCAGCGACTGACGCGGCATAGCAAGCACGCGAAGATATACCTCGGCGGCAGCACGCCAGCATGTCTGCAAAAACCCACAGAACATCAGCATCAAGCCACAACCGCCCACAAGATGCAGCGTGCACTTGAAAATTACTTACGCTGATCATGGGAGACAACGCATCATAGTCGTTTTCTGCCAGCTGATGTAGCAAGGCTATCATCGAACTTGCGGCATAGCAGCATTTCTGATATGATTGTGTTTGGATCTCCAGGTCGTCACGATGCAGATGGATTGTGGAGGCGTAGACCCCACTCTGCAACGTCACATAGTCGGGAGTGGTCATGTAAGGCATCGAGAACTGTTGGGCATGTAGGCTCGAGAGGTTGGAGGAGAATTGCGAAAGGGACATCTCGAGCGAATAGTGGCTGTCATCCTTGGCTGGTGCTACGTGGGAGCTCAGGACGCTGTTCTGAAACGATAGCATGAAGGACAAACTTACAAGCAGAATACCGCGCTGTTCGCTCATAAAGAGCGATGGCCTTCACACGTAGAGCCTGGAGAGCTGACGAGCCTGACAGATGTGTGGCAGGGAACGGTTGCATCAGGCTATTTTCGATGGATGGCTGAGATCGGGGGGATCTTCAGTACTCTGACATGTAGAGCAAGATATGCCACGCACCTCTGGGTCGTCGGGGATCACTATCGGCCATATCGTCGTTATCCGCGACCGAGGGTGGTCATCGTCCGGTAGCGCCGTGGGTAAGCCGGTTGCAACCGACCACGCGCGGTCCACCGCGAAGATCTGCCAAAACGCCGCTATCCTCTCCGCATACTCGACCTCGTCCAAAGGCGGACTGAGGGGGACAGAAGCCTTTAAAGGCGCCGGTGCATCCTGGTAGCTGGCCCGCTGCATCTGGAACCGGAAGTTTTCCTTGGACGAAATCTGGTGCAAACCGAGACCGACAGCTAATCGGGCGGCAATGGAGGAGTGATAGTAGCCTTCGAGAGTGCGACCATGCCAGAAGAAGTAGACGGCGAGGAGACAAGAGGCCTGGAGGACATGGACGATGCGGTCAGAGAGCTGAAGTGCTTCGGAGATGCCACGCAGGGAGCGTTTGAGGAAATGCGGCTCGAGTTCGGTGAGTGACGGCGACCGTGAGAAATAGCAGGCGAGGAGGTAAATGGCGTCGACCAAGGATGGATGTGGTTGCTGAGCGGATGGGAGCAGTAGCGCGGCTCTGAAGCGTCCGATGTGCACGTCAAATGCACACTGATGTCGATGTGCGAAAAATATGTCAAGCCTATTCGCCACGCGACGAAGTTAGCTTTATGCACCTTGTGGGACCGGCACGGAAGCAGGCGTACAGCATTTGCTTGTTCTCGCAGAAGACGTCATTTTCCCACCAGTTCATAGAATGACCAGAAGGAAACTCGCGTAGACTACTCTTGCTTGACTCTGACGAATCTGGCGCCAGCATGTCATCTACAGACTGGAAGTCCAAGCCATCGCCAGTCCAGGGCAGGCCTCCGAAGGCCGAGATATTCGGGAAGAACTCCTCGTCAAAGTGTGGGAACGCATCGCTGTTGCCTAGGTACTCTAAGCCGGGAGTATTATTGAAGATAGAGGTAGGGTCGAAGCCCTGAGTAAACTCGTCGTGTTCTGGGAAGTGGGAGGACACGCACACCCGTGACGGGCTCAGACCGGTACCGGATGAAGAGAACGAAAGAAGGACACGTACGAGAAAGGGGGACAGACAATCGGTCCAACTGAGGTGATTGCGAGCCGGAGCTCGACGATGACTCCGGTGCTGACTGCTCGGCCTCAAGTTCGCGGAGACGTGCCTCGAGCTTGGTTATCTTGGCCTGGAGAAGTTGGGTGCGACTGGTGCGCTTCTTCTCGTAGTACTGACATTCGTCAGCTCTGCTGGCCTTGCTACATTGCGTGCAGATAGGGCGCGCGCCGTCACATTTCTGGCAGGATAAAGTGGTGTCAAGCCGGTGGCAGTGCGGACAAGTAGGGAGGGTGCGAGGAGGAAAGACTGACCATCTTGCGCTTGCGGCAGCATAGACAAGCCATGCCGCGCTGGAGAGCCGTCGGAGCCTTCATGGTGTGTGCGGTCTGTGGGAGGTGTGTAGGTGATCGGGGGGAAGGAGATGCGATGTCAGTATGTGTTCAAGTAAGTCAGTCCGAGCGGTAATCTACGAGAAGCACAGGCGCTCTGAGGTGCCGTAACGCCGGCCGTATTTGTCCTAAGGCCATTCGCGACGAGCGCCCGTGGGCGCCCCAAACGCTTGTCTGAGATCTCCCATCAGACACGATCCCAACAGCCCAACGCAAAGCGTCTGCCCACAGCTCATCCATATACATCCACCCCTCCAAGTCACCGCACACTGCGCACAACGGCGGAGTGCTCGCTCGCGACCACCTCCCTCCTCTGCACCGCTTGCACTGCCTGCGCCAATACCCATATCCGGCTTCACAGCATATGCATCAAGATTCGTGCGATTTGTAAAGATCCGCTCGAGGGTGGGATTGCCGCGCAGATAGCTTTCGAGAGGTCCCGAGGGCCCGAAGTCTCGGAAACAACCAGACCACGTTTCAAACGTGTCGGCATGCGGGCCCTCACATTGTTCATGAGTTCTCCGGCGACTATGCCCCTGACCTTCTCCCCTCAGGGCAGGCCTTGCAGAGCCGCAGTACCCCGCGGCGGACGCATCATAAGCCTTCTTCCCGCGGTCTCTCAGCAGACTTTCAGCCGCTTCCCCACCTCTCTTCCAAGCTTGACTTTAAAACGAGCGCGCTCCAACCATCTAGAGACCTACTCATCCTCAATGTGTAACGCATTCGCCTGATGACACACATCAGTGTTTGTACCTTCACGTACTCAAAATGTGGGGCGTTCACGTCGAATAAATGCATGCATCAGCGCTCGATGCAGAAGCAAAGGCACCAATGATGCATTGCCATATGAGGCAGGTGTAATGGTTAGGAGTGTAAAAGCTTGCACCCCCGGTCTCCTTCCTGCCTTCGATGTCGTAAATCTAGTTCGCTGTGGACGTAAATGTTCAGTTCGCCGTCGGCTTGACTGTTCACAGTCAGCATTTGAAGATCGATTTTCTGGCATTCCGATAGACATGTGAACATTGCATTGAGATGTCTTTCCAGAAAAGCCGGCCCCGCGCATTCGCTCGGCGTCTGAGTGTGCGATGTGTGATTACTGAGGTGCGCTTGCAACCAATCGACAGTCGTGTTACGTTCCCGATAGCAAGAAGGCGCCTGTGGAACATGGAGAACGTCCCACTTGACTAGTGCTCTGACACCGTATTCGCCGAGATGTCCTTCCATCGTTTACATATTCGATGACTAAGAATGGTTTGACAGCTAGGCCCTTCGGCTACCGATACTCTGATTGTGGAAAGCACCGAGATTTGCATCTCCCAAAAACCGCAGTACCTCCATGATGCGATACTGAGATAGGAGCGACATATTCCAGTGCTCCCGATTCTCCACGCAGGCGAGCATCTTCAGGTTGCCGCATGTCCACATCGTCGAACACGCATGGCGATGCATATCGATTTCCGACCCACAGCAGTCAAAGAGCCGATAATAACATGGTATTGACAGCAATGCTTGGACGTTCTAGGGCTACTACACAGAGGTATGCTAACAACGTGGATGTCCGCCCGGACAGGGCAAAGTTCGTGCAATCTAAGGTGAGGTCACGACTTGCCCTCGGCTGACTTCGCCAGTACACTCCGCAAGTTCTCCCATACGAGCTTAGGAGACTGCGCGGCATCGATAGGGTGCCAGATCCCCTTCTGCTTGTAATAGTCGACGACAGGGCCGGTCTGGGAGTGGAAAACCTTGAGGCGCTTGCGAAGAGCTTCGACGTTGTCGTCCGAGCGCTGGATGAGGGGCTCGCCAGTGACATCGTCAACGTTCGGCTTTTTCGGCGGGCTGATGCGGCCCACGTCAAGATTAAGATGCAATAGAGATAAGGTCAGACTGCAGATGGGACGTACTTGAACTCTTTGTGGTAGGTGCGTCCGCTTGCGGGGTGGATGAGGCGTCCGGTGATTCGAGAAATGAGCAGCTGGTCTTCAATTACTAGCTGAACGACAGAGTCCAGCTTCTCCTTGCGCGCTTCCAGCATCTTGTCGAGCATGGAAGCCTGAGGGACAGTACGGGGGAACCCGTCCAATACGAAACTGTACGGCGAAAAGAGGCGCGCGTAGTCAGCTACCACTCAAAATCACGTCCATGAGATCGTGTTTGCACGCGTTATCGCCGCGACAGTTCGCGGAGCGCGCGATGGGCAGGCATAGGTTAAGGAAGTCATGGCAAGAGCAAGCGCATGATGCCGGCAAAGTAGTAAACGTACCCGTTCTTGCACTCCTTGTTGTTCTCAAGCTGATCTTTGATCATGCCGACGACAATGTCATCACCCACAAGTCCTCCGGCATCCATGATCTTCTTGGCCTCGATACCGAGAGCGGTCTTGCGCGACACCTGGTCACGGAGCAGATCACCGGTCGCGATATGGCAGACGCAGAACTCTTCCTTAATCCGAGGAGCTTGCGTACCCTTGCCTGCGGTCGCAAATCGCTACATTTAGAAAATCTCAACGGTCAAGATGGGGAGCGTGCGGAGAGCATACCTGCACCAGGGGGACCAACAAGAATAGTCCGGAGTTGTTGAGCTGGCGTTTTAGGCTTAGTGACCGCGTCCTTCGCCTTGGCCTCAAGCGCCTGGATCTTCTCGTTCAGCTGAGTCACGAGAGACTTGAGGTATTCGAGCTCGTCCTGAACGGCCATGTTGAAGTTCTGGTCGACTGCGAGTGAACGGGACGAGGGGACCGACAAAGAAACGTTGAGGAACGCGAGCCTGTGCGACGTTTCGCGCTGCCACGTGAGTCCTCCCGCACCCTTCCGGTATTGCCGGCGGTGTTTAGGCGGAGCTTACGCAATACAGTTCCGCTATTGGTCGTAGGCGCGCACAGGTCGACTCGTCCGCTTGCATCTTCCCGGTTGCCCACTTCTCGTCTATAGAGCCTATAGCTCTGTGCCTGCGATGTTCCTTACAATTTCAAATGGTGAGTAATATCGCTAGTCAAAAATTTTGCTCTGCGAGAGATTATCAACCGAAGACAGCATCGCTCGACTTCTGAGCGCCCTCCTATTGAGAAAGTTATAGTCGGAACATAGCTATGCCGTCGTACCACCTAAAACTTATACGGATATCGTACACGATGATATGATCTTTTGCCATCCAAGGTATGACTTCTGTTGCGAAAGCTCCTGGTCGTTGATTGTGTACAGAAGGCTGTCGGGTCAACCAGTGCTCCTCGATTTTGAGAGTATAGAGCAAATCCAGTGCGTCTTACACAAGGGGCGGCTGGTTTCGAAGTGTAGTATAGTTCAAGCCTCACAATCGACCTTGCAGTACACCTTCCGCAGCCCTCCGTTTCCGCTGTCCTTCCTTCGGATTGACGAGCGCGCTCGCGATATCCTCCGAGAAGTCGAGCTTGTTTTCTCCAATGAGCACTCTCGCAGAGACAAAACTATCTTGACCAGCTCTTCCCCGTGCGTCGGCCACTCGAAACACGCGCCGGATGAAGCGCAAGACGCTCCTTGGCTTCTCCCGATGTGCCGGCAAACTGTTTTCGTGCTGTGCGAGGTCTTCGCTAGAACCTCTCCACGCAGTCGCTCTTCGTCACCAGGTCCCCGTGCGTCTTATAGCTCACAACTCCCCGAGCGATTGGCACATGGTCAGGTACGTTGTTCACACTGGCTCAATCCAAAGCGAGAATGGCGAGGCGCGCGATTGCCCGCCCAATGTCTCCACCTGACCTGAAGATGATCCTAACTGGGCGGCCCAGTGTATGTAATTCGGTCTCTTCATCTCGGATCCTGCTGCAGAGTCAGGCCTACAGGATTGACTATGAGTGTTAGCCCTAGTCTTGCGAGCTATTCAGGCTTAAATCACCGGTGCCGTACGTTATCGGTGTGCTTCCGTCGGCCGACGTGATAGATGAAACAGACTTATACTGTAGGAGCACGTACCATCAAGGGAAAAGCCCATCTCAAAGTGAGAATACCTTGTTCGTGTTCTCGCCTGGCACTTGGGCTTGGGCCGCGTGCAGACGTTTGACTCCTCATTCCGACTTCGATGGTGGTACCCTATATTCAGGCAGAGTGAACCCCGAGTATACTCGCATGCCAGACTTGCTCGTAATCGCGACTTTGGCGGTCTGCTTTTTCTCTCCATTTGGGACTTTGGCCTTGCTGTGAGCATTCGCGATACGGAAGCACCCTTGAACACTTCACCGAGGGATTCTTCATCAGACGGGTTCCACTTATGCACTGTGGACAAACCATGCACCCTTCCTTCGGGGATTGCGTGGCTTGTTCGCAGACGCCTCACGAGTGGGAATCCCGACATTCAGGAAATGGCAACGAGACCCGGCGGGGCAGAGTTTGGCTGATGTATTGTTCCCGAGCTTCATTACGATGTAAGTACCAGACGAGGGTATCGATTAGCGCACCCAATTTCCCCGTGCCGCTAACGATGAAGACTATAGGTCTACTCGACATTGTCTTGCCTGCGCTGTGGACATGGAGCAGAGTTATCGAAGAGGATCGCACGGTGATATTCTGATGGTGATGGGCAGTCTAGTCTCAATGAGGTGTGTAGTTCTCTGCGTTCCGCCTCCGCAATCTCCTGGACGTATGTATCCGACACAGTCTCATGCATCATGCGAAGCCTCGTAGATTCTGCTTCATCATCGAAGCTCGCCGCTGGAAAGGGTTCCAGATGCGCCCACACGAGATCGTTCGCACGGATCCTTTCATGAGTTCTCTGCAGCGTAGCTCCACGACCGGATTCCGGCGGCCTCATGTTTTTACACAGCATGTCATCTTGTGGCCGGAAACCAGCACGACGTCCACCGCTGACCAGTGTTTCAAAGCAAGCAGGTCGATTAATCTGAGGTACCTCATACCGTACAGCTTGACCGTGCCTTTCGCCTAACGGCCCCTGGGTAGCAGCCAAGTCACGGTTCTGCAAGCTATTTGCCAGCTGTGCATTGGGGGAGACACCCGATTTTGATTTTGCACTACAGCTCATGCCGCAACGCAGCCTCAGCAAGTGGTCGATATAGTGAGGTGCGATACTTCGGCCTCTGGTAATAGTGGCTGGCGTCAGCAAGGACATCTCAATCTCTCGATCCCTCAGGGCCCGAGATCGGGGGAAACCTCAGGCACCGGCACATTTGTTGCAAGGTGTCTGTTACTGCTAAGGCAGATGTGCCCTAGACACAATTTGGAATCGCTGTGAAGGCTCTGCCTTCCATAGAGGCCATTGCACAAGGCCTATTGCAAGCAAACGCGCAAGCCTTTGCCCAATTGCAGGCCTGCCGTCTGTAGCGACCGATGCCTATCACCTCAGGGAAACAAGAAGTCGAAGACGTACAATCATGATCAGTCACTATCGCTGTGGTTCAGTTGATCTATAGGTTGATGTGAAGGTAGCATGTATCACGGGACGGCGACGAAGCACTATGATGACATGCGTACAAGAACTTGGGTGCGGGAGAAGATAGTCAGTAGTTATCGACGATGGCGGCACCACAGGTACATCATGACAGCTGCATGGCCATCCTGGGTTGCTAGCTAGGGCGACATATATCAGATGACCTGTCGCTCAGCGCTGAGTGTCGATGATAGCAAATGCTAGACCGTTTTGACCTGTCATATTCTGGTTACCGTCACTTTGCTATCTACACTACTAGTTTTAATGCGCACAACGAGTCACCGGGCATCCGTTCTCAGCGAAGGTCGCCCGGAACGTAGAAAGAATCGCCGTGTCCAGCTGCGTCCCATTCGTGCCTCGTGCGAACCGTGTAGTATACTGCCAAGCTCATCAACATATCGAATCCGCCATTGCGAGAGATTCACGCACTCTCCTGTGGCCGCTAGACTTCTGAAGTGTAAGCGCTCTGTAGGCTTATCGCACTCACTTTCCCTAACTACTCGCTTCGATGTGTTCGGGAACACTAGTGGTCAGGGCTGGGCTCGCTGACAGAGACGTGTCGTTGGTCAGCGTAGAGTCTTCGTCCACTGCTCGGGCTTGCCATGGAACCGGGTCACTACGCTCCGGTGACACCTTTCGTTCCTTCCAACGGATGACAAAACGCTTCATATTATCCGTGAACCAGACAGCCCAGTCATGCTGGTCACTTACTAGTTGCATACTGTACTACGCGTTGTGAAGACCGCCCACTGTACTGGACAACGATCACTCCTGACGAAGAACAGCGCTTTGACGGCAGGTCCTACCGCCGCCGATGTCTCAACTGCGGACCACTACGTCCATTTTGAGACTCCAGCGGGTGCACATCCGATTTCCGCTTCGCAGACCCAAACCAGTTGTGTATAGATATCCGAAATTTGGATCGGACACCAGCCGCCCCGGGAGCGCTGAAGGAGAACAGGGCCGCTCGCTTGCCACGCTTGGTTCTGAGACATGATGGCAGCACTTTGGAGGTCTCGGGGACGTATGAAGCTCTGTGAAGGACCTGAATTGCACGACTGATTGAATCGAGTCGGCACAATTGTAGGTAAAGTCCGGCAAGCATGTATATTTACTGCCGTAAATTTCCGGGATGGCCACAACGCAATCCGGATTGTTGCCAGCAATCGTCGTGATAGCGTTCTGCCATGTGGTGTGCAGTGCTGTCCCTGCAATTCCTCCAGGTTAATTCATGGGTTCCGTACGTCGGAAGCTGCTGATTTACTTGGCGGGGTCGAGCCCCGTCGAGTGGCCTCCATGCGGTGTTACAGACACGTTCTTCCGTTTTGTGTCTGCGAGTGTCTTCTGTGATCGAGTCATTCCCGATCTGATAAAACTTGTGCCGCGTCGAGACCGTATTCCGGTGGCATGCGCAAATACTGGTCTGTAATGTGGTTGGTGCCATCGTGAAGCGCATGTGGTAAGAGAACGACTGTCTCTTTCTGACGAAAGAGCCATGTGCTATAGAACAGGCCGCGAAACCCCCGTATTATCGTTGCGGGGAATCCACACGCGCAATCCTCCCGCCTCGACGTGGACCCGTATCACAGCTATACACTCGTATGCGATACATCAAAGAGTTGCACGAGGGATCCTGAGTCCGATAATGCAGCGGGAAGGTGTGCCTAAGATCCTCCTCCCGAGTCATGTCCAATCAACGTTATTTCCGAGATAATTGAAGCTCACGTGGTTCCTGCAAACCCGAGGAAGAACGGACGGGCCGCTGTCAAAATGCAGGGCTCGAGGACGCTTCATTGGGCTCGGAAAAGGAAAGGCAACATTTGCAGCAACCCTCAATGGATCGGGGGTAGACCCTGGTTATTGGAACTTATTTCTTCGCGCCAACTTGGCACGTTGCTGGCGTCGCGCCCCGGAATGAATAGCCTCCCGTCTTTGTAATATGCTTTCATTTGAGCTATCATCGTATTGAGAACCTCGAGCATCATGTGTCACGCCAGGCAACATGATGCAGGTCGGAGTTTTGTGTGGTGTGGACCAACTTGTCAACAGCAAGTATTGCAATTGGGAGCGTAAGGTTTTGAAAGGCCACGCTGTATGCGGAAATGATTTTAGGTTAACCAGGCATTGAGGGTCCTCATCGTGTGCATGGATAGAAGCAAGAAGCACGTACGTTGCGCCTTATCAGATGATGGTGTGAGTGTTCATGGGCTCAAAATGGGAAGCCGTTGTGGCAGCGCCAGGCAAGATTTGCGCAGAAGCATTTGGCAGAAGTAGCGGGCGCGTAGGAACGTCTCTGAACACGTTAGTAAGGAAGATCGCCCGGTAGTACTTCGCCGCCAAATCATCTTGATGAACCCTGACAGTATTCGATCCCGAATACAGACACATATGTGTGGATGTGACATGCAGGGCTCAAGAACCCAGGTGCCGGGACAGCTCATCCTCATCCGATGAGGTTTATAACATTGTCGCCGTCGCCACTTTTCGCCATTTTGGAGACACGTAGATGGCACCGCCAGCAGCGTTGTTGCAGTCCAGGATCTCTCAAATCACGTATACTCGCTTGCGACCACTGTGGCCATAGTGATGGTGTAAGAGGAACTCCGAATACATCAAATCAGTCTCAGGTCGCCGTGGTTATCAGGCGCATTGAGCTCTTTCGTTGCATCAACAGTCGCATCGACATACCAACTGGTAAGGGGGAATGTCGTGCTTCCTCCATCGTGAGTGCTATTATTATTATTATTATTATTAGATTCTCGTCTTATACCAAACGCGCATACAGGCACAGAACCGGTACAGTACACGTGTAAGTAAGCATCTTATCCGGGATTGTGGGTCATTTCCACTCGGCGCAATCACGCCGGCGTGCCCGGACCACGACCGAAGTCGGCGTGTGGAGAGGAACCCGCCCTACCAGCCTTACCCCATCTTCAGACACGTGTGCAGCACGCGTTTTCCTCGCCTTACGCCGCCTGCTGCCCCACGCCCCCAGCCCATTTCGCCCCTCCTCTCCGCCCACTGACATTAAATATGAAAACGGTGCCGCCCGACTTCAAGGCGCCACAGGCGGCATCGGCGTAGGAAAGGGGGCCCCGGGCCGCGTTGGCAGGCTGGGGGGAGGAGGCCACCAGCATTTTATCAGGACGGCGGCGGCGGGTGAGGAGGAGGGCCTCGCGGCCCTCTGCCGCGAGTTTGCCTAGCACCTTGTCGAAGGCGCTAGCGGAAGGGGGCGAAGGGTGGGTGGGAGGGGGTAGGGGGACGGGAGGAGGAGTGAGGGGACGCGGGTCAGGCGTCACGTCCATGGGGGTTGCGGGGCGCTGGTTGCGGCTTGGGGTAACGGGGTGGTGCGGTGCGGGGCGAGGGGGGGGGAGGATGTTGAACAGGCGCTGGTTTACACAGCTTGCCTAATACAGCTGTCACAAGATATGGAACGGCACAGCCGGTTACTGCAATAACCGAGGCTGTACTACTCATGTGGTACACGCACAGCTTTGCTGTGTACGCACTGCTTCTCTGTGCGACTGTGCATCCTGGGAAGGTACTGTATAGTACTATGTAGCCACAGATGTACAGTAGTATATATAGGGGACCTCTGTACCCCCAATCTACAGTCCAGTTCACTCGAACGTCTCCTATCATCGCTCTTACAAGCCTCTTACAATCAACCAACCCTTCTAGGTGAGTTGCAGGCTATCCGCTGTCGTTGCCACCCGTGGGAGAGGCCTTCGCCCCCCGGGTTCAACAGGTTATGAGCCCTGCTCGACGCTGCAG